ACGATCAATTGGAACTCGAAGTATACTCTAAAACGTCAAAACACCTCAGAAAATTTAAAAAAAAAACAATTGAAAATTCATATCTCGAAAACGCTTCCATGAAAAAAAAATTAAGTGTGATTTTCGCGTTTAGTGAGCCAAACTATACAAAAAATCATAGTGAGACATGGTGGGCAAAATGGCTGTAAACTAGTGTAATTAGCAAAAGAATGTTCAGATAATGGTTATTGCATTTAGAAAAGAGAGAAATTCACTTTCCCTGGAAACCCTGGAACTAATGGTTAAACATAACTTAACTAAATCTTCTCAGGAATTTGACAAATTTTTGGCCATTAATGGAAAAAATATTATTAAAATAGTGGGAAATTAAATACTCTTAAAGTAATGTATAACCAATATTAAATTTGTCCAAAAAATATCTTTTTAAAGTATTCTTAAAAACAGAATTATTAACACCAAAAATGTCAACAATGTTTTGTAAATTATTGTATATAATACACATATAATTTATGAGTATTTAGTATAATTTGTAGAACATTGTTTTTCAAAAAATGTTTTGACTAACCTGGTCTTCTTAAATTGGTACGTAAAAATGTATTCTATTTAAGGAAAAAAATGTCATCAACCAAATAATGTATTACCTTGTACAAATAGCATAATTTGACAAAAGATTTTAAAATACATGTTAAAAACTTTTTATTATTTTTTTGACCCGCAACCTACTTAAAAAAAATTCCACCTGGTTTTAGTTTTTGAATAATGAGCATTTTTTGCGTATCATACCTTGGTATGATCGTTTTAACCACAACGTTCCCCTAAATTTCGATTTCATGGGCCAGTAAAGCTGAAGAGTGCCCCCACTCGCCCATAAAGTATCCCCCGTTGCCTTGGGGACGCAACCCCCTCCACAATTAAACAATAGCCCCAAGGGAAATTTTCTATTTTCACGGCAATAGTTGATCGCACCTGACGTAAAAATTTAATCGTTTTTGTGTAACAGTTTAACGGCTGCGTAATGTGTCAAATTTGGTGACTTTTTTCGAGACGTCAGTGAGTGGTTGCTTGTGTTTTTTTTAAATTTTGTTTTGTGAAAAATGTGCGATTGGTGATTTTAACGAACATGGAGTTTTGGGATATGGATGATTCCCGCAGAGAATCATCATTGCGTCACAGAAATATACAAGGTTTGTAGTAAATTCTCTATTTAGTTGTTTTATCTAAATTGTAAAATTAGTACAGTTTAGCATATAGGATAACGATTTTATAAGTCGAAAAGTGTGCGTTTCGGGTGTTTCACGATTCTGCCTCTATGTCCTGACCATTGGTACATTTATTCGAAATTCAGCGAATTTTCTTAGGGAAACATTCATAAAAATTACAGGCCTCCAAAAGTATAATATTTACTAACCATCTACCACAAAATCACTGTCACAAATAACGTTTGACTATTTTTTTTATAAACTTTTACTTTGTTTCGGGTGTTACCATGGTTCTGTTTCGGGTGTTACAAGTTAAAAAAATTAAACAATTTATATGGACAAAATCGGTGTTTTATTAGTCTCTAGGTACTACAAAATAAGTTGGTAACAAATAAACATAAATAGAATGAATTCTTCTTAAACATAACTTAAGCAGCTTCGGGTGCGATTGATAAATCGGCAAAAAGGGTAAAATCGTTATTATTGCCAAACATCGGTGGAAACATAATTATCGACGAAAATCTAAGTATTCGGTATTTTGGTAGGTCCGTTGCCATTTAGGTAGAAATACCGAAATTTCGGTAGGTTCGACAACACTGCTTTTCCGATGGCGGCGCTAGTGGGCCGTCGAAAGAGCCTTAAAAATAATACTCATTGCATTCTTCAAGCAATACACACACATATCGACATATGAAAAAAGTTGTAACACCCGAAACGTTTCGGGTGTTACAGTTTTTAATCAAGAAAAACACATATCAAATTAGTCTCATGCTCAGATATTAGTTAGTATTTAAATCATTACCACCATAACGTTACTTTTACTAAATATTATTACCCTAATCAATCTGTAAGGTATAATAATAAAACATTTACATGATTTTTCGTTTCGGGTGTTACAGTGGCAAAGTAAAAAGACTTATAACGTGATAATTATCAATTTTTTCGGGACTGTGACACAATCCACCAATACTACAATAAATAATATCAAATCACAACGTGGCAAAACGTTTGACAGATTGACATTTTTTTTCGTATTTCCAATAGTTAGAGGCACAATGGTCATTCAGTTCACTTAAGTACAGATTTTGAAGACTAATTAACTTAAAAATTACGCGTTTCTTCTAGTTTTTTTGTCGCACATTATAATTTGGACTGTTTTCTTTCAAAATTCATCAGATTTAATGCGAAAAGAACATATTTATTTTTTCACCCTTAGTATAGTTTGTCATGGAATGACCCATATCCATCTAACTCATTCTAATAAGATCGCACTAAAGTGTCTGGTTGTCAAGTTAAGTCAAATTGAGTTGTCAAAATTAGTAGTTAAAAATGCAATTAATTTGGCTTTGGTGGTGCGTAGATGAGTAAAATCATATAAAAAAGTAGTTAAATATAGGTGACTACGGCCCAGGAGAGACAAAGTATTCCTAGCGAATAATAATCTTCGCTTTGAAAAAAATTTATATAAAAGAAATTAAAATTTTATGTGAACACACGTGAATGTTGTCCAATCATTGGACTCCAATGGTGAATGGGTATTTTGTTGAAGCCACTGGACGTTAATACTTGTAGTGGCTTAATAATAATTATAATGTATATATTGTCCAGGACTTTTAATGATAAGTAACTTGCAAATTGAAAGAAAAAATAGTTTCGTGATTATTGCTTATCTTTTTCAAAACTACTAGATTTTTCACAAAAAGGTTGAACCTAACATCAAAAAAATTTTATTTTTTAATTTTTTATTTTCCCCTTATTTTTTAAAATTTCAAAAATATTTGATCTGCTTAGCTGAAAATAATGTGTGATTTAATATTTGTAAAACCAAAAACGTAACTTTTTTACTCCAAAAATTTCCATAAGGCGATGTACTTTTTCTGCCATTGAGGCAGTTGGAATTACTTTATCGAAATGAAGTTTTGCCCTTAAAAGTTCTTTTACCTTAGAATCTGATATTATTTTTGGCATAGTTATCTTTTTATATCGATATTATATAATAATTAACAATTAAATTATCAATAATAGTTATTTATGTATTAAGGGCATAATAAGGTTTTTATGGTCCGAGGCCCTATTTCGAGCCCGAGCGCGTTAGCGCGAGGGCTAGAAAAGCGTCGTAGGACCATAAAAACCAGTTATGCCAGCAATGCATACAAAACTTTATGCACGATTAATATATTATTATTTTTAATATATTATTGTTTTTAAAGACGTTTACGTCAAAGAATTTTTGTTATAATTGTCATATTATAATGTCAACTGACATCAGTCAGTTTTAAAGTTTAAAGATAAATGAAATTGAGGAAGCAGCTGAAAAGGCGAAAAATTGCGGCCTGCTGCCGGTAAAATCAAAATCTTTATACGAAAAAACTTACTTCGAATATATCAAATGGTGTAACATTGTTGTTTTTAATTTTTTACGTTTCATTATAGCCCGCTGGGCCATAATAAAGCCCGCGGGCTATAAAAAGACGTTTACGTCAAAGAATTTTTGTTATAATTGTCATATTATAATGTCATCGTGCATAAAAAATATTACTGTCAATTTGACAGTGTCAGAGTATTTAATTAAGGTCTTCAGCAGAAATACCGTTTTTTAAATACTAAAAACAACGTTTTGTTGACGACTATTTATTTATAAAAAAAATATTAGTTTTCGTAAACTTATATAAAAAATAAAGGACATTTCAAATTAAAAACATATATAAGTAGTATTTTGATATCAACCAAGTTTCTTTATTTACCTACCTGTTAACTTTACCCATTATATTGGGATATTAAACCATGGTCGTCATGGAAATATTATAGTAACGTTTTATTGATAAAACAACTTTTAGCGAATGTATTCACAACTTCCAATAAATATACAAAAAAATAAAAATTATAATTATGAGATTTGAAATAAAAAATAAAGTTTACGTGTCTAAGCGTTTTTTATAATAGTATATTATATATCAGGTTAGATAAACGCCATTTTAGTCCCGAATGTAATTTAGGCACGAGCGAGTGCTTTATTAAATGAGTGCCTAGAAAAGTTTATGAACGAGATGCATACTATACTTTTTATACGACAAATACTTACAATTACCTAAAAAAATGATTTAAATTAAATATTTGTATAAAGCGACATCTGCGAAAATAAAGTAACCATCCCAATAAACATTTTTGACGTATTTTCACCATTAACATTGCCCGTTATTATTTTAATTTAACTTAACAATTATTTATACTTTAAAATATTAAAATAACTTCAAAATATGACTTTGCTAAGAAAACATTTTATTCTTTGATTTTTTTATTACTATAATTGCAAAATATTATCACAAAGTATTAAAAATTCTTACACTGGAAATGTTAAAGGTACAAAAAGTGACAGTTGTATTTATTGAAATTCCCGTTAGAATATCTAACTTGAGAATCTACCTGCGTTAAAATCTCAAATTTTTCTGAGTAAATCAAAATGTATCCCTTGAAAATAGACTAACAATCGATATAGAAGCAGTTTTTCCCAATAAAAAAAGAAGAGAATGTTTTATGGGCACTGTACGCATAATTTTTAACGCTTTATCAGATAAATCTAGTTAACTGCACTACTACGGCGAAATCAAAATAATAATAATCATATAATCTTTTCAAATATTGGCGCCCTTGACTAAAAACCTGTTTCTTACTTCAGCCCATGACAAAAGCGCCATAAAGCCACAGTCAATGCGTATTTAAAAGGTCATTTAGTGTCATGAAAACACGGAAAACCATACCTATTTAACTCAATCCACTTGATTAAATTTTAATTTTTTGCAGGACGAGAGACCGACTTCGTAGGCGGAATAGACAATGTGGATTTTTCTCAACTGGACGACTACATTTACAGCGACACTTCGCAAGGGAACGCCTCGTATTTCGGGGAATCACTGAACACTGCGCCGAGCAACCCTGGCAAGATACTCATCGTTGAAAGCAAAAGAAACAACAATGGGTAAGAAATTTATTATTATTATTATTTAGCAAAAACTCTTCTTTTTTCAAAAATATTTGACGTATCGCTAGTAGCGCCACCACTCGGCTGTAACAAAAGTACACTTTTTAATAATCAGCTGTCAAACAAACGAGTGTTTTTGAGAATAAAGCTGGAAAATGTTAAAAAATATCGGAAAAAAAACCGTGGCTCGATTTGTTGTGTTGTTGGGTGTATTTCAAGAGGAAATCCTGGGTTGAGTTTTTACCGGTTTTCCAATAAAAAGTGTTAATCTGAATGAAGAAATAAATTGCATACAGTCTCTGTAAATATAAATTATACCTATTAGATACAGTAAATACACATTTTAGTAGTGATTAAAGGGTAAACATTTCAATTCAGCAAAAATCGTCAAACAAATAAGTCGTCTAAATTTAAACAGCATTTAGCATTATTAAAAGCGTTGATTAAGAATTCTTTAAAGTCCCCACACAACGATAAAATACCATTATATTTTATATTATTATTTAAATTCTGTTTTGTGTTCGTCGTAGATAAAGTATAGTATGCAACTCGTTTATAAACTTTTCTAGACATTCGTTTTTATTAAACACTCGCTCGCAAGCTTCGCTCGTGCTTAATTAAACTCGTAACTAAAATGGCGTTTATAAAACTTGATACATAATATACTATTATTCATCCCAAGAAACAATGTGAATTTGTTTATAGAGGGACATCTCTATTAAAGACAATTTCAAAATTTGAACTTAATACTATGACTACATATTACCATTATCACATTTATAAATATCACATTTTAGTCACAATCTGTACAGATGTACTAACAAAATAAATAAAATTATTATACAAACACACTTATGCTTATGCTTATTATAACATATGTACTACATATGCTCATACACGTCCATACCTGCAATTGTATGGTACATGTTGGATACATGCATCCAACATACTCCACAAACATTTATATATATACCGCACAAGTATTTATCTTGGATAAAAGAAATTTTTTAAAGCCTTAACATTATTTAAGGATTTGACATCGTCAGGCAAGGTGTTATATGTAATTAAGCCTCTATAAAATATAGAGTTTTGTCCATACCTGGAGCCAATTTGTATCAAGTCTAAACTATTAACGTTTCTGGTATTGTGGCTATGTAGTTGATTTCTAAACATTACTTTTAGATTAGAATGTTTTTTATTATTTACAACATTCTGTATAAAGGAACAAACTTGATATTTATAGATATTGTCCAAAGGCATAATGTTAAAGTTTCTATACAAATCCTCTGTATGATATCTAACGGGTAAGCAATAAAGATTTTTCTCGATTTTTATGTAAGAATGTCATATTCTTGCACGCAAAATCGTTGAAGAATGAAGCTCATTCTTAAACGATTTTTGGTAACATTTAGTTTTTAAGTATTGGTACCCCCAAAATGTCAAACTGATTAATAACCTCAAATTCATTACTTTTAATGAAAATGAAGCCTTTATTATTGTTTTGTAATATTAAGCTTGCTCCAACAATGCATTTTAATGCAAAATTTTAAGTTTAATGTAAAAAAGTGCAGTTCAGGTTGTACTTGTGCAGGATAACAAATATTGTCATTTTGTGTTGCCAACTGACATTTTGAGAGAAAAATCCCCTAACTAACAACGACCACAAAACAATTAAAAAAAACTAAATAAAAGTTAAAATCGAGAAAATAGTATAAATCACACGTTGCAGAAGGCTATTCTGGCACTCATTCGTTCGTCCACTCGCTCCTTCGTCGCTCGAGGCCAAATTTCGAATTCGTGCGAGAATATGTGGCCTTCTGCAACTTGTACTTTAATATACTATTAATTGATTTATTTTGAAGTGTCTTGATTGGTTTTGGTACTTTTTCATGTGTTAAGTACCATATGGCCGCCAAATATTGAAGGTGGGAGTGAATCAGTGCATAGTAGACTGATCTTAAATACTTCTTATAAGGGAGTGAACCAATAATAACAGTACCTATTCCTTCTTGCAGCCACTCTTTGCCCGAGAGCCCGCCGGACAGCAGCTCCGAGCACCCGTACAGCCCTGAGCACGGCTGCGAGCCGCCGCTCGCCCCCTACACCGCGATAGCGGCGGCGGCGGTCGGGGGCGGGCCCCAGAACGTCTACAAACCGGCGGCGGCGCTGATCAACTCAATCATCCCCAACGGGCTCATATCGCTGAACCCGCACCTCGTGGTCGACCAAGGCGCCGGCGGCGGCGGCGAGGGGCTGCTCGAGGGGGGCGGCATGCTGGGCGACGTCGGCGCCGCCCATCTGCAGGACGCGCAAGCTCTGATGGCCGACGGAAGGATTATTTTGACCGAAGCTGCCTTAGACGGTGAGTTAGTTGAAGTTTGTTAGCACAGAGACATCTTAAAGATGTCTTAAAGACATCTTAAAGATGTCTTAAAGACATCTTTAAGACATCTTAAAGACATCTTAAAGATATATTAAAGATGTCGGACTCGTACGTTTATATCTAAGACGTCCAGTTTACGACGTAAGTCATAACATATTTGTTTATAATGTTTTTATTACAAATGGATATTATTAATTGTAGGAAAAATAACCAATCTACAAGAATGTCAGATATATATTTATTCAGTTACCCTACCCATCATCGTTGTCAAAACTCAAAATCCTACATTAATGTTGTTTCTATTACACCAAAATAAGATGGTACCCTGCCGAAAATGACCCTTACAAACCAATTGAAACCAACATGAAATTGAATAGGTTTTTATGGGGTTGAATCCGGTTGATGGGTATCAAATGGGAAGCAAAAGATTCGTCTATTGGTATGAATCTGTAATCCCACTTAGAGCTTAAATCTATAGGTTTCGTTTGGTTTCTTTTTGGAAAAAAACGTATTTGGATTTCCCAATTCAATATAAAGCGTGTTTGTATGGGGAATGTCCGAATTATTCCCAACTGAATGCATTTTCTTATGGTGTCCTTTGGTTTCTTTTTGGAAAGACCCCTATTTGGATTTGCCAATTCAAAACAATCAGTGTTTATATTGGGAATTTCCGATTAATTTCCAACTAAATGCTATCGTTTCGTTTCTTTTTGGAAAAACCAGTAGGTACCTATTTGGATTACCAAATTCAATACAAAACGTGTTTGTATGGGAAATTTCCTATTAGTTACCAGCTATTTCTTACGGTGTCGTTTGGTTTCTTTTTGGAAAAACCCGTATTGGGATTTCCAAATTCAATAAAAAACGTGTTTGTATGTGGAATTTCCGATTAATTCTCAACTAAATACAATTTCTTAGGGTCTCCTTTGGTTTCTTTTTGGAAAATCCTGTATTTGGATTTCCCAATTCAATACGAAATTTTGGTGTAACGAAACGTGTTTATATGGGGAATTTCCAAATAATTAAAGTACAATGATTGGACGCAGACGGTGGCATATTATAGCAACTGTGGCACTGTTAACGTCACGTGGTCTCTATGGAGGGGATCCTTGTCTCCCACGTACGACGCAGTTAAAGGACGCAGTTGTTTCGTGTTTCCGCCATTGTTGTACGCTTAAGTTCTGTGCCTGTGTAGAAAACAACTAAGTTCTGTGTATTAAACTATAGAAAACAACCAAGTAAACTATAGAAAAAATTTTAATCATGGTAATATTTAAAATGTCAAATTCTATAACTTATAATTAAAACCCCAATTGTTTTAGCCCTTTGTTTATGTAAAATATGTTAAGGACAACGTGGTCGCCACTGTAACACCAGGGAAAATAAAAAGGTTTAATGTAAACGATTACAATCCCACTAAAACATATAGTGTTCTTTATGAAAATGAATACTATAATAGGGCATATAGGTATAATTAGTACAGGTGGTAAGTATTTCTTTAAAATACCTATCGTATTATAATTTTTTAATTTTGTTTTAATTAGTTCAATACAACAATGTACATTTGCTTTTATATAAAAGAAGCCGTTTTTTAACATTAGAGCACATATGAGGAGCGTTTATTCAAAAAGGGACATGTCCATTTTAGCGATTTGCAGAAACAAGTCAAAAATAACAGAATTCTTTTGCTTTTGACTTATTTCTGAAAATCGCTAAAATGGACATGTCCCTTTTTGAATAAACGCTCCTCATATGTTCTAAGTTTCCCGGTTGTAGGTATTGTTTGTAAGGTTTTTTAGATTTCTTGATTATTCCACTTGCCATATAATAGGAATATAATATATAATAGCAATTGCTGAATTCTCATCGACAGGTTACACCATATGTCTATATAGATGAAGGACTATACTGGCCGTTAACGATAAAATTTAAACTGCGCAGTTTAAATTTACGCCGTGGCGTTAATAAGAATATCCCTCGGTGAAGGCGTACCAATCGATAATTCTACGGTTATTGGTCGTGTATTTAAAATCTCGATTGGTAAAAATTACTGGAAGATTGACTAAAAATTTATTTATTTTTTACTAAGTAAGTTTGTGTATATAATATAAATACTTGTTAGATTTATTGGTATATTATTTTAATACATTTCCTATAGGGAATTTCCTAAAAAGTAATGGTTTTCTATCGGGATATGCAAATAAAAAGTCTATTGGTTTGTATAAGGATATACCTATACCAATGCACATATTGCGCCCGATAGAAACCCATAGATATATTTTTTTTTATTGGTTTCTATACGGAATTTCCTAAAAATGTAATGGTTTTCTATACGGAATTTCCTAAAAATGTAATGGTTTTCTATCGGGATATGCAAATAGAAAGTCTATTGGTTTGTATAAGGATGTACCTATGCCAATGCACATATTGCGCCCGATAGAAACCCATATCTATTTTTTTTATTGGTTTCTATGGTGCATTTTCGGCAGGGTACCTAATTATATCTTACTATGAAGTGCCTGATTATGGGATATAATTTCGATTTTGACTTGTCAAAATTCACTATTTTATCAAAAAATTAAGGTATCAGGCATTTATAAGACCTCTTTAGAACATTAAATGAAGATATCTTTAAGGCGTCTATCAAAAGACATCTTTCAGACATACAAAACACATCTTCAAGACGTTGTGTGGGAAGGTACAACAAGTGACGGTGAATTTCTGCGTTTGTACATTGAAGTGCCCATAAAACATTCTCTTTACTTTCACTGTAAAAAATTGCTCATGGTACCTAATAAAAAAACAATACCCACTTACCAAATTTTAATAAAATATGTTCTTTATTTTAGAGAAAATTTATTTTTTCAAATTTTGCAAAAAATATAAGCATTTTCAACACCTTGTATTTCTGAAACTGTTGGGTTTTCAATATAAGTTTATTGAGAAAATTAATATAATTTTAACGTTTTTCATTGATTCTTAAATTATTAAAGGTTTCTTTTTTACCGCCCTGTAAAACAAACCGAAAAATGACGTTTTTTAAAACTTATTAAATATCAAAAAATTTATTTAAAACTTAAATAATATTAATAAAAATCGCCGCACGATTAATAAATATAATTTGTTGGCTAGGTTTTTTCCAAACTATATAATTAAAGATTATGATTCCCGAATACAATGGAGTTTCATAATTTATAATTTTAAATAAAATTGCTTTAAAAATGTTAAATTTAAATGAGTTCTTGGAAGAATTACAATAATTAAATAAATCTCAGAGAACAAATGTTTTAGGAAAATTTTAACATTTATTTTATTTTTGACAGTAATAAATTTAATATCGTCTTAATTGATTAAAACTAGAGCAGATAATCTGATTAAATATATTTTTTTAGAATACGTTTGATCCTGTTCTGAAACTAATAATAATTTCTTAAGCTAGGAAAACCTTTTTATTAGTATTTATTAGGGTGTGCCAAAAAACTCGATAATTTTTTTTCTTGCTCTCCACCCAAAATATCGTAGAATATGTCCAAACAAATATTCTGTTAAAAGCGGAGCTCATAATTTCAATTTTAAGAGGTCATTCATCGAATCTGAAGTTTTTCCGCTTAAATAACACAGAAAACTGACTTTTTTACCTTATTTATTCTTGCAACCTAGGAAGAATTTTTTTTCATGAAATCCATGACTAATTCTTACAAAGCATTAAATTTGGACAAACAAATCTTATTAATCCGAATTTCTATTTTCATTATTTGATTTTTTACAGAGCTTTAAATTTAAAATGTTACGTTTTTTGCCTTTTTCAGCTAAACCATTGAAGTTGGACGAAAAAGTCAAATGACAATTTTTTAGCTTGTCTGATGGACCACAAAAAAGTTTTAGACGAATTTTTTGTATCGTCAATATTCTAAAAGTTACAGGCGTATAAAGTCATCATTTTTGTATTATTAACTTTTTGTTAGTGAAATATTAAGATTCAGAATTTTTTGTACGATAATAGTTAGTAAGATATTATTATTAGTATTTTAAGCGCTAATTCACTGTAAACAATGGAATAAGGCATGCATTCTTATAAAATTTTATATCTATTGTCAATTGTTTATCTTAAAAAAACATCGAAATAAGCTTAAATAAGTCTGTAAATTTTAATGGTTGACAGTACATCAAATTTTACTAGGACAATTTTTCCGAAAATTCATTTTTTTATAATTCTCTATTGACTTTTTGTGCTAACATTAATATTTCACTAACAAACAGTTAATAATTCAAAAATGATGACTTTATACGCCTGTAACTTTTAGAATATTGACGATACAAAAAGTTCGCCTAAAACTTTTTTGTGGTCCATCAGACAAGCTAAAAAATTGCCATTTGACTTTTTCGTCTAACTTCAATAGTTTAGCTGAAAAGGGCAAAAAACCTAAAATTTTAAATTTAAAGCTCTGTAAAAAAATGAAAATAGAAATTCGGCATTTTTCGTCCAAATTTAATGCTTTATAAGATTCAGTCATGGATTTTATTAAAAAAAAATTCTTCCTAGGTTACAAGAATAAATAAGGTCAAAAAGTCAGTTTTCTGTGCTATTTAAGCGGCAAAACTTCAGAATCGATGAAGGACCTCTTAAAATTGAAATTATGAGCTCCGCTTTTAACAGGATTTGTTCGGACATATTCTACGATATTTTGGGTGGAGAGCAAGAAAACAAAAATATCGTGTTTTTTTTGGCAAACCCTAGTATTTATCATATTGTTTACCAAAGATTTTTACAAAAGACATAAGTTGCCTTCTTGCCAGGGGACTGTTTAGTGGATTAGAAGTAAAATATCGCGAAAATGGTCATGTAAGAAATGTTCGTAGACCACCCCACCTTATTGTTGAATATGATGCGAAGCAGTAGATATATATTGGTATACCCAAAATACCCAAAATCCACCAGCCGCCACTGTCTAAACCTTTTTTATCCTAAATCCTATATGTTTATTAGAATAAACAAATGTATACATAACTCAGAATAAACAAGTAAACCAACATTTTTCTACAATTTTTGTTCCCAGGCTAATTTTGACATCATATGGAAGTCCACTTCCAACGTACATTGTATGTACATTTATTACATAACATGGACATCCCATAGTGTGCCAAAGTAACGTTATATGTACGTACATGGAACGTCCATATAATATTCTTGGACATACTATGGATATCCATTTCTACAGAGATGGATGTCCTATGGACACCATATGGACGACTTTGTGCTCTATGGGTGTATTATTACTCTCTAAAAATAAATTAGTCAAAAAGCAACTACTAATAATTCTCGTCAACAGCAATTTGTATCCAGGACATTTAGCAGTCAATTATCACTATAAAATATTATTCGCTGAATCCGAAAATGTCAAAAGTTACCGACTGAGATAGTTATCTAATAATTTGACTGTAAGGTAACTATTTATAGAACTCTAGTTATTTCCCTTTGTAGAAAACAACCGGCAAATCCTGCTGGCGTCGCAGGACGCCAACCAGAACTTCGAACGGTACAAAACGGAGGATTACGACAAAACCAGCATAGTTCACCTCGCCTACCAGCAGCACCAGCAACAACAGCAACTGGAACCTCTGCCGGCGAGAACGAACTTGGAGGACCCGTCTAGCATCGAAAGCATCCACGCGACCGTCTACACGAACCTGCAGACCGCGCGCAAAAAGCGCAAGCTGAGCCAGGAGTCGCCGCTGGTGAAAAGCGAGCCCGAGCACCTCGGTCAGAGTCAGCTGAGTCCGGGCGATCAGCTGGCCGGTTCCGTGGACGAGGAGTACGCCTCGTCCGAGGCGTGCCTTTCCGAGTCGCAGTACCAGTGCATCCGGTTCAATTCGTTCCAGCAGAACGGCTGGCACGTGCTGTGCGATCAGAATTTGACCGAGTTGTGAGTAACATTTCCTGATGTTTTTATTTGTTGTTTGTTTTTGCGAATTTATTCTACTATCGGTAAAAAACATCCTGAAAGTAAACATTTTATTATTTAATAGTAAAACTCTCGCTGGTTTTGTAAAAGTCAACTCGATTTTTTTTCTATGGTCTTATACAATTTTTGAGTTTTAGGCTACTAATTGTGAATTAACTTACCTTAAATTTCGCCTAAAAATTAAAAAAAAAATTTAAAACGTTTTTATTCTGAAAATAATTAATTTTTACAAGTTTACTTTAAGGTTCTAACTTACTTAATATTCACTAGATATTTAAATTCTTTACCTGCACTAGCATACTCAGTGTTGCATACTAAAAATCACGAAGTGACAAACATTTTGTAAAAAATAAACAGTTTAATGACAGCCTCTTTTAAGGCTTGTTTACAACTCTTGTGCTGTTTATACACATTAAACGTTTTAAACGTTGTGTTTCTTACAGAGGCACTTGCAAGCCTCAAGTGAGGCCTTAAAGTGTCAAGGACAACCATTTTACTCCGCTTTTGTAAAAAATACACATTATTCTATCAGGGTTGTCACCAAAATGTCAAATGTCAATTTTAAGGTTAATTTACCATAATCCTCAAATTAACCTTTAAATTGACATTTGACAGTTTAAAAAAACTGCTTTTGAGAATTGGAAAACCCCTAATTATTAAATTAATAATACATCAATAAAAGTTCAATTACTTTAATAAGATTAAACTTGCATGGCTTCCGCAATTCCTAAAATTTGGCTTAAATCTTGAAAATTCCTAAAGTTGCCATCAATCTCCTAAAACTCCTAAAAATTAAATATTAATAGGCCAACCTGATTAAGGTCGTGCTAAAAAATTATTTTTTTAATTTTTTAATTTCTTAAAAATGTCCAAACTTAAATATAAATTATATTAGATAAAATTATCATTAGTTAATTCTGCACCAACAAATGTACTTACCAAATTGGATCCTTTCATGAAAATGCAACATTTAGTACTTGAATTTTATTTACAATTAAAAACACAATAATTCACCATGATCCTTTAGATAAAATACACACACTAACGTAACTTTGTAATCATTTAAGCGTTGAGTTTCTTAATCAATGATATAAGGAATAATCAATCGAAATCGAGTACTAAACCAGTTTTTTAGTTTTTTCCTTGCAACGTAAAACGCAAATAAAGTGCGCGATTTAGCTGTGCAATTGAACAAAATTTGTAGTGGAAGACTTCTGCCTTCCTTTCTTAATGAAAGGTTTAATTGTGGGTTTATAAGTAGCTCAGGCGGGCTTGAGCACAATTCCGCGCGCGTGGATTAAAATTCGTCTTGTAATTGCAGGCCCACCCCACATTACAGAGTCGACGCCGATAAGGGATTCAATTTTTCGAACGCAGACGATGCTTTTGTGTGTCAGAAAAAGAATCACTTCCAAGTAAGACAATTTTTTGTGCTAAAAAAATGTACTATCTAGTTTTAACGCTTGAGCAAATTTGATATTAGACGACGTGTTATTTTAATTGTAAATAGATCACTTGTCAAGTCCGTTTGTTCGGCGACGCACAATTCGTGAAAACCCCCGACGGTTTCCAGAAAATTTCCAGCTTCCACATTCACTTTTACGGCGTGAAACACGACTGCCCCACGCAGACGATCAGGGTGGAACAAAGTCAAAGCGACCGAAGCAAAAAACCTTTCCACCCGGTACCGTAAGTATTATAATTTAAACAAAATTATCATACCACTCCCAATGCGGAAATTTTTCTCTAAAAAAGTTTTAAAAGTCTTACTTTATCTCGGAAAAGTCAGAATAAGACTTATAAAGATAAAAATAAATATCCGGAATTATTCAGAGAGGTTGTATTTGATTATTATAAAATAAAACACAAAGAATAGTATATTATGTATCAAGTTTGATAAACGCCATTTTATACACGAATTTAATTTAGGCATGAGCGAGCTTGCGAGCGAGTTCTTAAATTAATGAGTGTATAGAAAACTTTATAAACGAGGTGGATACTATACTTTTTATACGACAAATACTTATTATTATCTTAAAATGATTTAAATCAAAAATTTGTATAGAGCGCCATCTATGAAACAATAGGGGAATCTGTGTGTCACCGTCAAATGTCAAATTTTTGTATTTTATAAACAGATTATAAAGGTTATAAATCGAAATGTATTTCTTGAAAATTGACAGTTTTTTACAGTGAAAGTAAAGAAAATGTTTTATGAGCACTTTACAGTGGAGTCCGTGCCCGAATTTAAGTTATAGTTTACCGCCGGCGAAATTAAAAGTTCAGTACAATGTTCATATAAACTTTTCAAATATTGGCGTTGAGAAACTATTTGTATTGAGATAATAAAATAATTTTCACATTTAGTATTATTTTACAAGAAAGGCACTTTATTTTAACGATTGTATGACATTTGACAACTGTCAACTAACTTAAAACTAACTTCAGCCCGCGACTAAAAACCTGTTGCTAACTTCAGCCCGTGACTAAAACGCCGTAAAGCCACAACTTGTCAATGTGTATTTAAAAGGTCATTTAGTGTCATGGAAACATGTACGATAATGGTCGTTTTAAAGGCGGGAGTAGAAAAAACTCGTTTCATTGTGCTTTCTTTTGCAATAACCAAATACAACAAAACTTTCTCAGAGAAAAATTTCCACAAGGGCTTCTATAATGGAATTTAAAACATTCGAGATTCAAGATTTTTCCTATTTTTGGGGACTGATCTCGATTTATTAAATTCCACTAAAACTGACCTTAATTAATTAATAAAACCAAAAATTACGTTTACTTTGCCTGATTGGCAATAATTTCGAAATTGCTAGTCTTGCAAAGTGACACAGAACCGTTGTTTTTCATTGAACTAGTATTCAAAAATGGCAATTTAATAGGATCGAATTGATTAATTCTCAAGTGGTTAAGCTAACAGTCGGGAGGCTCCATTTTAGCGAGACTACCTCGAATAATATGCGAAAAAAGGGAAAACCGAACCCGGAACAAAGATACTTTCAAGTAAGTACCCAATCCTTAAAAGAAAAAGTGGGAAGGTACGTTCCGTATGACTAAATGTATTGATTTCGAATTTATTTTTAAATTTTTTATTTGCACTTTATCTCCCCACTTTTTAATCGAAGATTGAAACAAAATACAGGGTGTCCCAGAACTCGCGTGCAACTTCCCTTATGATCTTCCTACTATTTGCATCAAAGGCATTGAAAATAGCTTCTTTATTTTGTATGGCACGCTGTTTTAACATTTATTAAATAATTTTTTAATTTAAAATTTTAGGTTTACATTTATAAATTTAAAATCTTTTCAACTATCATGTATTGAAAGACAAAATTTACTAACTAACAGTTCACTTCTGTATTAAATAATATTATTTTCAATCAATTTTTGCAAGAATTTCTAACTATCATTTTTTAATAAAAATTATTTCCCAAGTATAATTTATTTGAGTGGCATTTTGTAAACTTAAATAAATATTTTATAAAATTATTGAGATTAATTTGGTAAAGTTAAATTTTTTATTATTTAAAAATAGTATCAAGCCATTTAAAATAAAAAAAGATATAAAACATTTTCTACCAAAACAGTTTAAAAAGTTAAATTTTTGTAAACTCAAAAACTATGATAATCAAAAATATTTTAAATATAAAATGCAACTGTAAAAGTTTAAGTTTAAAAATATTGATTTTTAAAAAATGGAATTTTAATATTTTATTCTTCAAAATTATTGGTTTGAATTTGTAAAGAGTCATTTAAATGATAGTCGATAAATTTTCAATACAAAAGTTTGAACATTACATTTAAATGTTAGTTTTAAATTTTAATGTGGTAATTTTTGCATTAAAATTTTATCGACTATCATTTAAATGACTCTTTACAAATTTAAACCAATAACTTTTATTTTCAATTTTAAATTGATACATTTTCAAGACAAAATTTATAACTTTACATTTAAATGTAAGTCGACAATTTTTAAATTACAAAGTGTAAACGTAGCTTTAGTAGAAGGCACAAGAGTCTGGGATCGGAGCCACGATGCAGTCAGTTTGATCCGCAGTGTTGCCAAATCGTGCTTGCTCCATAAATATTTGACGCGTTTTACAAATTATGGTAATGAAAGTTATAAATTTTGTCTTAAAATATATCACTTTGAAATTGTTAAAAATAAAAAATTTTGGTTTAAATTTGTAAAGAGTCATTTAAATGATTGTCGATTAATTTTTAATCCAAAAAATTAAAACTTACATTTAAATGTAATGTGAGAATTTTTGTATTAAAAATGTATCAACTATCATTTAAATGACTCTTTTAAAATTTAAACCAATAATTTTGTAGAATGAAATATTATAACCAAAACTTTTAAAAATCAATATTTTTAAACATAAATTGTTACTGTTGCATTTTATATTTAAAATATTTTGTTGACTATCAATTGTTTTGAGTTTAAAAAAAATTAACTTTATAAATTTCTGTTAAAACATAATTTAAGTGTTAAACTTTAATCTTTAAACTTTTATCTAATAAATGCTAAAACGGCGTGCCATAATTTTGCGATAATTTTAATTTTCAAGTATGTGTTTCGGCACGTTTCCTTTTTTTATGGGGCGCGAGTTCTGGGACACACTGTATAATTTTTAAAAAATTTAATTCAAAACAATGTTTTTTTTTAGCTAGTGGTTGGTTTACACGCCCACACTAGCACGGGAAATTTTGCCATCGTTAGTCATGCCAGTCAGAAAATTATCGTCAGGGTGAGTAATTCAATTTAATTTGAGAAAATATATATGGGTCGTTCCACGCCAAATCGACCACTTTTCAACCCGACGATACCCCACAAGTAGGGTTTAGTAAACATGGTTTAAATACAGGGTGATTATTTACACTCACTGGAAAACTCTCACTTTTCTTTACTTGTAGAACAATCTACTATTACTAAACAATATAAAGGCTATAAAGGATCAGACAAAAGTTTTATAGTATATTATGTATCAAGTTTATAAACGAGGTGAATACTATACTTAAACAAATACTTATTATTATCTTAAAATGATTTAAATCCAAAATTTGTATAGAGCGCCATCTATGAAACAATAGGGGAATATGTGTGTCACCGTCAAATGTCAAATTTTTGTATTTTATAAACGCAGATTATAAAGGTTATAAATCGAAATGTATTTCTTGAAAATGGACAGTTTTTTACAGTGAAAGTAAAGAAAATGTTTTATGAGCACTTTACAGTGGAGTCCGTGCACGAATTTAAGTTACAGTTTACTGCCGGCGAAATTAAAAGGTCGGTACAATGTTCATATAAACTTTTCAAATATTGGCGTTGAGAAACTATTTAATACTTTTGTATTTTTGTTTTGAGATAACAAAATAATTTTCACATTTAGTATTATTTTACAAGAAAGGCACTTTATTTTAACGATTGTATGACAACTGTCAACTAACTTAAAACTAACTTCAGCCCGTGACTAAAAACCTGTTGCTAACTTCAGCCCGTGACTAAAACGCCATAAAGCCACAACTTGTCAATGTGTATTTAAAAGGTCACTTAGTGTCATGGAAACATGTGCGATAAAGGGCGTTTTAAAGGTGGGAGTAGAAAAAAATGTTTACTAAACCCTACTTATCCTTATTCAGCATAAATATAAAGAGTAAGTTTTCACTAAACAAACGTATAATCGTTTTGTTTCCTAGGCTTCAAACCCAGGTCAATTCGAGAGTGACATTGAGTTGTGCTGGCAGAAAGGACAAACTCAAGTAAGCGAATATTTCGTAGAATCGCAACATTTCTATGCATTTTATTTTATTCACTTAGGACTCGATTTTCCACAACGGGCGAGTCGGTGTTAACACTGATCGACCCGACGAATCTCTAGTGGTCCACGGTAACATCAAAATCACCGGTCACATAATTCAGCCCAGCGACATCAGAGCCAAAAAAAACATCGTGGAATGCAACACGGCAGAACAGTTGAAGAACGTGCAGAGAATTAGAGTGGTCAAGTAAGAATATTTGAATTTTTAGTAATAGTTTTATAAAAACACGCAAAAAAGTATAGTAACTGGACATTTTATATAGTTATTGGACATACAATTTTTATATAAACATAACAACTTTACATCAAATAACATAAATTGTTAAATATTTTTTAAAGATAAATTGCTGTTTTTGGTAATTTTTTTTTATTCCGTTTTTGTAAATATCACATAATTCATATATTTCTTTCTCGGATTCCTCATCCCTTTTCTGGATTCTGTAGGTAACTACTAATTCCTTGGTCTGACTTCTGAAATAGTTTGTTGCAAATATCATTAAGTGCGTTATCTCTAGTTTGTGAAGCATTTATAATGTTAGGCCTAATATTTTTTCGGGTGGCATGTTAAAAGTATTGTCAGAATTTATTAATTTTGTTGCCATTAGTTTTTTATGTTCTCTAAATCACTGTTATTCTGCAAGATGAAAAAATCACTCTAAAAATGAATTGGTCAAAAATGTCATAGCGAAAATGCAGCCACTAATAATTCTCGTCAACAGCATTTGCATCCAGGACATTTAGCAGTCAATACCTATGAAATATTATTCACTGAATCCGAAAATATCATCAAAAGTTATAAAAGTAGAACAGTTTTTGAAATATATTTTCGTTTCATAACCAGCGTACCGATTTTTGTGTTTTTCCTGCCGAACGCGACTTACAAGGTTTAAAACTCTTCAGGTATGAGTACGAGCCGGCGCTGGCCTCGCAACTGAGCAGAGACAGCGAATGCTCGGACACCGGAGTCATTGCGCAGGAAGTGGCCGAAATTTTACCGGAAGCTGTCAAACCTGCGGGCGACTTGATCTTGGAGAATGGCACTTCGATTCGCGACTTTTTGGTCGTCAACAAGGTTTGTTACCTTCTACAGGGCAGTGGCGGCTGGTGGATTTTATGTATACCAATATCTCAGTTATTAGACATGGGACCCACACGAAATTTATATGAGTTTATAATTTTATAATAGTTTATAATGACATTAAATAAACAAGTTTGGCGCAAACAAATTTATCGACAAATTTAAAATTTTATTTAAAAAATCCAAATATTACAGGTTTTATACCATTTTAAATATTTTTTTATTTTAATAAAATAAATAATAAAAATTTTAAATCGAATAAAATCAGTAATATTTGAATTTTTAGTAGATAATAAATTGCACCACTTTAATTTGAATTATCTCAAATTTGGGGGCCTGGAGGCGGGTGAGGCGACAGGAAAAACTAACTTTTTTTCGCAAACTTTAATTTAAATTCTGTTTGCGCCAAACTTGTCTATTTAATGTCATTATAAAATTGGTGTGGGTCCCATGTCTAATAACTAAAATATTGGTATATCCAAAATCCACCACTGCTACAGGGCGTTATGTAATTAATGTAATATATTACTGAATACCTTTTGACATAAGGAGTAACGGAAAAATATTTAAAAAAAAAAGTCCCAAAGAAAAAGAAAAAATATGCATTAGAAGTTTTTTATATTTTTTGTGATACGCCACTGATTATACACTTGTGTTCTGTGAGTACATAGATAAATAAAAACTCAATAAATACAAAAGTTGAATGCCCTTAAAGCTTTACTCATCCAGCTATTAGCTTAAGCAATCATTAGAAAATTTAGTATCTATTTTAAAAACTCTATAACCACAAAAATAATTTTTTCATCGGTTTTTTTCTTTCTGTTTACTCGGATGAAATTAGGACAAGTTCGCAACATTCAATTTGTGTAAATAAATCCAAAAGCACTTCCCTTAGTTAAGTTGCCAGATTTTGTTTGAATTTACCTTCATTGCAAAAATTAATTAATAAAAACGCCAAATTAACAATTTGCATTGTTGATTTTGTCGTTTTTGTAATTAAGCTAAATTTAAACAAAATCTGGCAACCAGATTAGCCTAAAGTTCCTAGTCGATCAGTGGCGTACTTTTTGGTAGGATAAAGGTTATTATAAATTATTTAATATATTTCATTAATTACATAACACCCTGTATACAGAAAATTTAAAACAAATATATTTTTTTATCCATAGGAACGCATTTTTATGGAGAATATAGGCGCGGTCAAAGAGTTGTGCAAAGTGACGGACAACTTGGAGACCAGAATTGATCAGTTGGAGAGGATCAACAGGCGTTTGAACAATTTGAAGCGTAGCGACAGTTTCAAGTCAAACAGCACAGGTAATTTGATGAATTTTTGTTTTTTGAGTTGTGTTATATTTTTTTTTTACTTTTAGTGAGCAGTTCAAAATTGTCGTTTTCGCACAAATGTCCCAAACATCACGTTTGCAAGAAGGAGGAGGAATTCTGCTCCAACAAGTTTATACAAATCGTTATCGTAGTTTTAGTTTTGATCATGGCTTTTTGGTAAGTTTAATTAATAGTCATTCATGAATTCACCACCTGACAATTTTTTTTTGCAAACATACATATTGCCAAATAAAAAGTAAAATAGCAAATTATTGTTCACAACATTTCCAATGATTTTTGTCTGAAATATTTTTTCTTTAAACAAATAAGTAAAAAATTATAGTTAGTTAAAGTGAAAAATATACAGGGTGTTATGTAATTAATGTTATATATTAAAATGGGTTGTTCATTAGGGTCCATTAAGAAGCACCTGAAACTTTTTTTTTCTAAATTTCAAAGACTAAAAATAATTTATAATAACCTTTATCCTACCAAAAAGTACGCCACTGATCGACTAGGAACTTTAGGCTAATCTGGTTGCCTAATTTAATTTATTATGTTATGGTTGGTAACAACAGCGTTTCAAATTCTGTCAAAAAAGTTGCCAAGCATTGTTCAAATTTAGCTTAATTACAAAAATGACAAAATCAACAATGCAAATTGTCAATTTGGCGTTTTTATTAATTGTTGGTTATTTCATTTTTGTACTGAAGGTAAATTCAAACAAAATCTGCCAACTTTTATGACAGAATCTAGTGCATTTTTTTCAAATTTTAAGTTATGTGCTCAAATTGTAAATATCTTAACTAAGGGAAGTGCTTTTGGATTTATTTACACAAATTAAATGTTTAAAGTTTAACCTGTGAACTGGACCCAATTTCATCTGAGTAAACAAAGAAAAAAACCGTGGAAAAAATTAATTTTGTGGTTATGGATTTTTTAAAATAGGTACTAAATTTTCTAATCATTGCTTAAACTAATAGCTGGATGAGTAAATAAATACAGAAGGGTATTAGAGCTTTAAGGGCATAAAACTTTTGTATTTATTGAGTTTTTATTTATTTTTTGCAAGAACAATTTTCAGTAACAATTTTTTACATCTGGCAACGCGCAGCTACTTTGTTGGTTGGTATCTATGTACTCACAGAACACAAGTGTGCAGAGATAAACCAAGTGTGTAACCAGTGGCGTATCACAAAAAATATAAAAAAACTTCTAATGCATATTTTTTCTTTATCTTTGGAAAAATATTTTTTTAAATATTTTTCCTTTACTGCTTATGTCAAAAGGTATTCAGTATAATATATAACATTAATTACATAACACCCTGTATTTTTGTCTTTTTTTTTTACTTTTTCGCAATTGTTTCGAAAACAGTGCATTTAATGATAAATTATTACAACTGACATTTGTACCCCTTTTAATTTTCTACAATATAAAAAAAATAGAGATGGGTGCGACCAACTAGAGCTGACCAATCCTCGAGTGAACATGGCCGCTTTTGTACACCCACAATAACGCTTTTTCTCACCACTCTAGAGGAAGAGTATCAGAAGTGTTTATTTTATCGTGGTACCTCATTACATCTGCATTAAAATATATTTATTTCTTTTATGTTTATGATCGTTTTACTGTTTTTGAAAACACGCAAACATATTTTTAGTTTTCAGCGAATATCTCGGCCCCCGTATATTGCCCAGTAGAAAGTAAAATAGCAAATTATTTTTTATGGCATTTCCAATGATTTTTGTCCGAAATATTTTTTCTTTAAACAAATACACTCACAGGCATTATAATCGATCCACACAAATTTTCGATGAATTTCAATTGCAAATAACTTTTTTATTTGATGTCGGATTTAAACGAATATTAAAGAATATTGTAGATAAATTAATGGACAATCGCTCACATTGCTAAAAAATAGACGTACGTTTATAATATACAGGTTTAAACAAAAAGAGTGGCTAAACCGAATATTGTTCTAAATTAAGTTTTATTTATCAAGTCACATCTATTCTTAACAGTTTTGTTTTTGGTTCACCTCGATATATTTATTTTTGTGGAAAATATGGATTTTTTAAAAAAACATTGCAATTTCCAATATTTTTCCTGTATGAAGAACTAAGGTTGCTATGGTCCATCCATAGCCTATGGAGGATGACAGTGACAGTTTTGTTGAATCATCCCATACTTGGGCATGTCATATACAGCTTTCAAAAGGTATCAAATTGTTTTTTGTAAATTAATGTGTTAATTTTGAGGTGTCTTCATACTTTTAAAAATGTCTCCGACTGATGTTGCCCTTTGTACTTCTTGTGACGTTTAAAACTCTTGCCACGTAATACTGTGACCGTCCATCCTGGATTAAATTAATGGCTCTGGTAACATCAGTCGGGGACATATCCATTTTTTAAAGTAAGAAGACACCTCAAAATTTAAACATTAATTTGCAAAAAACAATTTGATAGCTTTTGAAAGCCGTGTATGACATGTCAAAATATGGGATGATTCAACAAAACTGTCACTGTCATTCTCCATAGCCTATGGATGCACCATAGCAACCTTAGTTCTTCATACAGAAAAATATTGGAAATTGCAATGTTTTTTTAAAAAATCCATATTTTCCACAAAAATAAATAAATCGAGGTGAACCAAAAAAAAAACTGTTAAGAATAGATGTGACTTGATAAATAAAACTTAATTTAGAACAATATACGGTTTTGCCACTCTACAGAGTGTCTTAAACTTATGGTAAAAAACATCTTTTTGTTTAAACCTGTATATTATAATTAGTAATTTTTTAAATAGTGAGCGATTGTCCATTAATTTATCTACAATATTCTTTAATATTCGTTTAAATCCGACGATTATTTTGCCTGTGAGTGTATTTTAGAACCATTTTTTGTAAAATATTACAGTCTTGCCGCAATAACGACGCTGTACCTGATGGAGGCGGCGCGCTACTCGCGCCAGTACCTCCAACCGAGCGTGGACGTCGGCGGCGGCGGCGTCGGCCAACGCGCGCCGCCGACCAAACGGCCGCCGAAGACGCCGCCGTCGCGTTCCACCTCCTCGATGGCGGCGTGGCGGCCCACCTCGCCCGTCACCGCCCGCTCCAGGGCCGCCAAAGACGGCGGCGGCGGCGGCGCGTTGGAGGGGGGAGGGGGCGGCGGCCCGAAGACGCCCGTCGATCCGACGCTCATCAGGAGCGGCGCCGACGTCGGCCGGCCCGCCGACTGCTACGACGAGAACATGGAGACAAGTCTGCCCTGTCAGGTGGGTTTTTTGATTTTAGACATTTTTATTATTAGGTAATACTTGCGTCAATATTTGATAATCGGCCGAAATGTACCACCAAAATTTTAGGTATTATATTTTATGTCGTATTACATAAAATTTTAATAATGTAACGTAATGGGTTTTAAAGTGTCGAAAAAAATCGGAATAATTGGGGAAAAACGGTTTTTTCCCAGAATAATGTTTAAAATTATTTTAATAAACAAAAAAAATCCTTTATTACAGAAAAAAAACTAATAAAACTAAACATTGAATTAAATTGAATTGATTTAAGAAAATATACGTAAACGTTAAATATACTTTAGGTTGGTTCCTTTTTGCAAAAGGAAGTCCATTGAAAATATCCAATTAAAAAATAATGAATGATTTAAGTATTAAGTTAAATTACAAAAATATAATTTTATAAATCTATGTGTTAAATAAAACGATAGTGATGTTAAATACAGGGTGTTATGTAATTAATGTTATATATTAAAATACTGAATACCTTTTGACATAAGGAATAAAGGAAAAATATTTTAAAAAGCATTTTTCCAAAGATAAAGAAAAAATATGCATTATAAGTTTTTTATATTTTTTGTGATACGCCACTGGTTACACACTTGTTTATCTCTGCACACCTGTATTTTGTGAGTACATAGATACCAACCAACAAAGTAGCTATGCATTGCCAGATGTAAAAAATTGTTACTAAAAATTTTTCTTGCAAAAAATAAATAAAAACTCAATAAATACAAAAGTTGTATGCCCTTAAAGCTCTAATACCCTTCTGTATTTATTTACTGATCCAGCTATTAGCTTAAGCAATGATTAGAAAATTTAGTACCTTTGAAATTTGAAATCCATAACCACAAAATTAATTTTTTCATCAGTTTTTTTCTGTGTTTACTCAGATGAAATTGGGACCAGTTCACAGGTTAAACTTTAAACATTTAATTTGTGTAAATAAATCCAAAAGCACTTCCCTTAGTTAAGATATTTACAATTTGAAAACATAACCTAAAATTTAAAAGAAATGCACTAGATTCTGTCATAAAAGTTGGCAGATTTTGTTTGAATTTACCTTCAGTACAAAAATGAAATACCAACAATTAATAAAAACGCCAAATTGACAATTTGCATTGTTAATTTTGTCATTTTTGTAATTAAGCTAAATTTAAACAATGTTTGTCAACTTTTTTGAGAGTTTTTGGAAAAACTGTTGTTACCAACCATAATATAATAAATCCACCAGATTAACCTAAAGTTCCTAGTCGATCAGTGGCGTACTTTTTGGTAGGATAAAGGTTATTATAAATTATTTTTAGACTTTGGAATTTAGAAAAAAAAAGTTTCAGGTGCTTCTTTATGGACCCTAAGGAACAACCCATTTTAATATATAACATTAATTACATAACACCCTGTATACAATAGCATCAAATCCCGAACTAGTTCCGGACATCCTAGGCATGCAGTACTAATAAGAATACTTTTAATAGTTTAATTTTTGAAATATACACGAAATAATTTTTATAATTATTTATTCCAATTTCTCGTTATAAATGTCAAATTAAACCATTTTGTTGTCATAAAAACATTGGTAAAAAAACTGGTCTCTCTTTCTCTCAACCAATCACAAACATGGATAACCTATCTTTACGCCGCCTTTTCGTGTTTAATATCACACTATCCAAAATGAAATGTTAAATAATTTTATTATTTAAAAATACAAAAGCCCTTGTATTATTATAAAAAAATTGTATGAAAATGTAAAATCCCCGACAGGATATACAGGGTGTTATGTAATTAATGTTATATATTAAAATGGGTTGTTCCTTAGGGTCCATAAAGAAGCACATGAAACTTTTTTTTTCTAAATTCCAAAGTCTAAAAATAATTTATAATAATCTTTATCCTACCAAAAAGTACGCCACTGATCGACTAGGAACTTTAGGTTAATCTGGTGGATTTATTATGTTATGGTTGGTAACAACAGTTTTTCTAAAATCTCTCAAAAAAGTTGACAAACATTGTTTAAATTTAGCTTAATTACAAAAATGACAAAATTAACAATGCAAATTGTCAATTTGGCGTTTTTATTAATTGTTGGTTATTTCATTTTTGTACTGAAGGTAAATTCAAACAAAATCTGCCAACTTTTATGACAGAATCTAGTGCATTTCTTTTAAATTTTAGGTTATGTTTTCAAATTGTAAATATCTTAACTAAGGGAAGTGCTTTTGGATTTATTTACACAAATTAAATGTTTAAAGTTTAACCTGTGAACTGGTCCCAATTTCATCTGAGTAAACAGAGAAAAAAACTGATGAAAAAATTAATTTTGTGGTTATGGATTTCAAATTTCAAAGGTACTAAATTTTCTAATCATTGCTTAAGCTAATAGCTGGATCAGTAAATAAATATAGAAGGGTATTAGAGCTTTAAGGGCATAAAACTTTTGTATTTATTGAGTTTTCATTTATTTTTTGCAAGAAAAATTTTTAGTAACAATTTTTTACATCTGGCAACGCATAGCTACTTTGTTGGTTGGTATCTATGTACTCACAAAATACAGGTGTGCAGAGGTAAACAAGTGTGTAACCAGTGGCGTATCACAAAAAATATAAAAAACTTCTAATGCATATTTTTTCTTTATCTTTGGAAAAATGTTTTTTTAAATATTTTTTCTTTATTCCTTATGTCAAAAGGTATTCGGTATTTTAATATATAACATTAATTACATAACACCCTGTATGACCTTTGCTACTTTTTTTATCTTATCACCTTTTTCCAGACATACTGCTGCGCCAGCTCGCAGATAGTCGCTCCGCCGGACTTGACTCCGTTCGAGAAAAAGTCGGCGTTAAACAAAAACCGCACAACGTTGCCGTTGATCAACTCGGACAAGAACAAAGTGTCGAAGCCGTTCCATTCGAACGACATCGACAAGCAAGTGCGGCAACGCCGCGAGGCGTTCGACGAAAACGACGATTCCAACGCCTTCTTCGTTAAAGGTAATAACGAAACGAGAAAATTTGTTTACATAGGTTGAAATAATGCTAACCCGACAAATTATTTTGTTTCAGATGAACACCAATCATTCGATATAACAATACAAGGGAGAAACTTTAATACGACGTTATTAAATACTTACCATTCAAACTACTACAATTTTACATACCTGGTTCCTATCTCGAAGTTTATGCCTGATGAGTTTGTAAACTTAATGTTTAGGTAAGTACCTATGTACATAATTTAATTATTAGCATTATGCATTATTAAAAGCGTTGATTGAGAAAGTCTTCACTCAACGGTAAAATACCAAAAACGGGTATATTATAGATATACGCTGAGACTAGGACGGAGAGATGGTTTTCGTAATTCAGCAGTACAACCTTCATAGGCGATTGGTGATGGTGAAGTTTGTTCTGGATTATTAACACGAATTACGCATTATTAAGTTAATTTACTTTTAAAAATGATTCAGATACTTAAAATGTAACGTAATCACTTTTAACAGTAAATTATTAATTAAAGGTGTAAAATCATTATTTGTTTTGCATTTAACTAAAAGTAATTTCTTATGCCTTAAAAATTGGTATAGTTTTACAATTTGATCTTTTAACTTTGGAATTTTGTAATTCATGTAAAAATCAGTACCCTGAAAAAAAACCGATAAATATTCTAATGGGAAATCAAATGGTCTACAAAAAAAGTCTTTTATCATTTTTGGCTAAATTAACTCCATCAAAAGTTATTCAAGGTTAAATTTGAAGTCAAAACGAAATTTTAACCTTGAATAACTTTTGATTGAGTAAATTTAGCCAAAAATGTTGATAAGCTTTTTTGTAAAGCATTTGATTTCCCATAAGAATATTTATCGGTTTTTTATGGGTATCTTATTTTTACATGAATTACAAAATTCCAATTTAAAAGATCAAAATGTAAAACTATACCAATTTTTAAGGCATGATTTTAAGGAAACTGTTCATCTGACGGAAAATTTCACTTTAACCTTTTTTGTAGAGCATTTAATTTTCTTAAAAAAATATTTTCGAGTCAATTTTGTTAAACTCAATGGTTTGGGGGTTCTGAGACAAAAACTTGCTAAGGAAAAAAAAACTCTTAATATTAATATTATGAACTCAAACTTTCACAATAATTTTTTTTGTCACCCCAAACCATATTTTCGATTTACTTAAAAAAAAAAATAGTTGATTTCTTTGGCCCAGTCTAATATAGTGTGTCCACTTAAGTTGGTATATTATAATATAAACAATGCATCCTAAGTATTCTAGCAATTCAAAGAACTCTCTATAGCCACGGATTGGGATTGGCCATCGTTTTTTCTTATCTCGCTTATCCTTTGCGTTAGATGATTTTAATTTTCAAGCATGTGTTTTGCATAACTACTGTACGTATAGTAATTAATACCTACCATTTTGTTAGGTCGACGCAGGCGAACGTTAAAGAGATCGAGTACTGTCACAACGACTACAAGCAGTACGAGTGTCTGTACGAGAAGGAGCGCAGCACGCACAAAGTGAACGAGTACAATCCGAGTCAGTTTTTGAGCTTGCAGAGCACCGTGTTCAAGGTGGATATGCGCGACTTTCGCTACAAATCGCTCACCTACAGGGCATCGCTCAAACAAACCCAGGTAAAATGCAATGTTTATTTATTTATTTATTTTAATAGGTACCTACTTACTTAATGGAAAAGTTGTGGACGTTTTTAAGATTTTATTCGATTAAATTCTTTACAAAAAATTACTACTCACAGGCAAAATAATCGATCCACACAAATTTTCGATCAATTTCAATCGCAAATAACTTTTTTATTTGATTTCGGATTTAAACAAATATTAAAGAATATTGTAGATACATTAATGGAGAATCGCTCACATTTTAAAAATTACTAAAAAATACACGTACGTTTATAATATAAAGGTTTAAACAAAAAGATGTTTTTTACCATACGTTTAAGATAATAATATTGGAAATTGCAATGTTTTTTTAAAAATTCCATATTTTCTACAAAAATAAATATATCGAGGTGAACCAAAAACAAAACTGTTAAGAATAGATGTGACTTGATAAATAAAACTTAATTTAGAACAATATACGGTTTTGCCACTCTACAGAGTGTCTTAAACTTATGGTAAAAAACATCTTTTTGTTTAAACCTGTATATTATAAACGTACGTCTATTTTTTAGAATTTTTTTAAAATGTGAGCGATTGTCCATTAATTTATCTACAATATTCTTTAATATTCGTTTAAATCCGACATCAAATAAAAAAGTTATTTGCGATTGAAATTCATCGAAAATTTGTGTGGATCGATTATTTTGCACGTGAGAGTATTACTACTATTAATTGGCCACAATTCTAATGTTGATTTCCTAGCAAACTGCCCATCTGATTTTGATGATTTTTTTTTAATCCTTAGGTTGAGTCTTTAGTACTTATTCTGATTTCAATTTGTTTTTTTATTCGCATTATTATCTCTGTTATTAACGAACCCAGCAAACACAACCGTAAAGATTCTATAATAAAACTTAGAAGGGCTTTAAATAAAAAATGACATGACCGTCGCATACTTTTTTTCCATCTGATTTCGCCCATTTTTATTTGCTTAAAAGTATCTCCATGTTGAGAATTTTAGGTTAGGGTTTCCACCGGTAAACAACCTACAACAAATAAAGCATAGCGAGCAATTTATAACTATTTATGTTGCTATTTTATCACTATAGACGGTCATGTTAATAAAAAAATACGAAGAATTTTACCTAACCTTTTCTATATCAAAATACACGACATTTGCAATAATAAAATATTTTATCTCCACGCGGTCTAATTTAAACTTTATTGTTGTCAACATTCGATAAAGAAATATCTTGTTATGGCCTAGGCCGATAAAAATTTTTATGAGGCAAGTAATTAGTTCGATTTTTTCTCGCTAGGGGTATTGTTTTGACAAATTAATCCTTTTCTAAGAAATTAACGTACTAAACTGGTTTAATTTATTTATAATAAGCACTAATTTGTTTGTTTTACTGTTAATGTTTAATATTTTTCATTAAATTATTGTAAAATTAAATATGAATAATAAAACAAAAAGTGAGGTTAGGCAACCAAGAAAACGCACGATTCTTTTTCTACGATTTAAATTGTCTTTAAGTTTTAATTTGCTTTAAGTTTTCAGTGAAATTAAATGTTAAACACAGCTTAAACATTCCAAACTACCTATTTTTTAAATAAAAATACAAACAAATTGAAATTAGATACCTACCTATTTATTAAACAATTAATTGAATTCAATGTAATAGCAAAAATCCATTTATACTTAAATCATGTAGCTAGGTATTGTCAAACTATTACTGCTTCTGAAAGCAATAATAATTATTGTACATTTAATGTAATCTTTAGCTAAAAAATAAATGAGATTCTAAAAAAGTGAGGTTAGGCCGCTTTGATGTTGAATTAAATTGACCTATATAAAGTGCTTAGAAGATAAAATGTTGTATGCCATTCGGCCAAGAAGTGCCTTTTTGTGCTTAGCACAAAAAGCCTTACTTCTTAACCTAATGACATAAATAACTATTAATTAACACATTCAGTACCATATAGCGACAAATAACGACCTAAAAGTCCTTCTACGGCCATTTGAAGTAAACATTAACAATAATGGCTATTCAAGACAATTTTATAACACAAAAACCCAACATTTGTTCAACATCATTTTCTTTGGCTACTTAAATTTTTAGAAGATCGCAAATGTTGGATTTTGCTCGAGGGACGTACGACGGTCATGTGAAACAGGAGTTTTAAAACCAAAATTAAAAAATAAATTCATAGGATGTTGAACTTTTGGTATTATAAATCGATAAAAAATATGCCTGTCTAGTAAAATGTAAACAAAATGATGGCTAATTTACATCACAATAATTTTTGTATTTATTTCCAGAACACTTGTAAATTGTCTTCAGTGAAGTTGGGGTTGGAGTTTATCGAATATAATTTTATTTTCTACAGACACTGTGATTAAGATTTTCTTTTAACTAATCAATGCAATTGATTTAAAATTTTCATAACAATGAACAAAAAATATAGTTTTAATTGATTTCCACGATCAAATATAATTATTTATTTGTGTAGTGCTCGAATATGAAGTGTGTATATTTGCATTTGTATAATTTCTCTGATAATTTGTATAGGCCTAGATTGTTGGGTATTATTTATTTTTTAAACATCACTAAGTTTATGCAGTACCATTAAGGGGTAATATAACCCTATTATGGGGCTAATATCAATTCCAATACAAAAATATATATATACAGTAAACAAGAAGTGTTTTCGATTGTTGTTTTTCTGAGGTGTTTTGACATTTTAGAGTATACTTCGAGTTCTAATTGATCGATTTGACCAAACAAGCACTTAAATCAAAGGTAATTGAGCCCACTACAACTTTCTCTTGTATAGTATTGGTATCGGCTCAGTAGTTCGATACTGGCGATTTTATGAAGTTGAAAAAGTCCTTTTTTTTACAAAAATCGAGGTCGAAAATTTACATATCTTTCTGGGAAAGATAGAAATCGAAAAGATAAGTCCAGTTTGATTTATTTTACGTATAGATTATACTTAAAGGAAAAAAATAAGCTGCTGTTGATAAAAATCCATGGATAAATGAATTTTTTATTGGAAGAGCAAAATTTAGTTTCGAATATTGAACAATAAATATTGAACATTGAAGATATTAAAAGTTTTTACAAAATAAAAAAAAATAAAATAAAAATCGTCAAAAAGCTGAATTTTGGTCTTCCACTAAAAAATTCATATATCTTTTTCATGTATTTTTATAAACATTACCTTGTTTTTTTTTTTGTAAAAATGTTAGTTTCACGAAAAAAAAATCAAACTGAAGTTATCTGTTTGATTTAAACCTTTCCCAGGACGATATGTATGCCATAAAAACGATTTTTTAAGTTATCAAAATACTTATCCGAATCGGATATATATCAAATGTAGGTAAAAGAAAATTTTAGAGGGCTCAAATACCTTCAATTTAAGGGCTTGTTTGACCAAATTGATCAATTAGATTTCAAGCTATACTAAAAAACGTCAAACCACCTCCGAAAATTGAAAAAAAAAACAATTGAAAATTCAATTACAGAAACGCTTCCATAAAAAAAATTGAGTGTAACTTTCGTGTTTAGTGAGTCAAAATAATCTTTACAATTTATTTTAATGTCTGTAAATAAAAATACCCCTTAATTGCTGCATTCGCGAAAATTTTAATTAAGATATTACAAACTTTTAGGGTATTTAATTGTGTTTTATTCTTAAGTGAATTTATCCATGACGTAGATTTATATTTACATAATCGTTAGCTTTAATCGGTCGGTTATTCTAACCGACCTCTAATGATATTTTCCTTTGAATATTTATGAATAAAGTGTACTTAACTAAATATCCGTCCATATTACAATATAGACAACCTGTCTAAGACAACATACATACATCTCATTTTTTATATTATATTATAATAGTGTTTAATAGATAAGAAAGCAAAAAGTGTTTTGATGCCTTTGTTTTTTATTTAATTTTTTTAATGGTCAAAATTTTTGTTTATAGCCTAAAAATAATTTTGAAACAGAAAAAGTTATTACCTTTTGCAGGAATAAATGGCATTAAAAATAACTAAACTTAGTTTTTCCTACTCCCTTCTTATTGTTAACACTGGTAAAAAAAAATTTAATATTTTTTTATTCAAAATACGTATTTTGGTCTATCTTAACACTATTTGCTACAAATACATTCTATATATATATTTACTATTTAACATAGTCTATTTTGTTGTTTTATATTATTTTATAGATTTTTATTATTTCCTGTATTTAGGATTAAAACTTTTTAGTGTATAGAATTTATGCAATAATACTGTTTTAAATGTGACTGTAAAATAAATTTGTTTTCTTTTTTTGTTTTGTTTTTATCTTAGTCTATAACCTCAATTCTACTGTCAGTGACTGATACCTAACCTTAATTATACCAAAAGTGGCAGATACCTAACCTCAAATCTACGTCATTCATCAATCATCACCAATTTTAAAATAATTAAACAAGATTCCTTGGTCTAATAAATGTTTACAGCGGCATATAAGGTAAGACTACGTAATCGCGAATAAAAAAAATAGTTTTAAGTTTGATTTTTTAAAATTTGGCAGTAGGTTCATAAAACATAGTTAAAATAACTGTTTACATCCACTGCTAAAGTCCTGTGACTAAAACCTGGGACTATTGATTGATAGAAATTTTGCAATTTGTGATTAAAATAAACTTTATTTAATTAAGTAAAAATAACAATTTTGATAAACTAAAATATAACTAATAGGTAGGTAATAAGATATTATAATACATATTATTTGCATTCAACAAGAAAATCTTCAAAGATTCTAATTTTCAAAGGATTACCCCAATCTGGTTTTTCAATTTCTTCATTGAGAGCAATTTGCGTTTTATTTACAAAAATTTTGAATTTACTTTTATCAGAGGTAATAATATTTTTTAGTTTAAGTTTTTCATTATTGTTACAAAAAACAACAGTTATATGCTCCATAAACACATAATAATCATTTTCTTTAATGTTGCCAAACCAATAATCACTACTCCAGTAAGGCCTCAAAATTGTATTTTTATGAGTTTTAAAATGATTTTCAAGTTCAGAGAAGTTTTTAAAATTCTCAATTGTGCAATTTGGCACTGGGCACATTGGTATGGGCTCACGGTAAACACAGTTTTGTTCATGTTCATACAGAGCCAAGCTATTAAAATGCTCCCCACATTTCCATTTGCAAAATACTTCCAAATTTAGGAGTTCCTTGAGTCTTAAGTATACCATAAGATCATGACCATTGGGGCACTTTTTGCTTACATAATTTTTACAAAAACTACAAAATACAGTTGGTTTAGAACATTTTGCATAACAAAAATATTGATATAAATACAATTCCTTTTTACAAAATAGGCAAAAATAGTTGTGTAATATGTTTGTCCCATCAGTGTTAATAATAGACATTCCACAAGTTGATAGTTTACAACCAGGAAATGCTTTTTTAATTGTTGGTGACAAATATAGTTTATTAGTATAACATTTATTAATCATGGATAATTTGTCATTTTTTTTTACCCGCAATTTAGTAAACTGTACAACATTAAACCTTAATATTAGTTCACAAATAATGTTGTCCAATGTTTCAAGCTGCCCCATGGAAAATTCAAATCTTTTCTTCATGAATGTGTCACAGGGTTGAAATTCACTGTTCATGCAAAATGAACCTTCTTGTAAACGAAATTTCTGGCTAATCTCTTTAGCTAACTCTTCGGGGCCAACCAACTTATTGTCAAGAAAAATTTTGCTGTTCACTGTATCCACTGATATGTTCAACATGAAAATCATGTTTTCAGTGCAGTACAAGTAGTATTTGTCAGAATCAATGGTGCCATTAATTTGAACATCAGGCCTTTTTAACAAATAACATCCGTGGTATTTTTTAAAGTGTGCCAGCATCAAGTAGGGTGGCATGTTTGAGTCGGAGCACAATGGACACGTGTGAAAATTTTTGCTGATGCAGCTCTTCTCATGTTCTTCCACTTGATCGGGGAGCAAAAGTGATGTGCATCCCTCGTAACGGTTGTAACATTTAAAAAGCATTGTTGGAATTACTTTATTCACCTGCGATGGCGCCCCGTTATCGTCTTCTTCAATGCATCTGCCACATTTCGTGTCTCTGTTGGGGTAGGCGCGAACTGGTAAAACCGACAAATATTTTGAACATTCCGAACAGATCATCTCGTCCAAGACCTTGTCAGGAACAATTGTATTCATTTTGCTGATTTCACTTTAACTATCAAGGCATACAAAACTTGGAAAACGAAAATGCTAAACTACACAGAAATCCAGAGATAAAAAATTACGTGAATTACGCAGAAACAGTGTTGCCAACTCTTTGTCTAGTGCAATTTTGTTTGGCCGATTTGTTTAGGATTCTAGTTTTAACCATATACCTATAACATAAGTCGTTTTTTCGCGTAAATACCAAAGATTAAATATACTCTTTATATATTTAATCTTTGTAAATACTATGTAATACTACGGTCACAGTTAATTCATATAACCATGGTTAGGTTTCTAACATTTGACATTTGTTTACTTGTTCATAACCTATAATTTTTGAAATGTGTTTTTACCTATTTATATTTAATTTCTATGCTTTTACCGGTGTAAATAAATTTCTTTGCCTCTTTTTATACCTAGTATATTCTTTTTCTATAGGTACTAGTTTTTTTAATACGCGTTATCCAATTCTCCTACATGTTTAATACAAAATAAGGAAGAATATAAAAAAACCTGCATATAGGTAATTCCTCCACTTGTGGAGATTCACAATATGGAGCACCCTATCATTTATTTTTACTGACAACACCCCGTTTACCATTTTAATACAAAGTTTAAATTCGGTTTAAGAGCAATTGTACCTACTTAAAATATTTTAAATTTCAAATGTAAACAACTTCTTGACAGATCGAAACAGAGAAAAATATATATTAAAAAGAGAAAGACTATTAACCACGTTGAATAACTAGCTCAGCGATATAGTTTTATGGTCTGGTATTTGTGACGTCATAGTTAGGATTTTTGAACGCACTCTAAACGCAAAAATGCCTTAACTATTATAACCACGGTTAAGTTTAATAACCATAGGGCCGGTTTTTCAATCGTTGGTTAAGTTTAACTTACGGTTAACTTTCTTAGATACTATTGGGTTAACAATAGTATCTAAGGAAATTAATCGTAAGATAAAGTTAACCAACGATTGAAAAACCGGCTCATAGTATTTCATGGTATTTACGCGAAAAAACGACTATAGGTATTTGGTTTTAACACATAAATTTATTATTTGTTATTTTAGGCTGAAACGCTTCTTCCCTAATCTACAGAGCGTTATTTTATTTTAAAGTGCATGCGTTTGTCCCAAAACTCTTTTGCATCAAACTCACTTTGCACCATTTAATAATGTTCGTCATGTTGGCAAAACTTACTCTTTTAAATTTGACATTTAAAACGTCACAATTAGGGATGCGCATCGAATACAAAAACATCGATGTTGGCATCGATGTTGACATCGAAGGTTGAATATCGATGTCATCGATATATCGGGTAGAAAACATCGATTTTTCCAAAAAAATCGATGTTTCAAACTAAAACACAAGTCTAAGAAAAACATGTATAAAATATATTTATTTCCAACTTATAAAAAAAACACATAAAAAATAAACAAAATAAACTTAAATTCTCTTTTTTTAATTTAAAAAAAAATAAAACTAAATTATTAGCCAAAAAAAGTTAAGTTAAATCCCAATTTTGCCTATCCAAGTTCTGTAGAAACAGTAATTTAGACAACAGTAACATCGCAAACATCGATGTCATTAAAACATCGAAAATGCAAGATCGATGTTAAAAAATCGATGTTCACTTCAATAAAATCGATGTTTGACGAACATCGAATATTCGATGCGCATCCCTAGTCACAATCAAAGAACAAAATAACTGTTTACATGGGGGCCGAGGATGGCGCAGTGGGTTAAAGCTACAGAGCCGTAATCAATCTGCGCCACGGTACCGGGTTCGATTCCCGGTCACAGCCTTGGGTGTTGTGCTTGTTTTTCGAGCATAAAAATATAAAATAATGAGCTGGCTAAATAGTCTAAAAGACTAAGTCAATAAACCTTAAAAAAAAAAAAACTGTTTACATCCACTGCTGAAGTCCTGTGACTAAAACCTGGGAATATTGATTGACAGAAATTTTGCAATTTGTGATTAAAATAAACTTTATTCAATAAAGTAAAAATATCTTGAAATGTTTCGTAATAACAATTTTGTTATACTAAACTAACAGGTAGGTAATAAGATATTATAATACACATTATTTGCATTCAACAATAAAATCTTCAAAGATTCTAAATTTCAAAGGAATATCCCATTTTGGTTTTTCAATTTCTTCATTAAGAGCAATTTGCGTTTTATTTACGAAAATTTTGAATTTAGTTTTATCAGAGGTAATAATATTTTTTAATTTAATTTTTTCATTATTGTTACAAAAAACAACAGTTATATGCTCCATGAACACATAATAATCATTTTCTTTAAGGTTTCCAGCCCAATAATTACTATCCCAGTAAGGCATCAAAATTGTATTTTTATGAGTTTTAAAATGATTTTGAAGTTCAGAGAAGTTTTTAAAATTCTCAATTGTGCAATTTGGCACTGGGCACATTGTTATGGGCTCACGGTAAACACAGTTTTGTTCATGTTCATACAGATCCAAGCTATTAAAATGCTCCCCACATTTCCATTTGCAAAATACTTCCAAATTTAGGTATTCATTGTGTCTTATTATGTATCCTGTAAGATCATGACCATTGGGGCACTTTTCGCTTACTTTACGCTTATTTTTACAAAACCCACAAAATACAGTTGGTTTAGGACATTTTGCATAACAAAAATATTGTTTTAAATACAATTCCTTTTTACAAAATAGGCAAAAATAGTTGTGTAATATGTTTGTCCCATCAGTGTTAATAATAGACATTCCACAAGTTGATAGTTTACAACCAGGAAATGCTTTTTTAATTGTTGGTGACAAATATAGTTTATTAGTATAACATTTATTAATCATGGATAATTTGTCATTTTTTTTTACCTGAAATTTACTAAACTGTACAACATCAAACCTTAAAATTAGTTCACAAATAATGTCCAATGTTTCAAGCTGTCCCATAGAAAATTCAAATCTTTTTTTCATGAATGTGTCATATGGTTGAAACTCACTGTTCATGAAAAATGAACCTTCTTTTACACAAAACTGCTGGCTAATCTCTTTAGCTAACTCTTCAGGACCCACCAACTTACTGTCAAGGAAAATTTTGCTGCTCACTGTATCCACTGAAATGTTCAACATGAAAATCATGTTTTCAGAGCAGTACAAGTAGTATTTGTCAGAATCAATGGTGCCATTAATTTGAACAACAGGCCTTTTTAACAAATAACATCCGTGGTATTTTTTAAAGTGTGCCAGCATCAAGTAGGGTGGCATGTTTGAGTCGGAGCACAATGGACACGTGTGGAAATTTTTGCTGATGCAGCTCTTTTCATGTTCTTCCACTTGATCGGGGAGCAAAAGTGAGGTGCATCCCTCGTAACGGTTGTAACATTTAAAAAGCATCGTTGGAATTACTTTATTCACCTGCGATGGCGCCCCGTTATCGTCTTCTTCAATGCATCTGCCACATTTCGTGTCTCTGTTGGGGTAGGCGCGAACTGGTAAAACCGACAAATATTTTGAACATTCCGAACAGATCATCTCGTCCAACACCTTATCAGGAACAATTGTATTCATTTTGCTGATTCCACTTTAACTATCAATGCATACAAAACTTGTAAAATGAAAATGCTAAACTACACAAATCCAGATATAAAAAATCTGTGAATTACGCAGAAACAGTGTTGCCAACTCTTTGTCTAGTTGCAATTTTGTTTGGCCGATTTGTTCAGGATTCTAGTTTTAACACATACATTTATTATTTGTTATTTTAGGCTAAAACGCTTCTTCCCTAATATACAGATCGTTATTTTAAAGTACATGCGTTTGTCCCAAAACTCTTTTGCATCAAAATCACTTTGCACCATTTAATAATGTTCGTCATGTTGGCAAAACTCTTTTAAATTTGACATTTAAAACGTCAAAATCGGGAATAAAAATAATGGTTTTAAGTTTGTTTTTTAAAATTTGGTTCATAAAACATTTTAGTTAAAATAACTGTTTACATGTATCCACTGCTAAAGTCCTGTGACTAAAACCTGGGACTATTGATTGATAGAAATTTTGCAATTTGTGATTAAAATAAACTTTATTTAATTAAGTAAAAATAACAATAACAATTTTGTTAAACTAAAATATAACTAATAGGTAGGTAATAAGATATTATAATACAAATTATTTGCATTCAACAGTAAAATCTTCAAAGATTCTAATTTTCAAAGGATTACCCCAATCTGGTTTTTCAATTTCTTCATTTAGAGCAATTTGCGTTTTATTTACGAAAATTTTGAATTTACTTTTATCAGAGGTAATAATATTTTTTAGTTTAATTTTTTCATTACTGTTACAGAAAACAACACTAATATGCTCCATAAACACATAATAATCATTTTCTTTAATGTTGCAAAACCAGTAATTACTATTCCAGTAAGGCATCAAAATTGAATTTTTATGAGTTTTAAAATGATTTTCAAGTTCAGAGAAGTTTTTAAAATTCTCAATTGTGCAATTTGGCACTGGGCACATTGGTATGGGCTCACGGTAAACACAGTTTTGTTCATGTTCATACAGATACAAGCAATTAAAATGCTCCCCACATTTCCATTTGCAAAATACTTCCAAATTTAGGAATTCCTTGTGTCTTATGTATACCATACGATCATGACCATTGGGGCACTTTTTGCTTACATAATTTTTACAAAAACTACAAAATACAGTTGGTTTAGAACATTTTGCATAAGAAAAATATTGTTTTGAATAAAATTCCTTTTTACAAAATAGGCAAAAATAGTTGAACAATATTTTGTCACCATCAGCATTAATAATAGACATTCCACATGTAGATAGTTTACAACCAGGATATGCTTTTTTAATTGTTGGTGACAAATAAAGTTTATTAGTATAACATTTATTAATCATGGATAATTTGTCATTTTTTTTTACCCGCAATTTAGTAAACTGAACAACATCAAACCTTAATATTAGTTCACAAATAATGTTGCCCAATGTTTCAAGCTGTCCCATAGAAAATTCAAATCTTTTTTGCATGAATGTGTCACAGGGTTGAAATTTACTGTTCATGCAAAATGAACCTTCTTGTAAACGAAATTGCTGGCTAATCTCTTTAGCTAACTCTTCGGGACCCACCAACTTACTGTCAAGAAAAATTTTGCTCTTCTTTGTATCCACTGAAATGTTCAACATGAAAATCATGTTTTCCGTGCAGTACAAGAAGTATTTGTCTGAATCAATGGTGCCATTAATTTGAACAACTGGCCTTTTTAACAAATAACATCTGTGGTATTTTTTAAAGTGTGCCAGCATCAAGTAGGGTGGCATGTTTGAGTCGGAGCACAATGGACACATGTGGAAATTTTTGCTGATGCAGCTTTTTTCATGTTCTTCCACTTGATCGGGGAGCAAAAGTGAGGTGCATCCCTCGTAACGGTTGTAACATTTAAAAAGCATTGTTGGAATTACTTTATTCACCTGCGATGGCGCCCCGTTATCGTCTTCTTCAATGCATCTGCCACATTTCGTGTCTCTGTTGGGGTAGGCGCGAACTGGTAAAACCGACAAATATTTTGAACATTCCGAACAGATCATCTCGTCCAAGACCTTGTCAGGAACAATTGTATTCATTTTGCTGATTTCACTTTAACTCTCAAGGCATACAAAACTTGGAAAATGAAAATGCTAAACTACACAAATCCAGAGATAAAAAATCTGTGGATTACGCAGAAACAAAGTTGCCAACTCTTTGTCAAGTTGCAATTTTGTTTGGCCGATTTGTTTAGGATTCTAGTTTTAACACATAAATTTATTATTTGCTATTTTAGGCTGAAACGCTTCTTCCCTAATATACAGAGCGTTATTTTAAAGTACATGCGTTTGTCCCAAAACTTTGCAAAATCACCAGAGATAAAGAAGGTTAATCACTTTGCCACAGATTATAAAGATTATGCACTTTGCACCATTTAATAATGTTCGTCATGTTGGCAAAACTTACTCTTTTAAATTTGACATTTAAAATGTCACAATTTTGTAAATAAACTGAAAATGATGGTTTCAAAAACGGGCTATTAAACCAAAAGTACATCATGAATTGCGTTATTCCCGGTGGAAATGTGAAAGGTAAGTCTGGTTTAATTGAAATTTAATTAAAGGACTTAATAATACGCTTTTAAGTGCTGGCTAGAGGGTTACAAGCCTTGGCCAAAATCGGGGATGATCTTTTTATAGAATTCAAGAAGGAATTAATTTCTTTCGTGGCTTTAAATCAAAGTAAAACTGTTTGTAGTAGGTTTAATTTGTTGTACAGTTATTTTTCTACGTATGATGTTAATGAAGAGGAGCTAAGAGATCAAAGCAATAATGCTATTAATTGTAAAATTCATATGAAAGTTTTACTGCCTTTGTTTAAAGGTATTAATTTGGATAAAAAGGTGAGAAATTCATTGCAACTAACAATAATATTATTAAACTTTGTTTAATTTAGTTCGAATACATTAAAATAGACTATGAAACAAATGCAGATATTATTTTGTTTAAAATGAAATACAAATGCGATGATATAGTAATGTTGCATAAATTGCGGCTCATGGATACAGAAGTGCTAAAAATAGGGGTTAATACAAGTTCTGGTTCAAACAACACTTGTGCCACAAATACTTTTTACAATCAGCTGATGACAATGTTTAGCAATTCTGATGACGAAATAACATTGGAGATTGAGAGGGATAAACTAGTGGCCAGAAATTATTTTGTTGGTGAGTTGGTGACAAAAAAAACCTGCATAAAATACTAAATGTTGTTTCTAGGTGCCCCACCTAAACCCAGAGCAGTGAGGAGTCAAGTCAATCTTAACGGGTCTGAATTTTTGATTTACAAAATTGAAACTGAAACGACCATCAATTTTTCCCTGAAACCTTTTAGGACTGCCATACAGTTTGCAGACGGGTTGGGTTTAAATATTGGATTTAATTTTGAGACTGGAGGAAGGTAAGTGTTTTACTATTTGTGTTTTTAATAATTTAAAAATTATTTGATTCTGCATTTAGCATTTTTTTCATTTTATGTTAGAAATGAATTATGTAGTGGAATATCTCTTTCTAGGTTATGTTTATGTTTATTTAATTTGTTTGCATCATGATACAAAAAAACAAGGTTGAATTTAAATTATATTTTAAATTTAAATATTATTCTGTTATGAAATTCATGCAAACTTATATTAAATTATTCGATTTTTAGATTAAATTTTCAAATAATTTGAAGATCACACATAAAAACGATATACCTACCTAAATCACAACATTTCAAGAAAATATTATTATTGAAAAAAAACTATTTTATGTTTTTTCAATTAAATATTTACTAAATACCAAATAAAATATTTGAAAAAAGTGTTAAGAAAAATTTAATTTTAGTATTTCTGTTAAATGTTTTAAATAATGGGTTTTCAAATAAAATGTTTTCTTTTAAATCAATTTATAAGTCAAATGTTTTCAATAAAATAAAATATCCTGTTTTAAAGCAAATATTAAGAATGAAATAAAAAGTGTCAAGTTATAACATTAACATTGCAAGAAAAATGAAAAAACAAATTTATTTATTACAAAATTAATTTTACAATTGTATCTACAAATAGTTGCAATTTAGGTTTAGTTGCCAAATAAAAACCCTAAATTGGTCACCATGGAAAAAAACAAAATAAACTTGTGAAAAATATTATATTATGTTTGAGTTTCTGTTATGGACTGTCCTTGAAGATGATTAGCTTCCTTGTCTTGGCACATTTCCTGCACAAAGCAAAAACAAATATTTAATTTTTATTAATTTTGTTTTTCAAATTTTATTTTAATTTCTTACACTGCATTACTTAAGTTTCTGTCTTCAAAGATTATATTATGCTTCCTGGTTTTGTCCTATTTCTTGTACACTGTAAAAAGAACTATGATTTATATAGTTTTTTTTAAATTTTTTAATTTCTCAGTACTTGATTTCTCTTTTGATAGATCAGCTGTTATGGGAAAGTTGAAACCATATCCAATTTTAAAGACTTTTATCATTTTTTAAAAACTAAAAATCAAACTGGCATAATAATAAAAAGGGTATTTCAGGCATGCATACGGGACAATTACAAAACTGTTTTTATAAAAAAATTGTAGGTGATTTATTATAAATATAATATTTTGGCATCAAAATTCTCAAAAATATTCTTCTTTTATTAGGCTATACATTAAATTAAAAAAATATTTTATAAAAGTAGAGAAATTGATAGGTGTGAGAAATATTTCTTTGTTCCGCCCACACCTTTCAGTTATTAAAATTATCTCTACTTTTATAAAATATTTTTTTATTTAATGTATAGCCTAATAAAAGAATATTTTTGACGATTTTGTTGCCAAAATATTATATATTATATATACAGGGTGTTATGTAATTAATGTTATATATTAAAATGGGTTGTTCCTTAGGGTCCATAAAGAAGCACCTGAAACTTTTTTTTTCTAAATTCCAAAGTCTAAAAATAATTTATAATAATCTTTATCCTACCAAAAAGTACGCCACTGATCGACTAGGAACTTTAGGTTAATCTGGTGGATTTATTATGTTATGGTTGGTAACAGTGTTTCCAAAATCTCTCAAAAAAGTTGACAAACATTGTTTAAATTTAGCTTAATTACAAAAATGACAAAATTAACAATGCAAATTGTCAATTTGGCGTTTTTATTAATTGTCGGTTATTTCATTTTTGTACTCAAGGTAAATTCAAACAAAATCTGCCAACTTTTATGACAGAATCTAGTGCATTTCTTTTAAATTTTAGGTTATGTTTTCAAATTGTAAATATCTTAATATCTTAAGGGAAGTTCTTTTGGATTTATTTACACAAATTAAATGTTTAAAGTTTAACCTGTGAACTGGTCCCAATTTCATCTGAGTAAACAGAGAAAAAAACTGATGAAAAAATTAATTTTGTGGTTATGGATTTCAAATTTCAAAGGTACTAAATTTTCTAATCATTGCTTAAGCTAATAGCTGGATCAGTAAATAAATACAGAAGGTATTAGAGCTTTAAGGGCATAAAACTTTTGTATTTATTGAGTTTTTATTTATTTTTTGCAAGAAAAATTTTTAGTAACAATTTTTTACATCTGGCAACGCATAGCTACTTTGTTGGTTGGTATCTATGTACTCACAAAATACAGGTGTGCAGAGATAAACAAGTGTGTAACCAGTGGCGTATCACAAAAAATATAAAAAACTTCTAATGCATATTTTTTCTTTATCTTTGGAAAAATGTTTTTTTAAATATTTTTCCCTTATTCCTTATGTCAAAAGGTATTCAGTATTTTAATATATAACATTAATTACATAACACCCTGTATACTAAATTTGTGTCAAATAAAATTTATTAATTTTTTGTAAATATACGTTATATTCGTATTTAGTTCACAGTTTATTAATAATAAATATTGTTTATTACTTAGAAGAAAAAACAAGGTTTATTAATAGTCACGGAGGATAGGTTTTAGACTTTTAAAACATAATTAATTGCGGTTAAAAATCTGGAACCTGAGCTGTAATATCTACTTAATTATGAAAGATCAAAACACAATAAAAGTGTAGGTCAAACTCATTTAGTTTTATTAAATATCACGGGGTAACATTTCGTGAGATCCAAATAAAAAAAATTAAATTTTTTAACCATGGTTTGCGATTTGAAAATCTCTGCTTTCACGGTCAAGCACCGACATTTTTAGATTTAATGTCATTTTTAGGCCGATGTCGATGTTGATGAAAAACCCAACGTTCGAGCTAATTTTCATTGTCGCCACCTTAAACCCGTACAGCGACGGCCAGTCGACAATCACGGCCGCCTCGATACCCGCGCGAATAACTCAGCAAAGTCAAAACGGCGCGAATATAACAGTCGAAGATCAACTGGCGATCTTGAACGAGAACTGGGACGAGTTCGAGATAGACGAGAACCAGAAAGACAAAAGAAGCACGCCGTCGGCGACCACTAGGACTCTGGTTAGCGAAAACAGCGCCGACTCCGACGACATTTTCGCCACCAAAAGCATCAAAAGCAAGATAAACGCCACCAAAAGGCCGAGTTTCAAGGAGTTAATGGAGAAGAAGAGGGTGAAAGCGAAAGAAAAGGTTTTTAGTGCGGCCGATGAAACAGTGGACGTTTTACCGGAGTCCCCGGAATCCCCCAGAACGAAAAGGGCCAAAGTGGTTTTTGGCCGATGTCTGGATCCGACTTTTTCGGAGACCATGTTGGGGGAAGTTTTGGTTGGCAACAGCGATTCCGAATAAAATTTGAACAAATGTACCTGCTTAATATATTTTGATTATTTTTGTATACAGGGTGTTTTTTTTAATCCTAAATCCTTGGTTCCGCAACCGTTTTATTTTAAAGATAGTGTCAAATGTCAATTTTAAGGTTAATTTGAGGGTAATGGTAAATTAACCTTAAAATTGACATTTTTTACATGCCAGAATCTGTCAAAAAAATCCGCTAGGTTTTGTTTGAATCCACCTTAATCACAAAAATAACACTTTGATACAATGCAAATTGTCAATTTGACGTTATTCATTTTTGTTAATTGTGTCATTTTTGTAATAAAGGTGCATTTAAACAAAATCTAGCGGATTTTTTTGACAGATTTAATAAATTTATTTAAAACGATTATTAATCTGTATAAATAAATAAAATAATCATTAATGTCAGTGGCGTGCAGGACGGGCCCCGCAGGGCCCGCGGTGCGGGGGGGCCCCGACCTTAGGGGGGCCCCGTAGAGAACCACATTGGGTGGTATAAGTGATCACTGTCGACAAAGGGGCCCCAGATCAAAATTTGCGGGGGGGCCCCCGATCACCTTTGCACGCTACTGATTAATGTCTATACATAATAAATAATAAAAATTTAAAATATTGGGATATTTTGTATGAACTTATCTTAATTACAAAATTTACACGATGATACAATGCAAATTGTAAATTTGACGTTACTTTATTATTGTTGATTGTGTCATTTTTGTAATTAAGGTTAATTTACACAAAATGTCTCCCTATTTTTTGACATAATCTGGTCACTTTATTTATAGATTGCCATCCTCCTCACCGCACAACAGTTTTTGTATTGTTCACCTTTTACGTGAGGAATGGAGGAAGAAAGGAAAGCAATCTATAAATCAGACTCATCTTTTGTAAAATATTATAGTATATTCTCTAATAAGTTTGGAATATGCAACAAAAATGTAAATTGTCTTTCAAAATATGTAGAATATACATTTAAAAAAATCGCCACTCAATTGTTTGCCGAAAGACAAAAGAAGCACGCCGTCGGCGTCCACTAGGAGTCTGGTTAGCGAAAACAGCGCCCACTCCGACGACATTTTCGCCACCAAAAGCATCAAAAGCACGTTAAACGCCACCAAAAGGCTGAGTTTCAAGGAGTTAATGGAGAAGAAGCGGGTGAAAGCGAAAGAAAAGGTTTTTAGTGCGGCCGATGAAACGGTGGGGGATTTGGACGTTTTACCGGAGTCCCCGGAATCCCCCAGAACGAAAAGGGCCAAAATTGTTTTCGGCCGATGTCTGGATCCGACTTTTTCGGAGACCATGTTGGGGGAAGTTTTGGTTGGCAACAGCGATTCCGAATAAAATTTGAACAAATGTACCTGCTTAATATATTTTGATTATTTTTGTATACAGGGTGTTTTTTTTAATCCTAAATCCTTGGTTCCGCAACCGTTTTATTTTAAAGATAGTGTCAAATGTCAATTTTAAGGTTAATTTGTGGGTAATGGTAAATTAACCTTAAAATGGACATTTTTTACATGCCAGAATCTGTCAAAAAAATCCGCTAGATTTTGTTTGAATCCACCTTAATCACAAAAATAACACTTTGATACAATGCAAATTGTCAATTTGACGTTATTCATTTTTGTTAATTGTGTCATTTTTGTAATAAAGGTGCATTTAAACAAAATCTAGCGGATTTTTTTGACAGATTTAATAAATTTATTTAAAATGATTATTAATCATATATTATATCACGAGAACTATGAATTTAATCGGGTAAACTAGGCTCAGTAGTTTTTTGTTTGGTTTTTGTTGGAAAATGTTGAATGCAAAATAATTTAATAAAATCACCAGACCGCGTAGCGGTCGAGGGGTTTTATTTTTAATTATTTTGCATGAAACTATTTTCCAAAAAGAAAAATTAAATAAAAAACTTACTGAGCATAGTTTGACAGATTAAATTTATAGGTTGAGTGATATACGTCTAGATTATTTCTCGAATTAAAGGAAACTATTTGACCATTCATAAAATCTGACGTATGTGTCAAAGTTTATAAATATTTTTTTAAAGAAAATTCCATTAATTTAAGGTATGTAATAAGTAATAATTGATATTTCGTAAACTAGATAACTTATTTTTTTATTGTTTTTTAAAAAATGTTTGTTAAAACTTGTAAATAACACCATAAAATCGTAAACAAAAATCCAATATGGAGGCTAAAATTTAATCGCTGTTAAAAAGGTCTAGTGATTTAATCGCTTATTTAAACGAAATTTATTCGACAATTCAAGGCTTTTGATAGGTTCATATTATATTCGAGATAGACGAGAACCCGAAAGACAAAAGAAGCACGCCGTCGGCGACCACTAGGACTCTGGTTAGCGAAAACAGCGCCGACTCCGACGACATTTTCGCCACCAAAAGCATCAAAAGCAAGATAAACGCCACCAAAAGGCTGAGTTTCAAGGAGTTAATGGAGAAGAAGCGGGTGAAAGCGAAAGAAAAGGTTTTTAGTGCGGCAGATGAAACTGTGGGGGATTTGGACGTTTTACCGGAGTCCCCGGAATCCCCCAGAACGAAAAGAGCCAAAATTGTTTTCGGCCGATGTCTGGATCCGACTTTTTCGGAGACCATGTTGGGGGAAGTTTTGGTTGGCAACAGCGATTCCGAATAAGTAATGAACAAATGTACCTGCTTAATATATTTTGATTATTTTTGTATACAGGGTGTTTTTTTTAAATCCTAAATCCTTGGTTCCGCAACCGTTTTATTTTAAAGGTAGTGTCAAATGTTAATTTGTGGGTAATGGTAAATTAACCTTAAAATTGACATTTTTTACATGCCAGAATCTGTCAAAAAAATCCGCTAGATTTTGTTTGAATCCCCCATAATCACAAAAATAACACTTTGATACAATGCAAATTGTCAATTTGACGTTATTCATTTTTGTTAATTGTGTCATTTTTGTAATAAAGGTGCATTTAACAAAATCTAGCGGATTTTTTTGACATATTTAATAAATTTATTTAAAACGATCATTAATCTGTATAAATAAATAAAATAATTATTAATGTCTATGCATAATAAATAATAAAAATTAAAAATATTGGGATATTTTGTATGAACTTATCTTAATTACAAAATTGACGCGATGATACAATGCAAATTGTAAATTTGACGTTACTTAAGTAATTATTGTTGATTGTGTAATTTTTGTAATTAAGGTTAATTTACACAAAATGTCTCCCTATTTTTTGACATAATCTGGTCACTTTAAGCCTGATTTATAGATTGCCATCCTCCTCACCGCACACCAGTTTTTCACCTAGTACGTGAGGAATGGAGGAAGAAGGGAAGGCAATCTATAAATCAGGCTCATCTTTTGTAAAATAGTATAGTATATTCTCTAATAAGTTTGGAAAATGCAACAAAAATGTAAATTGTCTTTCAAAATATGTAGAATATACATTTAAAAAAAATCGCCGCTCAATTTTAATCGCAAGAAAAAATGGCATTTGACTTTGTAGCTTCAATAAAAACAAATATACCAATGGTGACCAGATAACTTCGACAAATTTTATACATTTTTTAAATGTATATTGATCATAATAGTATATTATGTATCAAGTTTGATAAACGCCATTTTATACACGAATTTAATTTAGGCACGAGCGAGCTTGCGAGCGAGTTCTTAAATTAATGAGTGTATAGAAAAGTTTATAAACGAGGTGCATACTATACTTTTTCTACGACAAATACTTATTATTATCTTAAAATGATTTAAATCAAAAATTTGTATAGAGCGCCATCTATAAAACAACAGGGGAAACTGTCATATGTCACATTTTTACATTTTATAAACACAATTATAAAGGTTATAAATCGAAATGTATATTGAAAATTGACAGTTTTTTACAGTGAAAGTAAAGGAAATGTTTTATGAGGACTTAAGTCCTGTAAATTTACAGTAGATTAAAATGTTTATATAAACTTTTCAAATATTGGCGTTGAGAAACTATTTGAGATAATAAAATAATTTTCACATTTAGTATTATTTTACAATAAAGGCACTTTATTTTAACGATTGTATGACATTTGACAACTGTCAACTAACTTAAAACTAACTTCAGCCCGTGACTAAAAACCTGTTGCTAACTTCAGCCCGTGACTAAAGCGCCGTAAAGCCACAACTTGTCAATGTGTATTTAAAAGGTCACTTAGTGTCATGGAAACATGTACGATAAAGGGCGTTTTAAAGGTGGGAGTAGAAAAAAGTATATTAAAGAACTAATGTCATAAGACGTAATTTTGTCGTACGCAGACAATTTATAAAACGAGCGACAAAGGAGCGAGTTTTGTAATGGACGAGTGCGACAAAAGGTGACATGAGTTATTTATGCTAATTTATCTATTTTGCAAAATTCTATAAAAAAATTAATTTTATACCTTAAATTTAATTTGGTCGAATTTTACTTTAGATAGTTGGTATCACAGTCATTGGTTTGACAGTTAGTGTCAAAATCGATTCGCCATGCCGTCCTTAATTTACTTATTTACAATAAGCGACTGTTAATGTTAAAGAAGAAAAAAAGGATATTCTTTGGTGTCAAACAAAATTTATTGCCAAAAAAGTCTCGTTAGTACCAGAAAAATCATAAAAATATTATAACCAATATGCAAAACATTATGCTGTTTAAAGTATAGCCAACCTATAAAATCAAAATTTTGGGTGGGATAAAGTATCTCATTATAGCACCGAAAGCGGTGTTATAATGAAGTCATTATCAATGCAAAATAGATAAAATAGTTTATCGAGTGGGGAAAGGCGGCGATTTCTAGAGTAAGAACGTTCCTGCACGAGCGAAGCTTCATAGATTGTTACAAACTAATTACCTTAGAACAACCCTTTAAATTTTAAACGTCAAATATCCTAATAATTAATAACTTTTGCTTGATTACCATCAAATTAATTACCTATTTAATTATGGCAATAAATGTCCCATTGCATTTAATTTTATTTATTTAATTACCGGCAAATCATTTCTTAACGCATTCGAAGCACGTTGACATAAACATAACCTTACTTTTTCGCGACATAACCTCACCGTATTGTGTACAAATTTCGCAAAAATGAGCAGAAAAGGATACAACTGGAGGGCCAGGAAAGTCGTTGAGACAATTATCGATGACTCCACAACGAAAAACGTACAGTATACCGTTATTTAATTAATTATGTTGTGTATTGTTTTATTATTTTCTAGATTGATTTGGATATAGCTGTAAAAGGTAGTTATGATGCTAGTAACGAGTTGGTTTTGCCTTCCAAGAAACGTAAAACTAAGATTAAGAAGGATAATATTAAGGTGACTAGGATTTTGTCCAAGAAACAAAGGAAAAAGTATGAGAAAATATTGGAGAAAAAGAAAAAACAAGAAGGGGTATGTAATACTTTTTTTTTCTATTACAAAACTGTTCTGAAGGATATTTTTGTCTAAAACCTTAAATTGACATTCTTAAAACAGTTAAATGTAGCTTTATTTTAATGTTATTTTAAAAATAACATTCTTACAACTCTTGATAGCAAAAAAATGTAAAACTTTACAATCTGCATTATTTTAGAGAGTGGCCCTATTGGAAGCTCTACAGGAAGTAAGAGCAGGCCCTGAAGAGCTACAACAGCTAACTTCATTGGTATCTGTACAAACAAAAGGTTTAAAACGGTTGTTTCAAGAACGAGCAAACCCAGGCAAATTTAACAAACCGAAAAAAGACCAAGCCTTGGTGACTGGGGAGGTTAAATTGAACAGCCTGTCAGGCACAAAAAGAAGAAAATTGACCACTGTAGATTTAAATGAACCGCAAATAAATGATCCTAATGTTGTTGGCTTTGAAGAAAGTGAAGAATCAGATGAAGATAGTGAAGATGATTGTGAGGAGATTAAGGAGAACATCATTAAAAATGAAGAAATAGTGGAGGATGATGAAGAAGTAGTAGAAGAGGAGACAGAACAAAAAGATGATGTAGTGGCACAAGAAGTAGTGAAAGAGGTGATAGAGATTAAAGATGATGAAGTAAAACAAGTGGAAAATAGTGTTCATGAAACGAAAATTGATAGGAAACCAGCAGTTTTTGTTGATGTTATACGGAATGAAGAAATTCAGGCTGCTAGGTTGAAACTGCCCATTCTGGCTGAAGAACAGCAAATAATGGAGATTATTAATGACAATTCTGTTATTATTTTGGCTGGTAAGTTTTTTAAATTACTCATTTTGTCTTTTTTCCAATTGGTTTGAAATTTTTAACATATTTGTTTATAGATAATTTCTGTGTTTATTTTTATTTTTTAAACCTCTAAAATATATTAAAACTAAAAGTGCTTGATAAAAATATTGCAAATCTCAAAAACGTCAATAAAAAATAACAAAAAACATTTTTTGAACAATTGTTTTGAAAATTTAAAGCTCTACATTGTTTGTTTTTAACACTTTTTTGCCCAACCAATAGGAAACAAGATATAAATCAAATAAAAATTGGCAAAATGGCACTAAAATAATTTATTCAAAAAAATTATGTTTGATTTTTTATTTATTTTAATTAATTTAATTGCCATTATGTTAATTTTTATTTCATTTAAATTTTAACATATTCTGTAAAATTAATTAATTTTCAAACCCAGAATGAATGACAATTAAAAATTATTTTATTAAGTCCTAAAATTTTGGAATATTTTGAAAATTTTAAATTCTTTTTGAATTTTGAAAATTTTGTAATTCTTGAAGTTTGTTAATTTTGAAAATTCGAAGGTTTTGAAAAATTTTACAAATTTAATGATTTTTAATTTTTATATTTTATTATATACATATTTAAACTGCACAGACTCTAACGGCGGCCATTTTTATTTTGTTTACAATTCTCGTGCTTAGGGCAACAATTTTAGCCCTCTTTTGTAAAAAATAAACCTTATTCTATCAGGGCTGTCATCCAACTGTCAAATGTAAATTTTAAGGTTAATTTGTGGGTTATGGTAAATTAACATTTAAATTGACATTTGATGTTTATATATTTGAGGTTTTTTATATTGTATTAAATTAATGCAAGATAAAAAAACAATGCCATTAATCATAAATTGCGGCTTTGTTTGGTACCTACAATATACAGTACAGTATCATTATCAAGCATAGAGTTTACACCTTTGCTACTCATCAGAGTTTGAGTTGGACTTTTTCTTGGCCTTTTTTTGCCTGTCTGTTGTAAAAGGGGCCCTTCCACACAACCTGTGTTGATCTTAAAGCTAAAGTTTCCTTGCAATTTTCCTTACAGTTACTAAAAGTTTGTGTAAAAATAAGTAACAAATAATCATAATCCTTTTTCCATTTAAGGATGGACTTAAAGGCCCTCCAGAAGATCTGTTCTTTGGCTAGTTCAGCATAAAACGTTTTTTCCAAGTATTTTTAAAATTTGTGGATTTTTAGTTCATTTTTAAAATAATTATTTAGCACAATTTTAGTTTACGATCTGCGACTTTTAGGTTATAAACCTATGATACTCTGTCCTAGAAACATTTATTGCTGTTCAGAAAGATTCAAGGTCAAGCCTTTAAACATATGAGAAACGGAATGCCTCTGCCACAACGTTTAAAACGATTTTTAATGTACAAACAGCACAAACCCAAAGCACAAAAATTGTAAACCACATTAAAATGGCCGTTAAAGTCTGTACAGTGTTGCCTAACTTCGCGATATGAAATCACCCGCATATTTATTAAAATGTCGGCTACATCAGACATTTTAAAATCCTTTCAGGCGAGACTGGTAGCGGTAAAACCACCCAAGTCCCGCAATTCCTATACGAAGCCGGTTACGCTCTAAAAAAGCAAATCGCCGTCACTGAGCCGCGCAGGGTTGCCGCTATTTCGATGTCGAAACGCGTAGCCGAGGAGATGAATTTGAGCACCAAAGAAATCTCCTACTTGATTAGGTTCGAAGGAAATGCAACTGACGAGACCAAGATTAAATTCATGACGGACGGTGTCTTGCTAAAAGAGTTGCAGAGCGATTTTCTGCTGAGAAAGTACTCGGTGGTTATACTGGACGAGGCGCACGAGCGTAGCGTGTACACCGACATTCTCATAGGGTTGCTATCGAGGATAGTGCCGTTGAGAGAGAAAAGAGGAGACCCCATGAAGCTCATAATTATGTCGGCCACTTTGCGTCTGGAAGACTTCACTTCCAACAAGCGCCTCTTCAAGATAACCCCGCCTGTCATCAAGGTGGACGCAAGACAGTTCCCGGTGACGATCCACTTCAACAAGAGGACGAGTGAGGATTATTTGAAGGAGGCGTTCAACAAGGCTGTCAAGATTAACACCACTCTGCCCGAAGGCGGGATTTTGATTTTTGTGACTGGTCAACGAGAGGTCAAGTCGTTGGTCAGGAAGCTGAGGAAGGCGTTTCCTTTGAAGCACAAGTCGAAGATTCTCGAGAAAGAGAAGGAGGTTAAGGATAGAGAGGCGAAGGGGGAGGATGACGTGGCTGATTCTGATGTTGAGGAAGGTAACATGTTTTTTATATTTTATTTAACAAAACATTTTATTATATTCTACAAAATTGTTGGTTTAAATTTGTAGTCATTTAAATATTAGTCAATAAATTATTAATACAAAAATTCTCACATAACATTTGAATGTAAGTCTTAAATTTTACATTCAAACCAAATATTTTTATTTTTAACAATTTCAAATTGATACATTTTTGACACAAAATTTATAACTTTACATTTAAATGTACCTACAACTTTTAAAAATCAATACTTAAACTTAAACTTTTACATTTGCATTTTATATTTAAAATATTTTTTGATTGTCAATTTTAAGCTGGGTTCTAACAGAGAAATAACGTAATATAATTTAATTTAACTTTAAAAGTAATTTAATTTAATTTACTTGCGTTCATACAAAAAGTAACGTAATTTAATATTGTTTGAAATTAAAAACAATATTTTAAAGAGAGTGCTTACTTTATGTAACTAAAACTTAAAGGTTTAGATATGTATGGCTTACTTTGGTGATTACAATCGAAATATTTTTCTTATTATTAAAACCTTTAACACAAAATAGGTTAGATAATACGAAATAACCTTGAAATAACGTAATTTAATTTAAAAGATAAAAGTTGGCCAACTATTAAATTAAGTCTTAAATTACATCACTGTATGAACGTTACAAAGGATTGTTGGGTTTTTAACTTTTAAGTTAAATTAAATTACATCTTAAATTAAATTACTTTTCTGTTGTAACCAGGCTTAACTTTTTAAACTATTTTGCTAAAAAATGTTTTATGTGTTTTTATTTTAAATGTCTTGACACTATTTTTAAAATTAACTGTAACAATTTAATCTAAATAATTTTATAAAAAATTTATTTACGATTTACAAAATTCTGCCCAAATTGAGAAATTATTTCTATTAAAAAATGATGGTTAGAAATGTTTGGAAAAATTGATTGGAAATAATATTGTTTGATGCAGAAGTGAACTGTTAGTTAATAAATGTTGTCTTTCAATACATGAGAATTTTAACCCTTATGTGACACCTTCCTAATTATTTTGGATATTAACGGATATTAAATGAATCAGCTGATTGCGGACTAGTATTGACAGTTTAGTTGTCTTTACATCGTTGAATAAACAAGTGCGGGTATTATTTTGTATTACTTTTTTTTACAAATATATACATGTACTCTCTAATAAGAATTAGTCAAAAATGAATAATTACCACAGTTATTTGTGGCTGCTTTTTCACTTATACCATGCTTAACCATGGATACCATGCTATCTCCAATATTTAATATCCAATTCTTATGTAAAATTGTCCCCTGAATCCGAAAATACCGTCAAAAATTTTGAAAGTAGAGAAGTTTTTGAGATATAGTCAATTCCATATTATATGGAAAATTGACTTTATCTCAGACTTTTATAACTTTTGACGAAATTTAAATTTCGTCAAAAGTTATAAAAGTCTGAGATAAAGTAATTACGGATTCAGGGGACAATTTTACATGAAAATTCAAAAAAGCTTAAAAATGTATTTCAAATTATAATATTGTGTAGAAAATACCTAGTTTAGAAATGTCACAAAATGGTAAACCTCCTCGATTTTAATCAAAAAAGATATTTATGGGTATTTTTCAAAAAGTTGGCCAAAATAGGAATTTAAAAAAAAATTATAATTATTATAAATTAGATATTATTTCTATAGAATATTAATCAAATATTGAATATTTTATGCTTGTCATACATGATATGAACTAGATTGTATTTTTTTACGAATTTTCATTGTAGGGATTACAAATATTAATTTAATTTTTTTATCCTTTCTTTGATGATTATTTTCTACTGTTTTACATTTAAAATATCAGTCTCTTCTTCTTTTTTAAGATTAATTTGAAAATTTCCTTTAACGATTTCATCTTCATTCTGTGCGTTTAAAATTTTTTCGAAATATAGTTTTTGGGTGATAAAACCAAAATTTTTGACGCAAGCACATGTTTCGCGATCTTTAGCTTTAGGATAAACTACTCAGAATGGTTTACATCTAAAGAAATTGGTGAAAGAAACTGATACTCTAGCATGTGTAGACTACTAATAAGTGTACGCACTCATATATTAATTAATTATTTCTTATTTACACCTATAAACATCAAATAATTTTCTCACCTTGTTTAACTTTACAGGTACTACAAACTACAATAGATATTTTACCTTGTTGAGAAAGTGTTATTATATTATATTGTGTGAAAATGGCGTCACGGATTGGACATTTTAAATTAAGGGACATCAACTAAAATGCTTGTCACCAAAACGTTTTATGTTCTTTTAAACAAAAAATAGTTAATAACTGTATACACTTCTACAAATTAAATAAAAAATATTATACTTATGACTGCAGAAACAATATTTTTCCAGCAGTCAATAAATTTATTGAACTTAACTATGGTTTCGCGTAAAAATCGAACAAATTTTGGACATTTGTTTGCAAGTGATCTCAGAATTGAATATATTTTTTTTACCTTGTTTCTACATCTAAATGGTGGATTTTTTTCAAAAAAAAAAATTCATCCATTGACCGCTGTGGCCTGCAGGTCTTAAGTCACTCTACTGTGTTAAAAATAGATAAATTTCGATATTTTGTAATAACATTTTTATTTAAAAACGTATCAATTTGAAATTAAGATAAAATGTAAACCTTATTAGTGGCAATAAATCCACGTATATTTTTTTTTAGATTTTACCATACAGGGGGCGCTGGAGACAATTGGATTTAAAATTTTACCATTTTTTAAGGGTTAAAAAATCGAAGAAGCAACGTTGTTTTATAATTTTGAGTATATCACGTTAAAGTACTGATAATTAACTATTATTTGATATATAAACTTCTATATGCAAATTATGCTTCTACGAGATACACCATTTTTAAGTTAGGCCTTCAAGGGCATAATACTAACGTGTTTTACAAAGTATATATTCTGTTATCTAGTTTTATAAGATTATGTAATGTTTATTACATATTATACATTATATTCAGTTTATAAGTTGCAAATGACTGATTGCGTTTCAATTTATAAGTGTACTATAAGTAAATTCAAACCATTAATTTTTTTTAAATGAATAAACTAAATAATAATTATAGACAATGTCAGCAAGTTAGACATAATAACCTACTTATAGCTACTTTAATTTTATTTTTTGCTGCACAACTAAGCTTCAATTTATTTTTTACTTGATAAGCAAGCTTCAATTTTCATTCCAAACTGAGGAAAGTAATATTTACCCAATAAATAAATTAGAATAAAGACTTTATTTTTTATGTTGCAATTGGCTATTTAGATATATATATATATATATATATATATATTTTATTAAGTTGGTTTTTGCTTTTTTGTAATTGGTTATTTTGCATTTTTTTATATTTCATATAATGCCATACAGGGTGTTTCTGAAGAAACGCAAATGATATAGATTTGATATTTTAATAGCATATACAATTTGATATAGACTATACAATTTTGAATAGTTTTCAAGATATTATTATTTTTTTTCGTTAAAATTTTGCTAAATGCACGTTAATCAAAAATAGCATCTAATTTTTTTGTTATTATGTTTGCTGACATGGGGTTGGAATTTTTGGAATATTAAAACAATGTTTAAATAATTTTTTAAAGGTTTTTCAACAAATAGCCTAAGAAACAACACTTGAAATTAGGCAAACTTCAAACAATAATAACGTTTGTATTATAAATGTAAAACCCTGTATGTTTTATCATAATCGAAAAAAAAATTACAGAATCTTTCGATTGGTATTATAATAACTGTTTTCCAAAGTTAAAATTTCAGAGACATTTAACAATTTCCAATATTTTTAATACTATTTTGTATCAACAAACCTGTGAAATTCTACATGTGGGTTAATGTGATAGTATTCATATATAATATAATTACGTATTTAAGGGCCACACTAAAGTCTAAATCGAATAATTTACGCTATTAAAATTTTAAATCGATGACTTTCGCGATTCCCTAGAAACTTCTAACGGACTACTTACGTGAAACACCCTGTATATTAAACGTCATTTATGTGTTATGCTATACTTAATTATTAATAAAAGATACAACAATATTTGTATAAAAATGACAAAATGGACCAAACTAAACATTTATGAATACTGCTACTTCTAATTAAAAACTGATCCTGGCCACAGAAACATCATTTGCATAAAAAAGTTAATATATGAAATAATAGTAAAATATTACTACTTTAACGTGTTAAACTCAAATTTATAAAACAATGTTGCTTCTTCGATTATTTACCCTTTAAAAATTGTTAAATTTTAAATTAAATTATCACCAGCGCCCCCTGTACGTTACAATCTAAACAAAATTTTTAAATGAAAGAATTGTCATTAGTAAGATCTACATTTTGTTTAAATTTCAAATCGATACGTTTTGAAATAAAAAAGTTATTTAAAAAAAATGAAATTTCTTCATTTTTAACACAGTGAAGAAAAAAATAAAAATAAAAACAAAGTTGTCAATGGACGAGATTTTTTTTTTGAAAAAAGTACTGCTATTAGATGTAGAAATATGGTAAAAAAGTTTCAATAGATTTCTTGAACCCTTGCAAATCGACCGTTCGATCCTTTCGCGAAACCGTAGTTAAGTTCATAAATATTTGCTGGGTACAGTCACGGAATGGACATTTACTATACAGGGTGAGTTTTAAGTTGACGCGTTCCTTTTAACAGCGTGTAGAAATCAGATAAATAAATAAATATTTTAAGTAACTTTTTTATCAAAACTCAAGAATTAGAGAGTTATAGGCCTTCCAAGTTTAATTAAATTTTGAGCCGGTCCTGGCTATTGTTAACAAAAAACATAACCATAAAAATAAAAATAACAAAATAAACAATGCAAAATGTCATCTATGACAACAAACATAACAATTTAAATCAAAATGACATTTAGCAATGAAAAATGTCATTATTTACCTAAGTTTTTTTGTGCCTCAATTATTGTTAAAAATGGTTCATAATTATAGCAATAATGAATTAGTGGAAATGTTACTAATTTATGGAGAGTGTCGTCAAAATGCAAATGCTGCAACTTAAGTAAATAATGACATTTTTTATTGCAAAATGTCAATTTGATTTAAATGACATTTGCATTGTTTATTTTGATATTTTTATGGTTATGTTTTTCGTTAACAATAGCCAGGACCTGCTTAAAATTTAATTAAACTTTGATGGGCTATAATTTTTTTATTTTTGAGTTTTAATAAAAAGTTACTTAAAATATTTATTTGTCTAGCTGATTTCTACACACTGTTAAAAGGAACGCGTCAACTTAAAACTCACCCTGTATTTCAATGTAATTTTAATACATTTTCAATACCTTATTCGAAGATTTTGGACATAATTTAAAGAACCTAAGGATTGTTTTATCAGATCTATTCTTCACATTTCATTTTAGTTACGAAAATATTAAGTTCTAACCTCAGGACAGCAAGTGGCAAAGTTTTTGAAATATACCCTTATATCTAAAAGATGAATGGATACGAGGGTACCCATTCAGTCACATAAGGGTTAAACCATATTTTAGAGTGTTTTGCATCGAAAACAAAGGCGGGTATTGGATCCACGTGTAATCTGGGTTGCCTACGTTCAAACTAATTAACAATGACAACGACCTTCTCCCTGTTCAAGGCATGAGGCACGCGCTACGCAACAAGAAGAAGAAAAAACTGAAAGTGATCCCGCGGATAAACCTGGACGACTACAGCCTGCCGGGAGACACGGAAACCGCCTCGGACGTCGAGGACGACCTCGACTCTGATCGGGAGGATTCCGACGTCGAGGTTTCCATGGTGACCAACGCCCAACCGCTGTGGACGCTGCCCCTCTACTCGCTCCTCCCCTCGCACAAGCAGCAGAAGGTGTTCCAGCCTCCGCCTGCCGGATGCAGGATGTGCATCGTCAGCACCAACGTTGCGGAAACGTCGCTGACGATACCGAACGTCAAGTACGTCGTCGATACCGGCAAGACGAAGGTTAAGCTGTACGATAAGGTGAGTTTTTCGGGGTTTTTCTAAAGGGGGTGTCGGGATTTTTATTTTATTTTTAGTTACTTTGTGATTGATTATTCCCTATTTAAATCGTTTCCAAGACAAAAAGAGTTGCTACTTACCTTTCATGCTTAATATTGTAATACACGGTGCTGTTCTGAGAGGTGATTTTTGGACTTTCTGTGAAACCTAATTTTTTTTTATATTCTTGTTAATTAGGTCATAACTAAAATTTTAAGAGCAAAATAAAAAAAATTTGACGGTTTTAATTGTTTTAATTGGCTGTTTATTAAAAATATTATGCACTCTTTCAATTATCCAATTAAAACTAGCGATTTAATTTAAATATTTAATATTTGCATAACTAAAAAAAAGGTTTTTACAATTATTTATAAATTTTACTGTTTTGTTGCAATAAACGTTCAAACTTTTAATCTAACCTTTGACGTATACATTTATGTTCCCTTAATTAATATATCCTTAAAGATTGCCATGATCTATTAAAAATTTATTTGATGTTTGAATTGTCATTTTCAGTATACGTATTCTATAATTTTTGTTTAGTTTTTTAAGTGTTTTTTATAAACAAAAATGAAAAATTGTAGTAAAAGTTACGAAGAAATTCATGAAATTTAACTAAGGACCGGTTTATTCATCTTTAGTAAAGTTTATCGGGCCGATAACTTTCATGTCGGCAATATCTAGTATCCAAAGAAATTATTCGTCAAATAAATCAAAAATGAATAAATCGGCCCTAAATAAAATGTGGCACCCTTAGAATTATTGTTTAATAAATGTATACTATACATTTAACCTTAAATTAAAACTTTAAACGTGTATTACAATAAAACAGTAAAAGATATAAAAAATGTACCTATACCTAGACCTTTCTTTAGGAAATTAACTAATCTTTAATCTGATTTAAAAAGTTATGATAATATTTAAATAAAAAAAGTTTTAATTGGAGAATTGAAAGTATGCATACATATTTTTAATAAACATCCAATTAAAACAAAATTAACCATCAATATTTTGCTCTTAAAATTTTAGTTATGACCTAATTAACAAGAATATAAAAAAAATTAGGTTTCACAGAAAGTCCAAAAATCACCTCTCAGAACAGCACCGTGAATATAATATAATGATAAATTAAATGTAAATTTTTAATGAATCCAAAATTTCCACTTTAATGGGGTAGTTAAATTTTTTCTGACCTATACTTTTTATGGTTTTATTCAAGGCGATTTGTAATATTAAACATTTCTGTGAAATCAGAATTTCAATTGAGTTTACCGTTTTCGAGATATTTACAAAAAATATAAATTTTTATGACGTCACAAACCTCGCCATGTGACCAACATTCTAAGATTTCTATTGGTTGAAAATTACCCTGTTGTCAAGTTGTCTTGTTAATGATTTCATTCGGTTATGTCAGAAAATACCCGAAGAGGTTATGTACAAATACTGTCACTGTCAGTTGAGTGAAAGAAGAAGAAGAAGAGGAGGTTAAACAAAATTCTGAAATTAAAAGTTTTATTGATAGGTTTACACATTGAAACACCGTGTGAAACCTAATAAAATGTAATAAATAGGTACCTAATAACTGTCCAAAGCAGAGTTTAATATATTTCATAAAAAAGTGGCAATATAAAGCTGAAAATGAATTAAATAAATTTACAAAAAATAACAGTAAATGTAAGTTAACAATGGTATTTATGATATTTGTGTATAGTTTTTATAAAACTTGCATCCCTGATGATGAGCATCAAAACCTTTTGTAAGATTAAAAAAATGTATGACAAACTTTTGGACTGTTCGAAGATATATCTAAAAGAATATAAAGAACTAGGCATTATACTAATGAAATGCATTTACGAGAAAATATGATAATAATTATAGGTACTTTCTTTATTTGTTTAAAAGCTCCAATGTTCAATGTAACCAACCATTCCACAAGATTCCTCTGCTTTGGAGTCCGTTATTAATAAATCACTTATGTAATATCAATTACAAATAACATAACAATAACATTGATTTTCAATAATCTAAATTTCAAGAAAACATAACCCGAAAAAAAGAAACGTCAAAAAATCAATTCTTCTTCTTCTCAACTAAAATTATAGATCAAGTGGTTTTAAAACTAAAATATTATAACGTGGCGCCATCTATCGTAAGAATCTTAAACTAAACACACTGGCAACCATAGAAAAAGCTGGCAACGTTGTCAATAGCCTAGTGACGTAATTAGGAGATTTTTTTTTGTAAATATCTCGAAAACGGTAAACTCAATTGAAATTCCGATTTCACAGAAATGTTTAATATTACAAAACGCCTTGAATAAAACCATAAAAAGTATAGGTTAGAAAAAATTGTTAAATTGCTCAACAATACTTACAATTATCAATTAAAACTATAATATATTAAAACGAAACAAATGTGGCGGTCCAAAATTTCCACTTTAATTGTAAAATATGATAGAGGAAAGACTTAATTTGGCGTGTAGACTTCATTTTCAAATCTTAACGGTTTCCGAATCGCCGAATTCAGGTGACAGGCGTGACGAGTTAAAATGTTAATTCAGAAATATAAAATCGGTATACACATTAATAAATATTTATTTTTAACATAAAATAAAATATAGTAAAAGTATTTTTGTTATCGAATATTGTTTTAATTTGACAAATAACTATAAAAAAATATTTTGGATTGTGTTTTTTACTTAGTATTTAATACTAATTACTAATTAGGTATATACCTTTATACGGAGTTTATGGTATATTTTACTATTATATAGATAACTGAACTAAATATGCTTAACAGGAATGTTCCTAAATGAACTTTCTCTACGACTACTTAAGAATAGTAACATTCTAGTGTAATTTTTGATCATAGAAAGGATGTTTTTCTGCAATACTGTGCGAGAATATTCCTACTCTTGTTTAAGAATGGTTACAAGTAACGACATCTCCTGGCTGTTTACTAAACTTAAAGAATTTAAAAATATTTAAATATTACTGTATTATTTATTAATTAAAAAATAATAGAAGTTGTATAATTAAGGTTTAGGCACAAAAAATTAGTTATATTTATTGTTTTTCAAATATACAAATCAAAATTATAATAAATTTGATATTAAAATGATGAACCAGTTACCTACTATACCGGCTTTGAAGTTTTGACAGATTCAAAAAGTTTAAAAAAGACCTGTAGAAAAAGAATAGATGTTGACATAGATTACTTGTAAAATTAGTTTTGTATTTGTTACAATGATATTTTTTTTTATTAGTTAGTGTAAATAACTATTTTTAATTATAATAAAGATTTAGGGATACCATTTGTTTAAATTTATTATAATTAACATTATAAAATTGTGACGGCACAGAATGGTTTGACAATACAAAAAACTTAAATGTCAAAAACTGCTTGGTTTCTTTTCTCTTATTAAAATTATTTAAGCGTTACTATTCTTACGTAGTCGTAGAGAAAATAATGTCTGAAACACGTTTGGAATAGCATATTCCACTCTCGTAAAACCGCCACACTCGCCCTCGGCTCGTATGTCAAATTTTTCCTCGAGTGGAATATGCTGTATTCCAAACTTGTTACAGAATGTACTATTAAAGTGTGCTATCAGGGTAGACATAATTTTCAAATCTTAACTGTTTCCGAATCGCCGAATTCAGGTGACAGGCGTGACGAGTTACGTGGTGCACTGGACGAGCAAAGCTTCGTCCGATCAGAGGGCCGGTCGAGCCGGTCGTACCGGTCCCGGCCACTGCTACCGGTTGTACTCCAGCGCCGTGTTCAACGACACCTTCCGGGAGTTTTCCCCGCCCGAGATACAGCAGAAACCGGTCGACGACCTGTACCTGCAGATGAAGTGCATGAACATCGACAAAGTGGTGAACTTTCCCTTCCCGACTGCGCCAGACTTGCTGCAGCTGAAGACGGCGGAATCCAGACTGGAAACCTTAGGTAGTAATAGTTATCCAAACTTGCGCCACAGAGAAAAAGGGGGCGGGCTGATAGCAATGCGGATTGCCAAATTTTGTTTAAATTTAGCTTTATTACAAAAATGACAAATTGTTAATTTGGCGCTTTTATTAATTGTTGATTATGTCATTTTTGTAATGAAGGTAAATTCAAACAAAATCTGGCAACTATGACAGAATCTAGTGCATTTATTTCAAATTTTAGGTTATGGGCCCAAATTATAAATATCCTAACTAAGTGCTTTTGAATTTATTTACACAAATTGAATGTTTAAAGTTTAACCTGTGAACTTGTCCTAATTTCATCTGAGTAAACAGAAAGAAAAGAACACATGAATATAATAATAATTTTGTGGTTATGTAGTTTTTAAAATAGGTACTAAATATTCTAATCATTGCCTAAGCTAATAGCTAAATGAGTAAATAAATACAGAAGGGTGTTAGAGCTTTAAGGGCATAAAACTTTAGTATTTATTGAGTTTTTATTTATTTTTTGCAAGGAAAATTGTTAGTAACAATTTTTTACAACTGGCAAAGCGCAGCTACTTTATTGGTTGGTATCTATGTACTCACAGAACACAAGTGTGTAACCAGTGGCGTATCACAAAAAAAATAAAAAACTTCTAATGCATATTTTTTCTTTATCTTTGGGAAAATATTTTTTTAAATATTTTAACATTACACCTTATGTCAAAAGGTTTTTTAATATATTACATTAATTACATAACACCCTGTATAAACTTGATATACATAATAAATAGAATTCGAAAAAAATTGCTTTTCAGAACGAGAAAAACAATTTTTACAATAAAATTTGAAGAAAAAAAGTTATAAGAAAGTTTTTTTTTAATTCTTAATTTATTATTATAATTTTTTGCAATAAAACCAAAATTTCCATTGTAAATTAACTATAATAAGTATAATTTAAATAAATAAGAAAATAAGAAATAGTATATTACACTACAAGGGCAGAAAGTGTGAGATTCCTGCACTGCGCGCAAGAAAGATAGAAGAAAAATAGTATACACTACACGGGCAGAAAGTGTGAGAGCCCTTGTAGTGTAATAAACTATTTACAATAAAATGAAACGAGAAAAGTCAAAGTGAAGGTTTATTTTTTCATTCTTATTTTATGTCATAAAATTAATATTTTACACAAAAAATATTTGTTTGCAATAAAACTAAAATTTCTATAAAAATATTTAAATTTTGTAAATTAACTATAAACATGCATAATAAATAGAAATACATAATAAATAGAAATCTAAACAAAATGCTTTTCAGAAGGAGACAAACATTTTATACAATAAAATTAAACAAAACAAGATTTTTTTATATCATAAAATTAATATTTTTTACAAAATAGTAGATTATGTCATAAGGAGTAGAAGTGGCTCTTTTTGTGGTGAGTACAGAGATTGACGGCCGAAGCGTAGCTGAGGCAGGCAACTGTACGAAGCACAAAAAGAGCTTCTACTCCAAATAACGTATACAATTTTTTTTCAAGGGCGTAATATAAATAGGATAAGCAATAGAATTATTTTATTTACTTATAACTCATGTGGTATAAAATTTTGGCTGAAAGCATTACAAATTATTGATAAAAAGTAAAAAAACTTATAACCCTTACTTACAATGCCGATAAATATCCTAAACCATAGATAACAAAGCCTAAACTAAAAATAAACACTGACCTGTCAAAATGCTGCGCTTGAATTAATTTTGACGTACTGACATTTGTTTGGAGTTCCGACATTGGCGACTCGTCTATCATCATAATATTATTATACTAATAAACTAGTTGTTCTTTATTTCGTTCAATTAAAATTTAATAAATAATCAGTAAATATTCCGGGCGATTATAATTAATATAATTAATACATCGTGATTGCTTTGTATGAAATGCTAAATTAATTTTATTATTTGACTTCTATTGAGACACCTATGAATTTACTTCTATCCCTAGGCTTTTTTGAGTTTTTTGTCTGCCGCTAATGAAAAAGACGCACTTCAACTATCTCTATACAGGCATGTAAGGTTGTATATCATGGCCGCTTGAAAAAAAATATTAATTTTATGACATAAAATAAGAATGAAAAAACCTTCACTTTGACTTTTTTGTTAAATTTTATTGTAAAAAGTGTTTTTCTCGTTCTAAAAAGCAATTTTATTCCAATTTTATTTATTATATCAAGTTTATAGTTAATTTACAATGGAAATTTTAGTTTTATTGCAAAAAATTATAATTATACAATAACAATTAAAAAAAACTTTCTCATAACTTTTTTTCTTCAAATTTTATTGTAAAAAGTTTTTGTCTCGTTGAGAAAAGCAATTGTTTTAATTCTATTTATGCATATCAAGTTTATCTATAGATATATATACTTTTTTTGTTTAATTTTATTGTAAAAAGTATTTATATCGTTCTGAAAAGCAATTTTATTCAAATTTTATATATTATATCAAGTTTATAGTTAATTTATGTGATAAAATTAATATTTTTCACAAAAAAATGAAATTTTGCAATCAAACTTAAATTTCCCTAAAAATAATTAAATTTTGTAAATTTACTATAAACTTGATATAATAAATAAAATTTGAATAAAATTGCTTTTCAGAACGAGAAAAACAATTTTTACAATAAAATTAAACAAACAAAAAATTAATTTTTTTTTAATTTTTATTTTAGGTAATAAAATTAATATTTTTTACAATAAAACCTTAAATTTCCATAAATATAATTAAATTTTGTAAATTAAGTTCAAACTTGATATAATAAATAGAATTCGAATTAAGTTGCTCTTCAGAATGAGAAAAATACTTTTTACAATAAAATTTAAAGAAAAAAAGTTATGGGAAGTTTTTTAAATTCTTATTTTATGTCACAAAATTGATATTTTTCACAAAAAACTGCTACCAACCTCTCAAAAAGGAATGTCATACTTCGGGACACGTTCCCTTTATTTCTGTGGCGCGATATCAGAGTGTAAGTGCACTCGAAACGCTGTAATTTTTTTTTACAGGGGCTCTAACAGCCGGCACGGTTACAGCCTTGGGTAAAGCGATCTCGAAGTTCCCGGTGTTGCCGCGTTACGGCAAGATGTTGGCCCTGAGCCATCAGCAGGATCTTTTGCCTTACACGGTTTGCATGGTGGCAGCACTGTCCGTGCAGGAAGTTCTTCTGGAAGTTCCGATTTTGAACACCGGTCCTGAGGAGTTGAAGGCGGTCAGGCAAAAATGGGCCGCCACCAGGAGACAGTGGGCCGGTCTGTGCAACTCGCTGCTCTTGGGGGACAACATGGTGCTACTCAGGGCCGTAAGTAGATTTATTCATTTTCTGATGAGCTATATTTCTCGCAACTTGTGACGTCATGTGCGAACCAAAAGCTGGGTTGGAATGTTATTTACGTTACATTCGAAAATTTATAAATATAGGGAAATGCAGTTAAAACTTTACGAGAACCCCAACGAACATTAGATATTCCTAGAATATTCCTCGCATAAACTTTTATGAACTTTGAAATATGCTTTAAAGATTCTTAGAATACAGGGTGTCTCACCAGCGATGGTACCTTAGACGTTTACGGAGAACGGCTGAGGATATCAATTTAAAATTTTTATAGCAATTATTGTACAATTTAATCTACCTTTTAAAATTATTTTGAATAAAATTCCTCTTCCGGTTTAACCGGAAGCGACATCAACTTTGTTATTTCCAATGGAACACCCTGTAAATATTTTTATTTTTAAAAACCTCATGAAATTCTTAATGAAATTGCTGTACGTTTCCCTATACCCTAAACTTAATAGTTTTCGAGTTAATATTTTTTTTCGTAAAATTTTGACAGTTGCACCTTCATTAAAAATTGCTTATAACTTTTTTGATTTTCGGTTTGCTGGTATGCTGTAAGGATTTTTGGAATCTTAAAACATTGTTTTAAAGATTCCATGTCTGAAATTTTCATATTTATGATCAAAAACTAGAGAAAAATCGTGGTAAATTTGGTTAACATCAAACATTAATAATTGTTTATTTTCAATGAATGTTTTTACATAATCAAATAGGAAAATGAATTACATTTCGATTAGTATACTATACCTAAATAGTAAGGTTTCGGAAATACAAGCAAATTTCTGTAAAAATCCAATATTTTGACATATTTATCTCAGATACTGATGAAATGTCACAACGGAATCTCCCAGGCTCCGCATTTTAAAATGTTTGCAAGTCAATGGTCGCCATTTTGAACATTTATTAAAATAGTATTTTGGTTGTTATTTTTTCCATCACGTTTTTTATAATTTATATTAAGTAAATTCTTAAAACTTTGTTTAATTGTTGTTTTCCATTATTTTTAAAATATCTTCCTTAAGAAATGTATCAACTGTCAATCAATGACATAACTAATTTGTTGTGACATTTCAACGGTATCTGAGATAAATATGTCAAAATATTGGATTTTTACAGAAATTTGCTTGTATTTCGGAAACCTTACTTTTTAGGTATAGGGAATGGTTATAACAATCAAAATGTAATTCATTTTCCTATTTGATTATGTAAAACATGCATACCGTTCCATTGAAAATAAACAAGTTATTAATGTTTGAAGTTAACTAAATTTAACACGATTTTTCTCTGGTTTTGATCATAAATATGAAAGACATAGAATCTTTAAAACAATGTTTTAAGATTCCAAAAATCCTTACAGCATACCAGCAAACCGAATATCAAAAAAACTGTCAAAATTTTACGAAAAAAAATATTAACTCGAAAAAAAATATTAACTCGAAAACTATTAAGTTTAGGTATAGGGAATGGTATAGCAATTTCATTTAGAATTTCATGAGGAATTTAAAAATAAAAAAATTTACAGGGTGTTTCATTGGAAATAACAAAGTTGATGTCGCTTCCGGTTAAACCGAAAGAGGAATTTTATTTAAAATAATTTTAAAAGGTATATTAAATTGTACAATAATTGCTATAAAAATTTCAAATTGATATCCTCAGCCGTTCTCCGTAAACGTCTAAGGTACCATCGCTGGTGAGACACCCTGTATATGACATTAATTACATAACACCCTGTATTTTCGATATACTTTACAAAAAAAAATAGTCGATTTTTGTGACGTTTGGGGAGCATTTTTAGGTGGGGGCGGCTGAGTACGCGAACTCGCAAGGTAAGCTGGAAAAATTCTGCGACGAAAACGGCCTTCGAATGAAGGCCATAATCGAAATACGCAAGCTGCGCATGCAACTTACCAACGAGATAAAAAAAAATCTGCCCGAGGCGGAAGTGACGGTCGACCCTAAAATGCCGCCTCCCAACGACTTGCAAGCGAAATTGCTGCGGCAGATTTTGCTCAGCGGCATGGGCGACCAAATCGCTAAAAAAATTGCGCCCGAGGAGGTCAAAGAGGGGGAGGATAGGGTCAAGTTTAAATACGCCTACCACGCCAATAACATGGAGGAGCCTGTATTCCTCCATCAGGGTTCTGTTTTGAGAAAGACGTTGCCAGAGTACGTTGTCTATCAGGAGATATACGAAACCAATAAAATGTACATGCGAGGCGTTACCGCTATAGAACCTGAGTGGTTGGCTACCTACGTTCCAAGTCTGTGCAACTTGGGGGAGCCCCTAGACGAGCCCCCTCCAAGATTCGACGAACCTTCGGGGAAGCTCTTCTGCACCGTTACAGGCACTTTTGGGTCCCAGGGTTGGTCGCTGCCCAGCATAGAAGTACCTTTCCCGCATACCATAGAAGGTTTCAAGTGGTTTGCGCGGTTTGTACTCGAAGGAAAGGTGTGCAAGAAGTTGGCCAAGTACGGCGGGGTTCTGCTGAGTCAGCCTAGCATTATGGTGAAGAGCTGGGCCAAGTTGCAGCCTAGAACCGACGCGGTTTTAAAGGCCCTCATCGGCAAGGATGCCATGACGAGACAGGGCTTGCTGGAGGTTTTCAGGGACGAGCCTACATGTAAGTGCAGTTTTAATTTTTTAAGTTATCCTTCAAAACTTGTAATTTTCCTTTTAAATTCATTTACACTTGTAAAATACTGTAATTTAACATTTTTAAACAATTTTATAATTTTCAAAAGTTTTTGTGCCTCTTGATTAATTAATTATAAATAAAAATTTATATATTATATACCGAAAAATTTGGAAATTAATTGTTCTACTCCTATTACGGAATTTGACCCTTCTAATATCACTTTTATCTATGGAATGACATATATTCCGTAAAGTGTTACAGAATGAAATATTCTATCATCTGATGACAGAATAAACACTCGTGGCGACATCTCTGTTTTTAATATCTAACAAATTTTAGACCGATCCAACCTCACTTTCTTCCAATTAAATTATTTTTCTATGGTATTTTTTGGAAACGTAGAAAAAGTATAGTCTGAAACACGTTTGGAATTGCATATTCCGCTCTCGTGAAACCGTCAAACTCTTCACTCGAGCGGAATATGCTGTATTCCAAACTTGTTACAGAATATACTATTCTTTCTTGTTTATTATATTCAATAACTTACGAAATATTGTTGATTCTGCTTCTATAATGATCCCTCTGGATAAAGAAAATTTGATATTGGCGTCACAGATTATAGAGTTTGTCAACACATTGACATTTTTAAAGTTTAGTTGGTAGCTTATGCCAGTTTGATTTAGTATTGTTTTAAATAATATCAGATTCTAAAGTAAAAGAACTTTTAAGGGCAAAACTTCATTTCGATGAAGTTATGCCAAATGCCTCAATGGCAAAAAAGTACATCCCCTTACGGACATTTTTCTCCTGGGCCGTAGTCACCTATATTTAACTACTTTTTTTACATGATTTTACTCATCTACGCCCCACCAAAGCCAAATTTATTGCATTTTTAACCACAGATTATAAAGGTTTGTTTTTAACTACGAATTTTGACAACTCAGCTTAACCATTCAACGTAACCTACAATCATTTTAACATAACCACAATTACATTTATAACTTGAGTTTAGTTTGTTTTAACCAATGCAACCAAGAAAATAATTTCTTTTGCTTGTTATATAAATATTATTCACTTTGAGAAACATCCATTTAGTTGTACAGGGTGAGCAAAAATACTGATTTTCAAAATTTAAAAATTTTTAAATATTTTTTTTAAGCTTTATAAAATGTTGGTAAGGAGAAATCAAAAAGTCAAATGAAGTTTTTTCATATGAGTTTTTGATACTTGATATTGAAAATTTAAGATATTAGTTTTCAAATTTTAACAAATAATTGTAGATACCGCTGAAGGACCGGCTGAAGGACCTCGGTCAATGGCCATTTGTAAGAAATTGTATTAACTTTTTTTTGCAATAAAGTTCATTTATTATTATTATTATTGTAGATATTGTAGACATGTCAGTTGAAAGCAACAAATATATTAGTAACAACAACTCACATGAAAAAACTTTATTTGGCTTTTTGGTTTTTCATTACAAGCTCTTCATATTAGACCTTCAAAAAATATTTAACAATTTTGCAAAATCTACAATTGTATTTTTTTTGTGCACCCTGTATAACAAAATAGAAGTTTCTCATCGTGAATGGTATTTATATAACAAGCAGTAGAAATTATGAAAAGTGACTTTTCTTTGAAAAATTTAAAATAAATATTTTTACAAGTATTTCGTAGACACACTGTATATATTTTACAAACAAAAATACTGTCTATTTTAATACATATTTTAAATCAGTCGTTCTAAATTTTATACTTGATTATTTCCCTCATTATAATATGAACCAATCAAAAGCCTTGAATTTTCGAATAAATTTCGTTTAAATAAGCGATTAAATCACTAGAACTATTTAACAGCAATTAAATTTTAGCCTCCATATTGGATTTTTGTTTACGATTTTATGGAGTTATTTACAAGTTTTAACAAACATTTAAAAAAACAATAAAAAATAAGTTATCTAGTTTACGAAATATCAATTATTACTTATTACATACCTTAAATTAATGGAATTTTCATAAAAAAATATTTATAAATTTTGACACATACCTACGTCAGATTTTATGAATTCCTTTAATTCGAGAAATAATCTATAGACGTATATCACTCAACCTATAAATTTAATCTGTCAAACTATGCTCAGTAAGTTTTTTATTTGATTTTTCTTTTTGGAAAATAGTTTTATGCAAAATAATTAAAAATAAAACCTCTCGACCGCTACGCCGTCTCGTGATTTTATTAAATTATTTTGCATTCAACATTTTCCAACAAAAACCAAACAAAAAACTACTGAGCCTATACACGGTGCTGTTCTGAGAGGTGATTTTTGGACTTTCTGTGAAACCTAATTTTTTTTATATTCTTGTTAATTAGGTCATAACTAAAATTTTAAGAGCAAAATAAAAAAAATTTGACGGTTAATTTTGTTTTAATTGGATGTTTATTAAAAATATGTATGCACACTTTCAATTCTCCAATTAAAACTTGCGATTTTATTTAAATATTATCATAACTTTTTAAATCAGATTAAAGATTAGTTAATTTCATAAAAAAAGGTCTATAGATACATTTTTTATATCGTTTACTGTTTTGTTGTAATACACGTTTAAAGTTTTAATTTAAGGTTAAATGTATAGTATACATTTATTAAACAATAATTCTAAGGGTGCCACATTTTATTTAGAGCCGATTTATTCATTTTTGATTTATTTGACGAATAATTTCTTTGGATACTAAATATTGCCAAGACATAAAAGTTATCGGCCCGATATACTTTACTAAAGATGAATAAACCGGTCCTTAGTTAAATTTCATGAATTTCTTCGTGACTTTTACTACAATTTTTCATTTTTGTTTATAAAAGACACTTTAAAAAACTAAACAAAAATTATAGAATACGTATACTGAAAATGACAATTCAAACGTCAAATAAATTTTTAATAGATCTAAGTTTCATGGCAACCTTTAAGGATATATTAATTAAGGGAATATAAATGTATACGTCAAAGGTTAGATTAAAAGTTTAAACGTTTATTGCAACAAAACAGTAAAATATATAAAAAAAAATGTAAAAACCTTTTTTTTAGCTATGCAAATAATAAATATTTAACTTAAATCGCTAGTTTTAATTGGATAATTGAAAGAGTGCATAATATTTTTAATAAACAGCCAATTAAAACAATTTAAACCGTCAATTTTTTTTATTTTGCTCTTAAAATTTTAGTTTTGACCTAATTAACAAGAATATAAAAAAAAATAGGTTTCACAGAAAGTCCAAAAATCACCTCTCAGAACAGCACCGTGCTATAGTTTAACCGATTAAATTCATAGTTCTCGTAATATAATATATAATTATTTACATTTTAAATGATTTTATTTGCCAAAAAACAAATCTAGTAAACCATGACATATGTTAGCGAAATTATTTTCCATGGTTAAAAGCAAATGTCACAAATGTCAAATATATCTTGATGAAATTTTAATTGTTTTATATCTAATTCAAAATGTCAATGTGCCAATATCAAAATTGTTTTATCCAAAGGAATCATCATAATAGAAGCAGAATCCACAATGTTTAGTAAGTTAAATAAATAAAAAAATAAACAAGACAAAGTGCAAAAACTCTTTTGTTAAATGAATGGAAAAAGTTATCGATTTGAAATTTGTATAGCAATTATAAGGCAATGTAAACTATTTTTTTAAGATATTTTCAATGCTTTATCACTTGATATCAACTTTGGTTTTTCAAATACGCTAAAGAAGTATCGTAGTACAACAAAGTACAACTTGTGATAATCAGCTGTGGCGTGTTACAAACAAGTGTTTTTGAAAATAAAGCCGGAAAATGTTAAAAAATATCGAAAAAAAACATAAAAATGGTTGATTTTAAGGTGCAAAAATTATTTTTTACTAATTTCTTAAAAATGGCCAAACTTAAATATAAATTATATTAGGTAAAGTTATCATTAGTTAATTCTGCACCAACAAATGTACCTACCGAATTGGATCCTTCGGCAAAACATGAAATGCAACGATTTAGTTCTTGAATTTTATTTACAATTAAAAACACAATAATTCACCATGATCCCTTTGATAAAATACACACACTAACGTAACTATATAAGCATTTAAGCGTTAAGTTTCTTAATCAATGATATAAAGAATAATCAATCGAAATCGAGTACTAACAATTTTTTTTTTTATTTATTTAAAAATTATGTATAATCAGTCCACCAGATGGCGCACGTGTCGCGAAAACCCGATACTTCTTTAGCGTATGTAAACTATTTTTTAAAATTATTTCCAATGCGTTATCACTTCCAGTTAAACCAGAAGTGATATCAACTTTGGTTTTTCAAATAGAACCATATAAATATTATTGCATTTTTAAATTCTACGTAAAATTCTAGAAATACTTAAATTTCAATATTTTTTTATTATTATCAGTTTTTGAGAAATTTAATTAAAAAAAAAATTATATATTGGTATTATATGGACCTTAACATTTTCTTTACAGTCCTTCTACAAGAATACCTCAAATGGGTCCCGGAGTCTGCGCATGGTGAAATTACGCTGCTGTGGCCACCTATCGGGTGAACTCGTAAGTTTTACTTTTTCGATGTTAAAATTTTTGTTCATGAAAAAAATAATGTAGGTTATATATACATTTAAAAAAGTTATCATATACATATAAATTGTGAATAGGTTAATTTTATTTGTTTAAAAATACATATATATATTTTAACATTTATCGTATTGATTTTTAAGTTCCTCCACTTTTTCCAAGGGTTTTTTTAAACAATCTTTTACTTTACGCTGGAGTTTCTTTTCTTCCTTTCCAATATGCTTTTCCGTGGCTGTTATTCCTTCCTCGGTTTTCTTAATTTTCTTCGCGAGACATTGTTCCTCTTCTGTGGGCGACTTGGGAAACTCCTGCTTGCAAATTTTCCCCACGTTTTTCACGGAATTCTTTATCCGCTTCACTTGTTTCGGGACGTCCGGATCTACAGTCAGGCCGTACGTGCATTCGACTATTTTCGACGGTTTGAACAGGTCGATTTGCACCAGCACTATTTTCAGGCACGTTTTTCTGTGGTCGTTGTCTATGATCTTCGGGTTTTTCAGGTAAAACTGGATGGACTTCTGCAGGGCTTTTAGTTCGAAGGTTACGGTGTCCTTGACATCCATCACCTTATTGGTCGCGTTATGTTTTACATTCTTCATACTTTTTTCCAGAATTTTTGATTTTAAGTTTACATGCCTTAACTTTTCCCGCACGCCATCTTTTGGCGAACACCAAATGTACTCGCACGTTGCCGACGCGTTCAACTAAAACATATGGTATATAATAGTTATTTATTTCACTAGGTTAAGAAGTTGAGCGACGCACAAAAAGGCACTTCTTGGCCGAATGGCATACAACATTTTGTCTTCAAAGCACTTTATATAGGTCAACTTAATTCAACATCAAAGCGGCCTAACCTCACTTTTTTAGAATCTAATTTATTTATTAGCTAAAGATTGCATTAAATGTACAATAATTATTATTGCTTTTAGAAGCAGTAATAGTTTGACAATACCTAGCAACATGATTTAAGTGGAAATGGATTTTTGCTATTACATTGAATTCAATTAATTGTTTAATTTATAGGTAGGTATCAATTTAAAAAATAGGTAGTTTGGAATGTTTAAGCTGTGTTTAACATTTAATTTCACTGAAAACTTAAAGCAAATTAAAACTTAAAGATAATTTAAATCGTAGAAAAAGAATCGTGCGTTTTCTTGGTTGCCTAACCTCACTTTTTGTTTTATTATTGATATTAAATTTTACAATAATTTAATGAAAAATATTAAACATTAACAGTAAAACAAACAAATTAGTGCTTATTATAAGTAAATTAAACCAGTTTAGTACGTTAATTTCTTAGAAAAGGATTAATTTGTCAAAACAATACCCCTAGCGAGAAAAAATCGAACCAATTACTTGCCTCATAAAATTTTTTTATCGGCCTAGGCCATAACAAGGTATTTCTTTATCGAATGTTGACAACAATAAAGTTTATATTATAGACTTCGTGGAGATAAAATTTTCTCAAGTTTACTAATTTTGATCATATTTTGGAATATTAAAACATTGTTTAAATAGCTTGAGAAAAACCATTTGAAATTAGGAAAACTTCAAACAATAATAACGTTTTCATTATAAATGTAAAACCCTGTATGTTTTAACATAATCAAATAGAAAATTAAAGAATCTTTCGATTGGTATTTTAATAACTGTTTCCTAAAGTTAAAATTTCAGAGACATATAACAATCTCTAATATTTTCAATACTATTTTGTAAAACTGATCCTGGCCACAGAAACATCATTTGCATAAAAAAGTTAATATATCAAATAATAGTCAAACATCAATACTTCAACGTGTTATACTCAAATTTATAAAACAAAGTTGCTTCTTCGATTATTTACCCTTTAAAAATTGTTAAATTTTAATTTAAATTATCACCAGCGCCCCCTGTATGTTAAAATCTAAACAAATTTTTTTCATACATGTATTAATTGTCATTAGTAAGATATACATTCTGTCCAAATTTCTAATCGATACGTTTTGAAATAAAAAAGTTATTAAAAAAATGAAATTTTCCTACCTAGTAGGTATTAATAAAATATTCACTTATAATACCACAAGAGCTTCAAAATTATCGGGTATTTTTCCCGATAGGTTCGTTGCAAACAAATGAAGGAGTCAAGTTTTTCAGGTTAAAAAATCACGAGCGCGAAGCGCGAGTGATTTTTCCTGAAAAACTTGACGACTTTATTTGTTTGCAGGGAACCTTGAGGGGAATGCCAGATAATTTTGAAGCTCGTGTGGTATTCGGGGGATTATTTTTCCGTCCCAAATGTCGGCCAATAGAATTGCACCATGTACAGTTAACAAATAAGAATTTCATAATGAATAAAACAACATTTAATTAAGATTTAATTTGTTTTTTATATATAGCAACTACCAGAGAAAATTTTCAAAAAATTATCGCTGTAATTCGCTGTAGGTTCCCTCAACAACAATGCCTCAACAATGTCCCAACAATACAGAGAACTGTCAAAAAAAATAATCATGAAAAAATACTCACAGTTAAAAATACAATGGGAATTAAACAAATAAGTACAAGTTTAAGCCACATTTTGTTGATTATAATTATTATTATTATCTGGGAATTTTAAACTATAAATTGTGCATTATTTTTTAATTTTACGCCTTTTTATGTTAGTTTACATTTCATTTAATTTAATTAATTTATTTAATTTTCCATTGAAAAGATTAGAACCAGTAAATCATTTAAAAATATGTTTTTTTACATATGTCATTTCTATTTTAGGAATTCCACATGACTTTTTTACGTCCCATAATGTGGTGTTCCAATTTTTTTCCATAGGTATGTTTAGTCAAACAAATTTTTAGTTTTAATAAATTCTTTATTTGAAAAAAAGTATACCAAGAGCAAGAAGTATAAAAAGTTTATCACAATAGGTATGAATATTTGAAGGAATTTTTATAAAAAAAATATTGTATAACAATATTCTCGCTTAAAAATTAACACCTTAACCTAAATCCATAAACAAAACTCAAATTATTTTTTTTAATTATAAAATCAATCAAATAATACGAAACATCGTTAATGTTCAATCAGAGGTCCCCAGAAATATTTGCTGATCCTTTCTTCGTCTTCAGTCAAAAAGAAGTCCTTCCCGTGCTTGATAAACTCTTTGATTGTTATTTTTCCGTCTCCATTGGAATCTATGGTCCTAAAGGCTAATTCAGCGTCCAACTCCTTCAATCCCAAGCAATTAAAGAACAATTTGTACTCCTCTACTGAGATCACACCTGAAGCGTCTTTATCTAAAGCCTAAAACGTAGTTTTAACGTTAAAATCTAGTAAGTTAAATCGCAATAATTATTATTGTGGTTAGCCACGCCCCCGTTGGCTTAGCAACGCAGTTATTGTCATAGCAACGCCTTTGTTTGTCATGACAACGACTATATCGCCATGGTAATGCATAAACAATTTGATTTAAACGCAATATAATACCTTAAACAAGTAGGGTAAGAAACCATGCACTTTCTTCACCAAAACTTTATCGTTTAAGATGTGGTGCATGTCTGTGATGTATTGCTCCACTGTCACTAGATTGTAGGGGTAGATTTCGCCCCATCTAGACTCCCACAGTTCCTTGATGACCTTTTTGAATTCCTTGGTGTGTTTTTCGCTTAGGTGACCCAAGTCGACGAATCTGTCGGCGAGAAGGACGAAATCGTCGAAGGAAATGACGCCGTCTTTGTTTACGTCCAAAATGCCGTGGAACGTGCGCATCTTTCTTCTCCAAAATTCGGATTCGCCCTGTCGAATAATCGAATAAAATTTGTATTTTTTGTTGAGTATTTAATTTAGTTACCCTGGGTCCTTTGTTTTCAATATCGCTGTCAGATGCCGAATCTGAATCGTATTTTCTTCCGGTTTTATGTTGGTATCTCTTGCTGTAATTCCTTGTGAGTATGAAATTTGTCGTGGGAGCGACTGTAAGGCACTTGCACACATTTGTCTGTGTAGAAAATAAAAATATATTAATTGTTTAATAAAAATATGAAATAGAAGCAGTTTTTCAGTGATGTGAATTAATTATTAAGGGTGGCTAGTTTTTAATTGAAAACCCTGTATACCTACTTGTATATGTAGGCAGGAAACAGGGGTGATAAAATAGTGTATTAAAGGACTAATTGTATAAAAAAAATTAATTTAATACCTTAAATTTAATTTGGTCGAATTTTACTTTAGATAGTTGGTATCACATTCGTTGGTTTGACAGTTAATGTCAAAATCGATTCGCCATGCCGTCCTTAATTTACTTATTTACAATAAGCGGCTGTTAATGTTAAAGTAAAAAAAATGATTTTCTTTGGTGTTAAAACAAAATTTATTGTCAGAAAAGTCTCGTAAGTACTAGAAAAATCATAAAAATTTTATAACCAATACGCAAAATATTATGCTGTTAAAGTATAGGCAACCTATAAAATCAAAATTTTGGGTAGGATAAAGTATTTCATTACAGCATAGAAAGCGGTGTCATAATGAAGTCATTATGAACGCAAAATAGATAAAAAAGATTTTTATTCTTGACCTAATTTTAATACGTTAAGACCTCGTATTTTGTTAACATATTTTGCAACATTTTTATGCAAATTTTTTGCCTAGAAACCGGTTTTAAAAGTGCACAACTTCCTTGGGAATATAAAATTTATAATCTAAAAGGGGTCATCCACTTAATAACAGAATAAATACATGTTTATTATGGAAAATTATTATGTACAATTTTTGTTCTTAATGGTATAAAATTTCCTACTTTCCTTGACTTAACTGTACAATATACAATCTATCAAGTGATAGGTATGTTTTTAGTGATTTAAATGTGATAAGTAAATACAAATATATATATTTGTTCTTTATAGTTGGAAATATATTTACTAGACTGGGCCAAAAAAATCGCCAATTTTTTTTTGTAAAGTATATCGAAAATATTGTTTGGGTGACAAAAAAAAATTATGGTGAATGTTTGAGTTCATAATATTAATATTAAGAGATTTAGATTTTTTTTCCTGAGCGAGTTTTTGTCTCAGAACTTCCAAATCATTGAGTTTAACAAAATTACTTAAGAATATTTTTTGAAGAAAATTGAATGCTTTACAAAAAAGGTTTGATTGGAATTTCCCGTCAGATGAACCGTTTTCTTACAATCATGCCTTAAAAATTGGTATAGTTTTACAATTTCATCTTTTAACTTTGTAATTCATGTAAAAATCGGTACCCTGAAAAAAACCGATACATATTCTTATGGGAAATCAAATGCTCTACAAAAAAGTCCTTTATCATTTTTGGCTAAATTCACTCCATCAAAAGTTATTCAAGGTTAAATTTGAAGTTAAAACGAAATTTTAACCTTGAATAACTTTTGATTGAGTGAATTTAGGCAAAAATGTTGAGAGGCTTTTTTTGTAAAGCATTTGATTTCCCATAAGAATATTTATCGGTTTTTATGGGTACTGATTTTTACATGAATTACAAAATTCCAATTTAAAAGATAAAAATGTAAAACTATACCAATTTTTAAGGCATGATTTTAAGGAAGGTTCATCTGACGGAAAATTTCACTTTAACCTTTTTGTAGAGCATTTAATTTTCTTAAAAAAATATTTTCGAGACAATTTTGTTAAACTCAATAGATTGGGAGTTCTGAGACAAAAACTTACTGAGGAAAAAAAATAAAATTGCGATGATAGACCTCTTAATATTAATATTAATATATAATTATGGACTCAAACTTTCACAATAATTTTTTTTTGTCACCCCAAACCATATTTTCAATATACCTACTTTAAAAAAAAAATAGTTAATTTTTTTGGCCCAGTCTAATATTTACATTCCTATTTTGTTAAAAAAAAATTGTTTTATAACAGCTGGACGATACAATTTATATAATAATATACCTACCTACCTATAGGTATTTGTGAAAGGTCAAAAACTTTAAAACCTGTTTTAATATTAATCTAGGTGTTTTCTATTTATATTTAATGTACCCAATTAATACAAAATGTTGTTTCAGAATTCTGCAGTTTTTATTAGTTCAAAAAGTTTAAACAGAAGTTATCCTTTTTTGGTGTCGAATTTTGGCTAAAAATAGTGGCTTAATTATTAAGCACATTGCCCGATAAACCACAAATTATCAAACCTTATCTATTTATTTGTGTAAAATAATAATAATAAGAATAATTTAAAAAAACCGATTACAACGTACAATTTCAAGGTCTTACTGTAATTTTGCGCATTAAAATTTAATTAATTAGATACCATTCGAAATGCCAAATAACTCATGCTTGTCCGAAAATCATATAGACGCGCCTTTATCGCCATGGAAACGCTTGTTTTCTCCATGGAAACGCGTGGATTGCTTAGCAACGGTGCGATTTCCATGGTTACTTGATTTTTAAGGGTTATGTTTTGGGTATCTTATGAGAACACGCGTTTTTGCCACATGTTTATCGCATTGACCTATTTTTAAGGTATTGAACCTTGTTGCCAACAAGTTGTTGGTCCAGTGGCTTCAGTAAATAAATAAACATCGGTGATTTAATTAATATTTGATAATTTAGCTATTAAGTGTAAAAAAGTATGTAGTTATTTTATCCATTGTTATTGGCCTATTGTAATACAAAACAGTTGATAGTTCAAGTAAACAACGTAATCGCTAAAATAGGGCAAAATATTGTTAGATTCTATCAGAAATAGGTATTTTCATTTATTGTACCTATTTATAACAATTTACAAGGACTTTTAAGAAAATTCATAATCATTTATATTTGTAATTTTAAATTAATCTGAAGTTCAATGCCGAATTTTAACAAATTTTGTAGAGGAAGTCACCTTCAAAGCAGTGGTGTGGATTTTTTTTTTAATTTCTCAAAATGTTAAAATAATTGTTTGAATTTAAATCATGATACCTACCTACACCACTTATGTATATTAATAACTATAGTACCTACTGTTAATCTTGTAGGGACCTAAAGGATTTTTTCTCTGGAAAATTTAATTTCTACCTAGGTATATAAAGTTCAGGTAGGGGCATATAAATTATATAAGTTAAGGTAGAAAATTTCTTAATATTTAAATAATTACAATCAAAATAAATAACAAATTGTAAATATGGTTATAGGACCATGGCACCATGTGCACGTGTTTTTAAAATAAGTTTTAAGGTAATTTTGAGAGTGCAAAACAAAATCAGTGAACTTCCATAGTTATCTGGATAGAGTGAATAAGTAATATTAAAAGTTATTAACCTACTTTCTGTTTATTTTATTGATAAAATGCATGTGGGTTTAAAAAAACTTCAACATGTTTATTTATAACAACTAATATTGGATTGATTTGAAAACAAATTTAATTAATTTTTAAAGTATTAAAACACGGTTTGTTCTTTATTTTCCACATCTAACACCATTATTTAGTCTTGTTAATGTTTTGAATATTGTTTTGGATTAAAAAAACTCACCAAACTTTTAACAGGTTCAACTTTGGCACCGTTTAAAGCTGTCTTCAAAACATTCACGTTTCTCGGAGTCAAAACTCCGCTCCTCAAAATTGAAAACACCATTTTTAATTACTACTAGCAATAAATGCAAAACACAACTTGACTTCACTAAGTTTCACTGTAATATGGTCGTTGAACGTTCGTATATGTTTTTCTTATGCCAGGTCAATTCCGTCTATAGATACACAATCTGAATTCTTCGTCTGCTTGTAGTGGGGGCGCATAATATGCCGGTTGTTGTTTACCAAAAACAGTGGCGTACTACGCAGGTTCTATAGCGCTAGATGGAAGAGGTACCACGTTTCGCTGCTTACGAGGGTTGGTCCGTTAGTACTGGGATCAAAGTGCAAACAACGGACTTTAGTACTAATTACAAATAGTACTTGAAGTAATAATGAGTACATGGAAAAAGTACTGCAATTAATTAAAATTTGCTTGGGTACTAATTACAAATAGTACTGAAATGTTCAAAACAAACTCATTGAGAAAAGAGTTGCTACCTCAATCAACCAAAACTATTACGTTTTTTTACTTAACCAACTTACAGTGAGAGTAAACCCCCAAAATCAGGAATGTTAGGAAAATTAGTATGAAGCATATACCTATATTAAAAAAAGTTATGTTATATTATTATTAAAATAAAAAAATGTTTATTTTTTCAAAAAATTTTATATTTATTTTCCAAAATTTATCTACTACCGATAACCCCAATTAAAAAAAATTACAATTATTTTGATGTATTTTTTAAGGATCAATTGCATAATATTTACAAATACCTATATTATCAAATATAACGATTTTCTAAAATTTAATACTCATAAGTAGGTATTATTATATTATAATACACTAATCCCAAAAATTATAATAACTTCAAAATATGATAATGTTAAGAAAATATTTTTTTTATTACTATAATTGCAAAATATTACCACAGTATTAATTTTTCTGAGTAAATCAAAATTCATCCCTTGAAAATAGACGAACAATCGATATAAAAGCAGTTTTTCACAGTAAAAGATGAAACTACGGCGAAATCAAAAGGTCAGTACAAAAGTTAACTAAATTTAGTTTCAGATATTGGCGACAAGAAATAATAAGATAATAAAATAAATTTCACATTTAATATAATTTTACAAGAAAGGCTTTTTATTTTAACGATGTTATGACATTCAACAACTGTCAACTAACTTAAAACTAACTTTAGCCCGTGACTAAAACCCTGTTGCTAACTTCAGCCCTTGACTAAAACGCAATAAAGTAACAGCTCGTTAATGTAGGAGTAGATAAATAAAATTATAATTAATATTATTAAAATATATTTTTTTCAAAAAATAAATAATTTTTTTTTTCAAAATTTGTCCACCCAACGATAACCCCAAATAAAAATTATAATTATTTTTAAATATTTTCTAATGATCAATTGCATAATATTTACAAATATAACGATTTTCTAAAATTAAATACTTAATACCCCCCTATCCTATTTTATTTTTTGTTTCTATACTCCTCCAGACAGCATCTATGGGTCACGTGTAAAAACAAAAGCATGCGAGTCCACACGTATCGTTTAAGTCAATATATTGACTATTATTATAATCAGGAAATGCAGTTGACGTATCTTTAGATACCTATGTATATAGAGTTGGTAAATAAGTTAATGATACTGGTTAGTTTTGTAATTTATTAAAATGATTATGATGGATGACGTGACAGTGCGGGTATTGTATTGCAGTAAAAGTTGTACATGGTAATATATAAATCATTTTGTTTCAAGAATATTTAACGTTTAAATTCTTTAAACAAAACTTATAAACTTATAACGTATAAATAATAGAGTGTTTCATTTTAAAACGACACTTTTTTTCCCACCTAAAAATTTTGTAACCGGTCAGAAAACAAAAATGTTGAGCTATTACAATGCTCTTAATCTTTATTTTAAGCCTATTCAATTTTTTATTCTTGTCTCCTTCCGCTCGTACAGTAAGAATATTTTTTTCGAATTTCGGTTTTAACATCTTTATACAGAATGAAATTATTTAAAAAAATGTCCCTTTAAGCAATTCTGTAAGTTGAATATGTTTTTCACAAATTGTCATTCTACTCGAAAATCTCTCTAGCAGTAAATCGTATTTGGAGACTAAACTATTGATTGTAGATAAAAAACGTAAATAACAATTTTGTAGGGAATTTTGTGCCCTACAAATTTGTTAAGAAATATTTTTCTGTATCATTTATAGTTTAGCTTGTACAGCCACTCTTTCACGTAACAAATAGTACACGATTTTTCTCCCATGAAAAATATTAACAGATATTAAAAATAAAGGTTAAAAAAACGGACCCGTGTTCACGAAATCACGTCATTTAATTTTTTTACACAGCCATTCTTATTATTTTAACCTAAACAGACTTTTAATTCTCTATTTTGTCATAAATCATTTTTTTTATATTTTATGTTTTTACATAATACAAAAATTATACCTACTTAAAGAAAATAACAATTTTATTTTTTCTGGTTTTAATTTTTGATTTTTAATTTAATTTAATTTTTAATAAAACAACAGATTTGTATTCATCTTATATTAAATTTAATATGTTGGAAACAAATCTTGCAAGATCATGATCTTTTAGTTTGACGATTATACATTGCTTTCGAAAATATAGTGGCATCACAACCTAAAAACACCACTTGATATACAGGGTGTTTCACATTCGTGGTCCATTGGAAGTTTCTGGAGAACGGAAAAAATATAGATTTGAAATTTAAAAGCGTTTATAATCCTTTAAGTCTATTTTTTTAAATATTTGAACAAAATGCAACTTCCGGTTTGACCGGAAGTGACATCAACTTTGTTATTTCAAATAGAACACCCTATATATTTTTACATTTTTAAATTCTACATAAATTTTTGAGTAAAATTACTATAACATGTCCTATACCTAAAGTGTATAGTTTTCTAGATATTTGCTATTAAGTTTACGAATATGGGGGCAAAATGTTTGGAATCTTAAAACATTGTTTAAAAAATTCCATGTCAATTCTTTAACATTTTACCCAACAAATTACCCGAGAAAACCCAGGACAAATTGGGCTAACTTAAAAACGTTAATAACTTTTTTATTTAAAATTTAACACCCGGTATGTTAAGAAATTGACATGGAATCTTTTAAACAATGTTTTAAGATTCCAAAAATTCCACCCCCATTTCTGCAAAGCTACTAGCAAGAAAGTAATTTTACTCAAAATTTTATGTAGAATTTAAAAATGTAAAAATATATGGGTGTTCCATTTAAAATAACAAAGTTGATGTCACTTCCGGTCAAGCCGGAAGTAGCATTTTGTTTAATATTTTAGAAAAAATAGGATTAATTGGATTATAAACGCTTTAAAAATTTCAAATCGATATCTTTTGCCGTTCCTCAGAAACTCTCAATGGACCACGAACGTGAAACACCCGTTTTTCGTAAATGTGCAACACCCTGTATACAATTAAAATAATTTTAAAATAAAGAAATTTTTCATGGGAGGGAAAAAAATCAAATTTTGTCGTACTGTTTTATTGTTAATGGCTCTTTTCATAAAATTTATTAAAAAGTATTTATTATAGGTACTTCCCAATTAAATAGAAACAAAAATATGGTATTTTTTTAAACGACGCCACTGAGTACAGTGCCTATAAATAGCATATTTTGACCTTGATAGGTCTTAAAAAGGAAAGTATTTTTGTCTCGCCAAAGAAAACATATTTAATGTTTATAAACGCACCACTTGTTTTGTTTGGGTCTTATATAACACCTTCTATAATCGCATGCGCATTTCAGTATTTTTAATTTATTAACAATTGTTATCTCAGTTGCTACGTGAAAAAAAGCATGATTTTAGAGTTGTTTACTGTTCTTTTGCTGATTATATTTTTTTTACGTATGTAGTTTGGTATTATTTAAAAAACACCTATCCACTAGACCATAGGGGATGTACTTTTATACGCTTTGTTAATAAATAAAATTTATTATTAATGGTGGGTTTATGCAGACTTAAGACTTAAAAATTAACATTTAAGACTTAAGAATTAAAAATTAAGCGAAAATTGTGGCGTTCATGCAGCATTTATCTTAAGACTTAAAACTTAAGGAGTAACCAATCAAAATCGATAAAAATATCACGTGGTATCAAGTTGGTACTACCAACATTAAAATGCCAATTGACCATATGCAAGGAATGCGGTCGATGTTGCCAATGGTAAAAAAATAAAATTCCCTATTGGGAACATTCAATTATATTACGTTGGCTACATTGAAAATTTGAATTTCCCGCACTATTTAAATTCATTTCCATCTTTTTTTTTTAATAATAATAAATAATAATAATTCCTACATTTGAAATTCGCACCTTAATTTATTATACAACATAGGAATTACCTTCTTTATCTCTGGGAACTCCTAGAATGTATGTCAGTTTGTGCGGGAAATTCAAAATTTCAGTGTAGCCAACGTAATATAATTGAATGTTCCCAATAGGGAATTTTATTTTTTTACCATTGGCAACATCGACCGCATTCCTTGCATATGGTCAATTAACATTAAAATTTTACCGTTGTGTTTTGCGAATGCGTATATTTTTGTTTATCAACGTTTTTTATAATCTGTGTTTACTAGTTTAATCTAAAATGGATCCAAACTATCTATCATTTTAGCACACTAATTTCAAGAAAAACATGAAACACGAATTTTTAAATTTTCAGTTACAACAACCATAGAAAAAGAAACAGTTTAATTTAAAATTCCCTAGTTAACGCTTGCGCAAATGCGATTTCATGTAAGAATTAAAAATTAAGACTTAAGAAAGATAAAAGTTTATTATCTTTCAAGGTCATTTTTCTTAGTTCTTAAATGTTAAGTCTTAAGTCTTAAATGGTGCATAAACGACCTTAAAGGGAATCAATGAAATAACCTAACTTTTAACTTCTTAATTGTTAAATGTTAAGTCTTAAGTTTTAATGGTGGGTTTATGCAGACTTAAGACTTAAAACTTAACATTTAATACTTAAGAATTAAAAATTAAGCGAAAATTGTGGCGTTCATGCAGCATTTATCTTAAGACTTAAGACTTAAGGAGTAACCAATCAAAATCGATAAAAATATCACGTGGTATCAAGTTGGTACTACCAACATTAAAATGCCAATTAACATTAAAATTTTACCGTTGTGTTTTGCGAATGCGTATATTTTTGTTTATCAACGTTTTTTATAATCTGTGTTTACTAGTTTAATCTAAAATGGATCCAAACTATCTATCATTTTAGCACAGTAATTTCAAGAAAAACATGAAACACGAATTTTTAAATTTTCAGTTACAACAACCATAGAAAAAGAAACAGTTTAATTTAAAATTCCCTAGTTAACGCTTGCGCAAATGCGATTTCATGTAAGAATTAAAAATTAAGACTTAAGAAAGATAAAAGTTTATTATCTTTCAAGGTCATTTTTCTTAGTTCTTAAATGTTAAGTCTTAAGTCCTAAGTCTTAAATGGTGCATAAACGACCTTAAAGGAAATCAATGAAATAACCTAACTTTTAACTTCTTAATTGTTAAATGTTAAGTCTTAAGTTTTAAGTCTGCATAAACCAGGCATAAGCTTTTATGAGTACCTCAGTACAATTCCGCGCGTTATATTTTTTATCTTTTAAAATAATATAAATGCCATAGGTATTAAAGAAAATACTTTATTTTAACTTTTTTAATAAATACAATAACTAATCTTACACTTGTGGAGATGATGATGAACGTATATTTTCATATTTCTCTTTATCTAAAACTTTTGAATCCAAATCCTGCACATGCTGAGAGGAAGGTATTATTATGGCAAGAAATCCTTCAACAGGATCAAAAAGTAAATTATTATCCTTAAGAAGGTTATCATTTACTTCTATTAATCTTCCGTGTACCCCTGCATATACAGGATACTCATCTCCATCTTCCGATTCAATAATGCACAGCAATGTATTTTGTTTCATGAGAACTGCTCCTTTTTTCTTCTTTCCTGTCACTTGTTTTTCAGTGAGATTGTGTTTAGGTTTAAAATGTATACCTTTTATATTTTTATGTTTTCTTATGAGATCATGTTTTTTGGATAAGTAAATTAAAATCGTTTGGTTGGTATGAATTCTCAACATTGTATCGAGTATTTTTCCATTTTCTTCTTTTATTAAGTATTTTTCTTTGAAATATTTTTCATGTTCGGGTTTAAAGGTTTCTAACTCTTCTTGGGGTATGGTTTCTAAGGGGGAAACAACAAGATGTTGGTAACATTCCATTTTATATATTAACACTTATATAGGTTTTTCTTTTTTGCACTAAACATTTCAAAGATGCAGAATAGTTAGGTTAGGCGACATATTCTTCTTCTTCTTGAAAATAAACTAAAATTTTTATCCCAAAATTTGAAATTCAATTATACTGCACTTGCTTTAAAAAACCGAATCAGTCTATTTTTATAAATATACTAAACAATGTACTGAATTTTACTAAAAGGTATGTATATTCTTCGACATTCTGAACAGCACCTATTTATTCGGAATTTGACAACCTCAAAAATTGGCGGTTTGTCAATATTTAGGGACCCTAAATTTATAATTGACTACATTGAGTAAAACAAACTAGTTTAGTGGAGAATATAATTGTGGTTATGTAACATAAGTTAACTTAAAAGCACAGAACATAACATTTGCTTAAAAGCAAATGTCACAAATGTCAAATAAATCTTGATGAAATTTTAATTGTTTTAGGTCTACTTTAAAATGTCAACGTAGAAAATATAAACGTTGAAATTTATTTTATAAAACAAAAGTTTTTAAAGAAAAATACTGCGTTGCCATGTCGTGCATAAACCTATAGGTATCCACTGATATGATAAACAACAAAATATACCTACGAGTTCATGGCAACATATTACATAATAAAATGGTATTTTACCGTTAAGTGGAGACTTTCTTAATCAACGCTTTTAATAATGCTAAATGCTATTTAAATTTAGACGACTTATTTGTTTGACGATTTTTACTGAATTGAAATGTTTACTCTTTAAAAGAGTCTCTTTTCACGTTAATCACCACTAAAATTTGTATTTATTGTATCTAATAGGTACAATTTATATTTACAGAGACTGTATGCAATTTATTTCTTCATTCAGATTAACACTTTTTATTGGAAAACCGGTAAAAACAAATCGAAAAAAACCAATACTAAATTTTGTGCAAAAACGGTTTTTCCAAAGTTATTTGATAAAATCAAAAAAGAACTTTTAACTTTTACACCCTGTATCTTGGTTATTATCAACTTTTGTATGGAGATAAATATTTATCTCTAAATATTTAGCTTAAGGAATATGTTGTAATATTTTGGGGACACCTATATTGTTTTATTTTAAGTAGGTTGTGTTTATTTTCTTGCTGATTATACTTTTTAATTATTATATAATATGTCTACGTGATATTTAACATGTTATAAATGTTTTTAATCAAAGAAAACATTTTAAAGAGATGAGACAACTGTTGGCAAGTAAACATACTTTCATAGGTGTCTAGATGTTTTTAACCTGGCGTTTCAGATTTCTGTTTATAGAGGGCGCAAGTTTACTTACCTTAAATTTTATGTATTTTTACTATTTTTTTAAGGAAAAAACAAACCCAAATTACTTAAATAATGTATGTCTTAAAAGTTACAAAAAATATTAAATACTATAACTTATAAATAAAAATATACACTTCTGTTTTACAAAAACAAAAGCCGCGGCGCGCATGGTGGGGAGGAGAAAATCCGCCCGAAACAGAAAAAAATAAAAAACTTGTCTGCGATAAAAACAAATTCGGGCGGACTTTCAGAATGTTCGTGACGTTGGAAATCAGGGTTTCACCACAATCGTCGGTTTAACCGACATGTCGACGTTTTGCAGATACGGGTGGAGTGCGATGCGCTTGGCAGAGATCCTCTTGGCCGGATCGTACACCAGCATCTCTTTCAGCAGTTCCCTCCCGGATTTGTCAAGGTTAAGCACGTGGTTTTCCAGGTTGTAACTCGTCCAGTTCGGGAACGTGGCTTTGTAGTCGGGGCACGAAGTCACTCCTGGCCAAACTTCTTCCGTCGGGGTTCTAAGGACTCTGAAAAAATATTTTTTTTGCCATTTCAAATAAAAACACCAAATGGGGTGCGCTGCTTGATTTGTTATTTTGATAAAAAAATTGAGGATGATCTTTTAGGTATTAAATATGAAAATCCGCTGCCGTTTTAATTTTTGGATTCTTTATTTTTAATCGGCACCCTTTAGAAATCTGAAATCGTGCCAATTTCTTACTCTCTTATAGTGGGCCAGAACTTTTTTTTGTGACAAATATTGAAATAATTTTAATTTTGTTTTACTGTTTTCGATATAAATTATTATTATCCAATTAGTTAATCTCATAAAAGAATGGTAAACCACTAAATATTCATGATAATTTGCCAATTTTTGTGATTTTTGTCTGGCTCCTGTGCCTACTCTACTAAATCTAGAAAGGTTTTTTTTTCAGGTATCAAGTACTTATACAATAGAAAACGTAACTATTATTTTAAGTTTCTTTATTAAAAAAATTATTGAAACTTGATAATTCTTAAAATTAGTCAATTTTGCCCTCAGAAATCATTATGTTAAGGAAAAAATAAAAATCTGAAAATTTCAGGAAATGTAGTCCCCACCTTCATCTTTTCAATCCAGTTAGTCTTGTTTTGTAATTTTTATTCCTTTGTAAGATATATTAATTTTTTAATGACCGTATAGTAGCGATATTGTTAGTTTTATTTATAATTTAAAATTTAGATGGCTTTCATTTTTGGTGGAGAAGTGTCGGAACTGTCAAAAACATTTCATAAATATTATTTGTGCGTATTTCTTTGGTAAATTTTGTATATAACATAATATGTCATATTATGTTATATATAAAAAATTTTAAAATCACCAAATAATAATTATGAAATATTTTTTACAGTTCTGATATATTTAGTTGTTATGTTATATTTTATGTATTGTATAATCATATATATATATATATATATATATGGGGTATTCCATACCAAATCGACCACTTTTGAACCCGACCCCTTTAGATTTTGCTGAAACTTTTCCATCCTTTTCTACCCTTTGAAAAACATTTTTGAAAATTTTTTCAAATTTTTTTGTCCAACCTCAAAAAAGTTATGAATTTTAAAAAAAAATGGCTTTTTTATTTTCAAATAGCCATAACTTTTTTAGAAATTGACTTTTGGGTACGTTTTTTTTTAATTTTTGTTTTTGAATGAACTTTTCAAAAAAATACACGAAAAAATACACGAAAAAAATTTAACATGATTAATTATATAAAATAATCGTTTTTTTTTAGTAAAATCGTCATTTTTTCGAAGTTCGCCATTTTTTTTTTGTTTTTTTTTCTCAAAAAAAACTTCAATTAATTTGACAACTATCCCCGCTAATCCCGGAGTGGGCCGATTTTTTTTTAATTTTTTTTTATTTATTTAAAAAAAAATTGTCGAATTTTCTTTGACAATTTTTTTTTAAATAAATAAAAAAAATACAAAAAAAAATCGGCCCACTCCGGGATTAGCGGGGATAGTTGTCAAATTAATTGAAGTTTTTTTTGAGAAAAAAAAAACAAAAAAAAAAATGGCGAACTTCGAAAAAATGACGATTTTACTAAAAAAAAAACGATTATTTTATATAATTGATCATGTTAAATTTTTTTCGTGTATTTTTTCGTGTATTTTTTTTAAAAGTTCATTTAAAAACAAAAATTAAAAAAAAGGTACCCAAAAGTCAATTTCTAAAAAAGTTATGGCTATTTGAAAATAAAAAAGCCATTTTTTTTAAAAATTCACAACTTTTTTGAGGTTGGACAAAAAAATTTGAAAAAATTTTCAAAAATGTTTTTCAAAGGGTAGAAAAGGATGGAAAAGTTTCAGCAAAATCTAAAGGGGTCGGGTTCAAAAGTGGTCGATTTGGTATGGAATACCCCATATGTATATAATATACAATATACAATAAATAATTTACTCAATCTGTAAATACTTCTTTAAATTTTAGTTTTTAGGTAACTGGTTAAAATAAAACATGTTATAATAAAGGGGTTTATTTAGAATATTTTTTGGTTTTTGCTTATTTTTAAAAATTTAAAACTTCTCAGAACTTGAATACTTTCTATGAGAAAGAGGTACAAAATTATGATATGTTCTTGCATTTTTAATTGCAATTAAATTCATGAATCTCGAACACTCCGTCATTTATTACACTTGCAAACTTGCAAACTTTTTGAAATCACAATTTAAATACGCACAAATAATATTTATGAAATATTTTTGACATTTCTGTCATTTCTCTACCAAACATGAATTGACCAAGTCAAAGCCATCTAAATTTTAAATTATAAATAAAACTAACAATATCGCTTCTTAACTGCATTAAAAAAATTATTATATCTTTTACATGGATAAAAATAAAAAAACAAGACTAACTAGACTGAAAAGATGAAGGTGGGGACTACATTTCCTGAAGTTTCAGATTTTTATTTTTTCCTCAACATAATGATTTTTGAGGGCAAAATTGGTTTTCTATTGTATAAGTACTTGTTACTTGAAAAAAAAACAACTTTCTAGATTTAGCAGATTAGGCACAGGAGCAGGACAAAAATCACAAAAATTGGCAAATTATTTCAAATCTTTAGTGGTTTACCATTCTTTTATGAGATGAACTAATTAGATAATAATAATTAATATTGAAAACATACTTACTAGGCAGTAAAATAAAATTACAATCATTTCAATAGTTGCCACAGAAAAAACAGTTTTAGCCTCTTATAAGAGAGTAAAAAAATGACACGATTTCAGGTTTCTAAAGGGTGCCGATTAAAAATAAAGCAACTAAAAATTAAAACGGCAACGGTTTTTCATATATGATAACTAAAAGATCATCCTCAAATTTTTTCATTAAAATAAAAAATCATGTTTAAAACACACAAAATATTTATTTCCTACCTGAAAATCCTAAACAACTGATCAATTTCAGAATCGCCTTGGAACAGAGGCCGCTTAGTCGCCATCTCGGCAAATATGCAGCCGACACTCCAGATATCGATTGGACAGGAGTACCTCTGCGAGCCCAGGAGCACCTCGGGTGCTCTGTACCACAAAGTCACCACCTCGTGGGTGTAGATCCTAACTGGTACTCCAAACGCGCGACCCAAACCGAAATCGGCGACCTAACATAAACATATTTCAGGAAAAACACAAAAAGATCTCTTTTTAACCAGTGGCGGCCCGTCAGGGGAGGCAGGTGAGGCAGTGCCTCATCATAGAGAATTAAAAAATAAAGTATAATTTAAATATTTTACTTCCTATAATATACTATAAATTTTTAATATTTGGATTACATAAATTGTGAAATAGTAAATAAAATTGATTGATTTTATACGTGGAATACCCAGCAACATTTAAATTATTTGAATTTGAAACGACCGCAATTTAAACTAATATTTATAGCTAGATGATTGGCTCAGAAGCAAGCCCGAACTAATTTAGACTCACGATTGGCGTTAGCCTTGTTGTCTCGTTCTATTACAATGCGATATCATAGTTGTCTCCTTCTCTCGTATTAGCATACGCGAGGCAGGCACGCCTACATCCAAGGAAATAAGCAGGTGTTGTGGCAACACTGTTGCGGAATTTTAGATAAATTATACTTCACACGTTTTTCAAAATTCAATAATAAATGGTAATATTCTAAAATAAACATATTTTAACACTATCGCCATCTTGTAGCCATCACAGTAACAATAAAATAAATGCAGATTCCTTTAGGTTTGTTTTGGTTATAAAATTCTGAACTGTTTAAAGAACAAATCTGTGGTTATTTACGCAATATTTTGTTTATTCTTTTTCTATGATTCTTTTGTAAGTGGTTTATTCTGTGGGTTTAGTTAATTGAACTTGGTGATTTATGTGAATTTAGTCATTATGGATATTACGGTGAGAAATTGTACCAATATTGTTGACCTTCACGTGGTTCTTGCTGAACAATGAAATATTAATTAGACAAAAATGAGGTTTATTTAAAATAAACGTCATTTTTACAATAATTTGACAAAGTAGAGGATTCTTTCCCCACCACAGTCTAAGTTTTTTACTTAGTTTTAAGTATAGGTTGTGAACTGCGACGTCAGTTGGGTTTAAAAAAAATTCTTCGCCTTTAAATGAGGGCGAAACCCTGCCTCTGCCTCACCAAAATGAAATGTCACGGGCCGCCACTGTTGTTAATTGTACAATTTTAGCGGGGAACGGCTTACGAATAAGTTGGCCGTCTTGGCGTAAGAAATGAGTGCATAAGTAAGAGAGAGAAGGAAATTTACAAGGCTCCCACAGCTAAATTACAAATTTTACTCAGGAATAAGAAAAAAAATCTTTTAGGTATATTTTGTTGTTTTTTAAGAAAAAATATATTAGTTTAAAAAGAATTTAATAACCTAAAATATATTTAACTACCTTAATTAAACTTAATTTTTAGAAGTTTTAGGAAATTGATGGCAACTTTAGGAGTTTTCAAGATTTAAGCCAAATTTTAGGAGGTGTGGGAGCCCTGAATTAATTAGTCAAATTTTTAAATGTTACAAAAAATAAACGAAATTTTTGCAAGCTATGAGAATTATCCACCCAAAAATTTTGAAAAAGTTTCATTTGTTATTAGTTATTTTTACAATTAAATATTTCGGCGATATATATTTAGAAAATTAATTACTTATACAATTCTTATGAAAAATTTCTAAAAATTATTGGGTATAATAACCCAAGCAGCACAACTGGGTAAATAACTAGCATTCTAACTAAATTAACTAAAATCTAATAAAGTAAAATAACGTTTTATTAAACTTGTTTTTTAACCAATTAGTTGTATTCAACCATAAACATTTTTTTAAAGTTGCTATGAACTAAAAACCCTTTAAATTTACCAACCAGTTGCTATAACCTTAAGGTAAATTTAACTAATAAAATAAACCTATTGGTAATATTACTAACTAGTTAAATATTTGGTTTATTAATAGTTAATTTAAACTCTTGAAATAACCTAAATTTATAGTTTATAATTTAAGTAGTTTTTTTATAACTTGTTTGTAAATAAATGAAATTTTCAACCACCTTAAAAATAAGTATTACATAAAAACAATGTACTTTCCTATTTTATTTTTTTTAAATGCATGTATTGTTAATTTTAAACTAAACCACCACAAGTTTTTACTCATTTTAATGGTTTTACAAAAAAAAACATACCTACCTATAAAATACCTTTTTGTATGGCGAAAAATTTCTTACAAAAATATGTGGTATACTTTATTTTGTTGTGAATAAAAAAGATTTATAATGAATTTCCAACAGTAAAAAAATGTCATTTTACTAATTTATCAACATTATGACAAAATTTAAAAACTATTAACTTTTCAAAAAATGTTTAAAGGGCAAACAGTGAGTTTTTTTATGTAGGTACTCTATATATAATTTAAGCAAATTTTGAATTTTTTGTTACATTTCCAATTTTAGACGCCATATTGGATTTTAAAATTTTTAAAAACAAAGAAAGTAAAAAATATTAGATCAAACAACTGTTTAGAAAAAATAATTTTGGACTAACTTTTTGAAAATTTAGATGATTTAAAAATTCCCTAAAACTAGTTTCTCTTACCTTAATTTTTCCATTGGCAGCAATGAGCAAGTTTTGGGGTTTTAAGTCTCTATGCAAAACTCGACGTTGATGACAAAATAGTATGGCATCGTTTATTTGGTATAAATAACTTTTAACTAACTTTGGATCCATGAATTTTCCTGGTGTGAACGAATCAAGGAACTTTTTCAAGTCCATCGCTAAGAATTCAAAGATCAAATACAACCTACAACAAAAATTAAATTAGAAGTTATTCAGTTATAATAAAACATAAATATATACTTGTTTTCTTCCATGAGTACATCTTCTAGTAACACAATGTTTGGGTGTCGGAGCTCCTTCAGTAATGAAATCTCTCTTATGGCTGTCGAGGGTACACCTTCATCTTCTGATTCCAATCTAACAACATAAATTATTAAATTACCATACCATACCTATATAGGTTATATTAAATTTTTAGCTTTAATAAATGCTCAAACAAACTCACCTAATCTTCTTCATGGCCACTAGCTCACCAGTTTTCTTGTTTTTACCTTTGTAGACCACCCCGTAGGTCCCTTCCCCAATTTTCTCGATTTTCAAGAAATCTTCCATATTCACGGACGGTTTCGCAGACATTACTCAACCTGAAACTATTTCAACACATTTCTTTGCCGTTCGTTCTTTTTTGTACGCTTTTTTGCTACTTTAATGTCCCGACCTAACCTCACTTTAACTTTAGCACACGATAAAAATCGTACTGATCGCTCGATGGCGTTCAATTTTAGTGCGTAACCATTACGCCGGCTGAAAAACCGTAAATATAGCAAAAAATACTCACCAAATAAGCGGATAGGTGAAAAAGAGGGACAATTAACTGGGCGAAATTAACGAATTTATTTGAAAAACCGTGAAGATCGGGTGGAATGACGCAAATTTGACTTGACCAATGGGCGTTCGCGAAGCATAATTATTACTTCCGTCTTTGTCTTTGCCATAAAACCGCCATAGCGCTGCCTTTGTCGGATGCAAAGCAAGACGACAACGTGTAGGTTTAAAAAGAACTGTTTTTAAACCGCCAAAATGCTGGGTTTTGCGAAATGGGCAGTATTTTTAATGATTTTTTGACGGAATGCGAATTCGCTGCATTTTTTATTTAAAACACTGGCAAGAAGCAACGCACACACCGATTACAAGTAAATAATTCTACAGGTTGCAGTTGGCAAACCTGAATTTTGTACTCATACTTGTTGCAACGTTGCCGAAATCGATTCATTCAAAGTTGATTAAGCCTAAAATCCTATTTAAATTGCTTTTAAATGTACGAAAAACCGCAAATAAGAATAAATAAACAACGAAATTATATTTATTTTGATTAAAAACAACATTTTAAATGCATTTTAGCAAACATATATTTACATATTGCAACAGCATTGACAGCTAACTTCACCGCATTGGTTTGGCGCCAAATCTTGTTTAGCTGCATGTTGTGTTTTCTATTTTTACTATTATTTCGTGTTATTTGTTAATAAACTAAGCAAAAATGGATGTAGCGGATAATACTGTGGGTCAAAGACAACAACGCGATGAAGTGGGAGTGCGTTGTCAAAAATTATTCCAGGATTTTCTGGAAGAGTGAGTATATATTGACAACCTGTTGATTTTAACAAATTTAACGTGTTTTCAATAGATTTAAAGAGGAAGGCGAGTTGAAATACTTGGAACCGGCACAAGAACTTCAGAACGATGAAAGAAGCACCATTGAAGTTAGTTTTGAAGATGTGGAAAAGTACAATCAAAATCTTGCAACCACGATCATTGAGGAGTATTATAGAATCTACCCGTTCTTGTGCAGGGCCGTCGGTAATTTCGTTAAAGACCGCACCAGTTTTAAGAAGGAGAAGGAGTTTTATATTAGTTTTATGGACGTACCGACCAGGCACATTGTAAGAGAGTTGAAGACTGATAAAATCGGAACGTTGGTTCGTATTAGTGGGCAGGTGATTCGCACTCACCCTGTACATCCAGAGCTGATTTCCGGCACTTTTGTGTGCCTCGAATGCCAAACGATGGTCAAAGGGGTGGAACAACAGTTTAAAGTGTGTTGTGTAACGGTTAATAAAAAAAATTTTGTGTTTTATTTAATTTTTTTTTTAGTATACTCTGCCGACGATTTGCAGGAACCCTGTGTGCCAGAATAGGAGGAGGTTTATGTTGCAAACTGATAAATCGGATTTTGTCGATTTTCAGAAAGTTAGAATACAAGAAACTCAGGCCGAGTTGCCTAGGGGTTGCGTTCCGAGAAGTGTTGAGGTTATTTTAAGGGCGGAAAACGTGGAAACTGTCCAGGTAAATATTAAATACCAAATAAAAAATCTAATTGCACCGAATATTTGAAATTTTAGGCTGGAGATCGTTATGACTTCACTGGTACATTGATTGTGGTACCGGATGTGAGCGCTATGACCCTGCCTGGTGCCAAAACCCAAATTGGGTCGAAACACAAGCACGGGGACGAGGCTGACGGCGTGCGAGGCTTAAAAGTGCTCGGGGTCAGGGATTTGCACTATCGCATGGCGTTTTTGGCCTGCAGTGTGCAACCTACCAACCCCAAGTTCGGCGGTATCGAAATGCCCATCGGTAAGTTTGAGAAAAATTTAAACAATCTACATCTGACGGTTTTAACCTCACTTTTGCCCAAAACTTTAACCTCACTTTTGCCCAAAGTTTGATAAGTGAGTTGACAAAAAAAAAAAGATTTGCAATAAGATTAAAATAGAATAAAATTTGAATAATCTTAAAATATTTAGAATTTTTTGAAACAGTTTGAAAATTTGAAGAAATATAAGAATTTAACAAAATTTATAATTTTTTAAAATTTCGATTTTTAAATCTATTGTTAAAATCTGAAAATATTAAATATTTCGAAAATTGAAAAATTTTGAAGAATTTGCAAAAAATTGCAAAATTTTTTTGAAAAAGTTTGAAAATTTGAAAAAATCTAAGAATTTTTTAAATTTTGATTTTTAAATCTATTAAATCTATAAAAGGCGTAACAATTTTTAAAATCTAAATGTTATACAATTTTTTTAAATTTTGATTTTTAAATCTATAAGCTTTGCAATACTTATTAAGGTTTGATTACAAATTTGAATAATCTTAAAATATGAAATATTTCGAAAGTTTTGACAATTTTGAAAAATTAAAAATTTGGAAAAATATAAAAATTGCTATAATTTTTTTAAAAAGTTTGAAAATTTGAAGAAATCTAAGAACTTAACAAAATTTTTAATTTTTTTAAATTTTGATTTTTAAATCTATTAAAAACGCGTTACTATTGTTAAAAATTGCCAAATGTATAAAATAAACGAGTTAACAAAAAAAAAGATTTGCAAAAAGATTAAAATAGAATATTAAAAATTAAAAATTTTACAAAATTTACAATTTTTTTAATTTTTGATTTTTAAATCTATTAAAAAAGGCGTTACAATTTTTAAAATCTGAAAACATGAAATATTTCGAAAATTTTAACAATTTCGAAAATTTTCAAAATTTGGAAGACTAAAAATTTCAAGAATTTTTTGAAAAAGTTTAAAAATTTGAAGAAATCTAAGAATTTTACAAAATTTACAATTTTTTAAAATTTTGATTTTTAAATCTATTAAAAACACGTTACAATTGTTAAAATCTTAAAATATTAAATATTTCGAAAATTTTATCAATTTTAAAAATTTGGAAGAATTTGCAAAAAATTGCAAGAATTTTTTGAATATTTTTGAAAATTTGAAGAAATCTAAGAACTTTACAAAATTTTAAATTTTTTTAAATTTTGATTTTTAAATCTATTAAAAACGCGTTACAATTTCTAAAATCTAAAAATATGAAATATTTCAAACATTTTAACAATTTAGAAAAATTTAAAAATTTGGAAGAATTTGCAAAAAAATTGGAGACATTTAATGAAAATTTGAAGCAATCTAAGAATTTTACAAAATTTACAATTTTTTTAAATTTTGATTTTTAAATCTATTAAAAACGCGTTACAATTTTTAAAATCTGAAAATATTAAATATTTCGAAATTTTAACAATATCGAAAAATTTAAAAATTTGGAAGAATATAAAAATTGCAAGAATTTTTTGAAAAAGTTTGAAAATTTGAAGAAATCTAAGAATTTTACAAAATTTACAATTTTTTTAAATTTTGATTATTAAATCTATTAAAAACACGTTACAATTGTTAAAATTAATGTTAATAAATTTAATTGTGCTTAATTAAATGAGTGCACTCATGTCTAAAAAAGTTTATAAACAAGTTAACAAAAAAAAGGTTTGCAATAAGATAAATACAAGGTTTGATTAAAAATTTGAATAATCTGTATTAAATATTTCAAAAATTTTGACAATTTCAAAAAAAATAAAAAACTTGGAAAAATATAAAAATTGCTAGAATTTTTTAAAACGTTTGAAGAAATCCAGATTTTTTTTAAATTTACAATTTTTTAAAATTTTGATTTTTTATAAATTTAAATATACCCTAGTGAGCGTATTTTTTCTACCATTTTTTTAAATTTAGGGTAAAATGAAAATTTTAAAATTTTAAATGATCTAAAAACTATAAATCTAACTTCGGCCCGTGACTAAAGCGCCATATAGCCGCAACCTGTCAAATATGTTTTGTTTTCTCCAGGCGAAATAACTCCGGAAATAATGAAGCAACAAATGTCTGACGGCGAATGGAAGCACATGTACGAAATGTCCCATGACAAGAATCTTTACGTCAACATGATCAACAGTTTGTTCCCGAGTATACACGGGAACGACGAAGTAAAAAAGGGCATTTTGCTTATGCTTTTCGGCGGTGTGTCGAAAACCACCATAGAAGGTTATTTTAAGGTTATGTTTTTTTGGGTTTTAATATTAATTTTTGTTATAACTTAGGTACCGCGCTGAGAGGCGACATCAACTGTTGCATTGTCGGTGATCCGAGTACAGCAAAATCTCAATTTTTGCAACAGGTTTCGGAATTTTCTCCGAGAGCCGTATACACTTCCGGTAAGTCGTACTTTTTTTGTGAAATCTTGTGTTTTACAATAATTTTGATTTTAATTATTTTGATTTAAAACAAATTGTCCAATCACATTTTTCTTGGGCATAAACAATTTATTATTAAAATACATTTATTTTGTGCTAAAAAAATCAAAAACAAAATAACAACATAATAATAACTTTTTTTTACCAAAATTTTCGTAAGAGATTGTAAATTCAGATAAAATGTGAAAAAATTTCCTCGAATTCGGAGAAGTTTGATTAATTTTCAATTGTTTAAAAGAAATATATTTTTTTAAACAAATTTTTTATCATAAAGTATATTTTTCAACGAAAATTTTGATATAACAAATGTTTTGATGAACCGTTTGGGAGTAATCAGTTTTTGAAAAAAACATCCACAAAAAATGTAATTATTTATAAGTATTGAAAAAATCGATTTTTTACAAAAATATTTTAGGAAAGTTGTTTTTACCCCTAAACCGATTGACACGTATTAATCAATGAAAAATGAGACCATCAATTTTAATTGGCATACTTGAGAAATTTTGAGCCATGGCTATGGATATGATGTATAAAATGTATAAAATTATTTATAATAATCTGCAACAAACGATGCTTACGGACGAAATGTCAAAATTACAAAAAATACGTGAAATATAAAATGACGGTGACCCATTAATTAATTAATTAAACACACAAACAAGTTTATATTTTCTTCAAAAATCTTAAACCATAAAAACGCCGAATCATTTATAAAAAACAATTAATTAGCCTGTTTTATACAGGGTGTTATGTATATAGTACATATATGTAATTAATGTATTATATTAAAAAAACTGAATAACCTTTGACATAAGGTTTAACGGAAATATATTTTAAAAAATATTTTCTCAAAGATAAAGAAAAAATATGCATTAGATGTTTTTATATTTTTTGTGATACGCCACTGGTTACACACTTGTGTTCTGTGACTACATAGATACCAACCAACAATTTTTCTTTCAAAAAATAAATAAAAACTCAATAAATACAAAAGTTTTATGCCCTTAAAGCTCTAATAATACCCTTCTGTATTTATTTACTCATCCAGCTATTAGCTTAAAGGCCGTATTACAGCCGGCAATTCTTCTTGCAGCAATTTTTCTTGCCATCAAGTTTTCAAGGCCGTATTGCATGTGTACAGTCAGCAATGGCAAGACAGCTTGCTGTTTATTACCGTGCTACCAACCGAAGAAAAATATACGATTTTGTAAACACTAAGTTTATTTGTTATATAGTAGAGATATTTAAAAATTAATGTGTAAAAGGGATAATAGAACTTTGAACACAATGCCAATCATAAAACAAATAACCTTAAACTGTTAGTCAAACAGCGTCTCTCTAGGGAATTTGTAGTAGGGTTGGTAACATAAAAGTTACCAGATTTCACCGCAGAATTGCCTAAAAACGGCAATAAAAATCCATCCGGTCCGATTTTCGGCAATAGACCTATTCCATAAAACGGACTTTTGGATAGCGCGTGCGTGAAAAGGCACGTCGTCTTTTTTTAATTATATAAAAGAAAAAGAGATACCACTCTTCTTCAGGCACGCGCTATCCAAAAGTCTGTTTTATGGGATAGGTCTATTGCAAGAGATCACAAAACTAGTTTTGTGCAAGAGATTCGTCGAAATGTCTCTACCGCGCATGCCTACGGCAATTTTCATTGAAATTGCCGAAAGAATTGCCTTAAGCAATGATTAGAAAATTTAGTACTTATTTTAAAAACTCTATAACCACAAAATTAATTAGGACAAGTTCACAGGTTAAACTTTAAACATTCAATTTGTGTAAATAAATCCAAAAGCACTTCCCTTAGTTAAGATATTTACAATTTGGGCCCATAACCTAAAATTTGAAAGAAATGCTCCAGATTCTGTCATAAAAGTTGCCAGATTTTGTTTGAATTTACCTTCATTACAAAAATGACATAATAAACAATTGAGGCGTTTCTCAGAAAAACATCATTAGTCCAATATCGTCGAAATTTAGATATTAGCACCAACTGTTTCCTAAACTCCATATATACGTATACAAATAAGTGTTTCTCGTAAAAATGTCATAGGTTCCATAATAATTAAATATGAAATTTAGCTTCTTCTAAAAACATCACAAGTCCACTCCGTTTCATCTAAGAAAGTCACATGTGCATAACATGTGACGTTTTTGGGACACTATAGAAAAGCTTCTACCTCTTTTACATGACCACAGCAATAGAAAATTTTATGATAACTTGATAAAAGACCAGAAGACCATTGCACCTGACAGTCCTGATAACACGGTCGACAACGAGGATGAACAGCAGTGGATGCGAAGACTGAGTGTGGCAGTAATACAGTTTTTAGTTTTTTCATTTATTTTGTTGCTCAGAGTTAATATTTAGTTTGTAGTGTTTGTAGTAAGGAGAATTGTTCGTTTTTTTCTTCTAAAAACCTCATATGTTCATGTATTTTTTGTGTTTTTTTCATTTTCGTTTGAAAAAAAAACATGAGGAATTCTGGACAAAGTATCTTAAATTTTTTTACATGTAGTAAATAGGTCAATAAAGTACTTTGTCAAAAATGGGATTGTCGGAGAGTTTTTTTCATTTTCCCAAATATGTTAATTTTGGACTAATGATGTTTTTCCGAGAAAAGCGTCAATTAATAAAATATAATACAATTTGTTCCCATTGAAAAAAAATTGAATTAATTTGTGACTTTTTAAAAAGTCATTTGAATTAATTCGCGAATTAAATCACTTACTTAATTCATATGAATTAATTCGTGCCAACCCTGCTATATCACAACAAAAATTACTAAGTGAATGACCATTCAAAACATTTTAAAACGTTTTTTTACCAAAACCAGTTTTATTTTTATAATTTCGTAAAAAACGTTTAAAACAGGGAAATTGTTACAGTTTTTCGTAAACTATACGCAAATGATTGATATTTTTTTATAACACATCACATCCACTTAATACGCGTAACTTAACTTAACTTACGTGATAGACGTAAGTTGAAGTACATTGAAACCAATGCAGCTGTTTACATTCGTAGAAAACTTGTCACACGTAACTTAACGTATCCAAAAGTTGGGTCCGGCTCAACTTAAGGGAATACGTTTCTTACGTGAGCCAATCACATGCCCAGTAAAACGATATAGCGCTATCTTGTTGTTGCACTTTTATAGATAGAGCCAATCACATGCCCAGTAAAACGATATAGAGCTATCTTGTTGTTTCACTTTTATAGATAGATAGGCAACCCAGTCTACATCCATGTCTACATTGCGCGTGCTTGTATATTGCGTTCTTTGCGTGTATTAAGTTAATGTATACAGACAACTTAACAGACGTAGGTTTCTTAAGTTAAGTTAAGTTACGCATATTAAGTGGATGTGAATGAGCCTTTACGCCTTAAAAAAAGCAAATTTAACGGCAGTAACTTTACAATTGAATGCTGACGTCATTATATCGCATTGATGACTTTGACGTTTCGCAGGCAAGGCCTCGTCGGCCGCCGGACTCACGGCCGCCGTCGTCCGCGACGAGGAAACCTCGGACTTCGTGATCGAGGCGGGCGCCCTGATGCTGGCCGACAACGGCGTCTGCTGCATCGACGAGTTCGACAAGATGGACCCGCGCGACCAGGTCGCCATCCACGAGGCCATGGAGCAGCAGACGATCTCGATCGCGAAGGCGGGCGTCAGGGCCACCCTCAACGCCAGGACGTCCATCTTGGCGGCCGCCAACCCCATCGGCGGCCGCTACGACAGGGCCAAGTCCCTGCAGCAGAACATCATGCTCAGCGCACCCATCATGTCCAGGTGAGTTTTTCTTCCATCTCAATGCTTTAATGCCATTTTTACACCTATATATTTTCTTTACTTCTATAGAAAATATTAGGCAAATGGGACTTATCTTGAAAAAAAAACAATGAAAAAAAAAACAAAAAAACGGACCGTTTTTTTTCAAGTCGCATCTCTACTTACATATGTACAATCGTCATAAGTATACTTGTTTGAATATTTTTAACATGAAAAATGATGAACATTTTTAGAATCATCCTGATTTATGATGATTGTACAAATGTAAGTAGAGATGCGACTTGAAAAAAACGGTCCGTTTTTTTGTTTTTTTTTTTCATTGTTTTGATTTCAAATGGTTTTTTTTCAAGATTAAGACCCATTTGCCTAATTTTTTATGTTTCCAGCAGAGACAAGTTTCTAGTCCAGTTCATGGACTAAAATTAGCCACTAAGTAACTACCTATAATATTTTTGATTCAGCGCTTGATTTTTCGAAAAGCTAGCAAAAGCACTTTTTTCATGATTTTTCAAATTCATGTAGAGTATGGAATTTTTTGTTTAATAATAATAATAATAATATTTATTTACGGTAAATAACCATTACAAATAAATCAATTTACAAAATCACAGAGGTTATATGGAAGATTTAAATTTATATAAACTATTATTAAAGAAATCTATATCTATCTTATTTGCCAATCTACACATTCTGTTGACAGGTGAATTAAAGCCATAGTTTGTGGAGTGCGTGACTTCCCGGAATAGATAATGATTCCTTACGCGCTTTTGAGTAGTTCAGGGCCATTTATGATATTGTTAACCAATTTACAATAGCAACAAACAATAGCAAATTCTTGTAAAACATTTATTCATTGGTGGTTAAGTAGGAACATTCCGTGGACCAAAAAAGAAAGCCGAATTTTGTTATTACGGTATTCGTTAGGATTGAGCGTCGCACGTTTTTCATATAAAAATCTCAAAACTAGAAACTTCAAGCTTCAAATTGCTTTTTTTTACGGCTTCAATACGACCACAGCTATCCGAAAAATCGCAAAAAAATTGGAATTTTTTTTATCCTTTAATTTATTCCATTAGTGTAGAAGTTTTTTTTTAGTCTCGGTCAAAATTTTCAATAATGAAAAATGTAATATATTATACATTTCACTTTATTATTAATATACATTTTACTCAAAATTTCATTTTGAAAAATTACTCCATTTTTTAAGATTAATATTGCTTTATTGTAGCGGATTTGAAAAAAACCGTTTTTTAAGTTTTTTTTTCACATCTGAAAAAAACGTTCTTTTACATCTCTGTACATAAGTCCCGGCCCTGGTAATCAGCGACCGCAAAAACTATTTCACATATAATTTCGACGAAATCCGATCGGTTTTAAAAATATTAGAAGGCAAAAAGTAAAACAAAATAATAATAAATACCTTTACAATAATAGTATATTATTATGCGAGAGATAATGCGCATAATCTCGAGTGTAATACTATACTTTATCTACTGCAATTAGAAGATTTTTTCTTCAAAATGTCGGTCATTTGGGATCCGCCATTTGTTTTTTGAAAATTGAAACCGAGAACCTCAGAAAACCTTAAAAAAACCTTGACTTAAAGAGCCAAAAAAAAGTAAAAAATAAATAAACAGACAACATAATAATAAATACTTTTACAAATGATTATACGAGAGATAATGCACAAAATCTCGAGTGTAATACTATACTTTATACCGCATTTTCATTTGAAACCTGAACACTCGAGTGCACTCGAGTGAATCCGATCGCCCCTCCCCAGATGCATTTTAAGCAGATTGCTGGCGCAGGCGACGATTCAGTTATGTTTTGCATTTGCTAGTGTGTATTTCGAGCGTTTTAACATAAATTAATTTCTTTTATTTAAAATTATAACTTATAATGTCCTACACATTGCAAGAGAAAATTGACATGATAAGCTGGTCTTTAGTGGTCAATTATCTATGTCAAACAAGAGACCTATTCGCAGTTAAATATCCGGAACGTTCTATTCCTTCAATTGGAACAATAACAAACGTTATCCAAAGTTTTAAAACAAATTGTTGTATTTTGGGGTGTAAATGTCACAGTACTCCCAGAATTAATGTAGATGCGGAGAAGAAAGAAATAATGGTTTGTGCAATGGTAGAAGAAGATTCAAATACATCAATTCCTAAAATAGCCGAAGAGACCGGCATTAGTGTGGGTAAAGTCCAGAAAATATAAAAAAAAAATAAATATCGTTCCTATAAATACCAAGTACATCAGGAAATTTTTCAAGACGACGAGTACCGGAGAATGGAATTTTGTGAAAATATGATGGAACGCGCAAATGAAGATTGAAAACATAGTATTTACCGACGAATCCACATTTCCATTACATGGAAAGCACAATTCTGCTATTGTCCGGTACTGGTCTATTGAAAATGAGTACAGGCAACTAAACTTAAAGACTCAGTATACTGAAAAGTTGATCTTGTGGTCTGGTATTTATGGGAATAATATTATTGGTCCCTTTGTAATTGGTGGCAATTTAAATGGAGCGAGATATTTGGATATTCTTCAAAATAGAATTATACCTGCAATCCAAAACATAACCCCAAATTTGGATAACGTTTGGTATCAACAGGACGGTTGCCCATCACATTACACAAGAATATTGATGGAGTATTTACAAGAGATTTTTCTCCAAAGGATAATTTCTACCAGGGGCGCTATTCGCTGGCCAGCAAGTTCACCAAACTTGGCTCCTAACGATTTTTTCCTATGGGGATATGTAAAATCTCGCACCGAATTTTATGACAGACTGGGCTTTTGTTTTACGCAATTTGGGGGAACGTTTGAAAATAGGCTTTGAATATATTATTGAAAGCTTATGTTCAAATAATAATTTATTATTTTTATTTTTTAATTAATTAATTTATTTATTTACGTTTATTTTAAGAAGTTTGATTTTTAGTTTTGTTTTAAGAATATTGATTTATTTATTTTAATTTGTTTTAAAAAAAAATATTTTATTTTTTTATTTTAGTTTTTAAAGAGAATTTTTTGTGTTTAAATGTTTTTTTATAAAAAAACACTTTAAGTTAAATGCAAAACAAATAATGATTTTACACCTTTAATTAATAATTTACTGTTAAAAGTGATTACGTTACATTTTAAGTATCTGAATCATTTTTAAAAGTAAATTAACTTAATAATGCGTAATTTGTATTAATAATACAGAACAAACGTTAACATCACCAATCGCCGGTGAAGGTTCTACTGCTGAATTACGAATACCATCTCTCCGTCCGAAAAACTCAAACAAAGTAAAAAACAAGTTTTGATAAAATTTAAAAAAGTATCCTGTTTCTTTTCAACCCATATACTATATCTACGTCGAATATTTTCAATAAAATAAGTAAATTTGTGTGTTGGATTCTAGTTGAATAAATGATAATAAATGGTTTACAAATTAATAAAATCAATGTACATTTTGACAGTGCTTGCAAAGATTATTTTGAATATTTTAATTTAGTATTTTACCGCATTTTTTACATTCCCCCATTACGTTAATGCATATATCCAATTTTTTTTTTAATTTGTGGGTAATTAAATAAATTACTGAGATAAAAAAACTATTATTCAAGTAAAAAAAACTAAAACTAACAAAATAATTTTAGTATATTTGTTGGTTAAAATTAAAAAAAAAACTTACCACTTTTGTTAACATTGTTTTCTTATTTATAAAAAAATATCTCTTATTTCTCCATTACATACATTATAAAAGGAGAAATGATTTCATAACCAATACATTTTAACATTTAAAAATATATGTTTTAAATAAGAACATCATTTAGGCTTATAAAAAATTATATATAACATGCATTGTGTTGGAATTTTTTAAATATGTACATCCAGATAAAATACCACCATAGGTAAAAACATAAAAATTCAGGACCCAACTTCTTCTTGGCAAGGGGATGCTGGCGATGTTATAATTTCCAGAAAATGCGATGGTTCCCTCTTAAAAACGGTTTGTTCTCTGTACTTTTGACTAGCTTTCTGCCAACATTTTCTTCTAGCATCCTGCTCCTCCTTCGACAACTCCTTCACACTTCTTATCAAACCCCTCTCTTTTTTCTCCCTGTATCGCTCCCGATCTTTCCTTCTTTTTTCTTTGAGTTTTTCCTGCGTTAAATTCGCCCTGTGCCTTATCACCCTCTCTCTAGTGATTTCCCGTTGTTCTTCTTTGGTTCGTTTGGCTTTTTTGGCAGTTTTTATTTTTGTGCCTTTGTTTACAACCGTCGTGCAAATCTGTAGAGGGCTGACGATTTGCTGAAGATTAAAACCGTTTTCTTTGGTTTTATTTGCATTTACACTGCTATCGCTTTCTCGATTTACAAATTTTAAGTCTATCAGTGTTACATTGTCTGTAAAACCTTGTTCCATAATATTTAACCCTAAAAAATCATTTCGGTAACGTCTGTTTTCAGCATTATCAAACAAGTAAGTTTGAATTTGCTGCCAAGACAAAATTTAAGGTTAGGTTAGTTTTGCAGCCTTTACTATAATAACAATTTATTTAATTGCATGCATTACAGAAATGATTTCTAATACATTTTATGAAGAATTAATATAAAATATTGTAAACATACCAATTTTAACCAACAAACAAAAACACAAAAATAAACAATCCGAAATTTGACATTTTTGCCGGTGGAGGCGCTCAGGTCAAGCCGTGTTGCCAGATTGGGCAACTTATCACAGTTTTTATTTTTAATGTTATGTAACCATTTTTTTCCTTATATTATCTACAAAAAATGTTATTGGGCCAAGTTTGATTTCTTAAAATTACGCGTTTTTAAGAAACTTATTTGTTGGATCATTATAAAACTTTTTTACTTTTAATGGTCCAATAAATTTTATAGGGAATTACGTACAACAAAATTGCGATTTAACTTTTTAATCTTTATCTAAAAACCGTGTAATCTTAACCAAAATCAAATAAATAAAACTTGAACTACTAATGGTCCAACAAATTTTAATTGGACAATTTTGCAGGGAATTGTAGTTTAGTTTCTAGATTTAAACAACGCGTAATTTAAAAAAAAACGGCTTCATCAGTATAAACCTTTTTTACTAACAATGGTACAATTAATTTTATAGGGAATTTAAGTACAACAAAATTGCGATTTAACTTTTTAATCATTAATAGTTTAGTTTCTAGATCTAAAAACCGCGTAATCTTAACCAAAATCATAAAAATAGGACTTTATGGGTATAAAAGTTGTACTACTAATGGTCCAATAAATTTTCATTGGACAATTTTGTAGGGAATTTTAGTTTAGTTTATAGATCCAAAAAATGCGTAATTTTTAACAAAAACATGGCTTCATCAGTATAAACCTTTTTTACTAACAATGGTCCAATAAATTTTATAGGGAATTTAAGTACAGCAACATTGCAATTTAACTGTTTAATCTTTCATTAATAGTTTAGTTTCCAGATCTAAAAACCGCGTAATCTTAACCAAAATCTTAAAAATAGGACCTTATGAGTATAAAAGTTGTACTACTAATGGTCCAATAATTTTTATAGGACAATTTTTTAGGGAATTGTAGTTTAGTTTCTAGATCCAATCAACGCGTAATTTTAACCAAAAAAATAATAAAAATAGGACTTTTTAGTATAAAACTTGTTTACTATTAATGGTCCAATAAATTTTATAGCGAATTTAAGTACCTAAAACAAAATTGCAATCTTTTTAATCAATAGTTTAGATTCAAAAACCGCGTATTCTTAACCAAAATCATGGTCCAATAAATTTTATAGCGAATTTAAGTACCTAAAACAAAATTGCAATCTTTTTAATCAATAGTTTAGATTCATAAACCGCGTATCTTAACCAAAATCATGGTCCAATAAATTTTATAGCGAATTTAAGTAACTAAAACAAAATTGCAATCTTTAGTTTAGTTTCGAGATTCAAAAACCGCGTAATCTTAACCAAAATCATGGTCCAATAAATTGTATAGCGAATTTAAGTACCTAAAACAAAATTGCAATCTTTTTAATCAATAGTTTAGATTCAAAAACCGCGTAATCTTAACCAAAATCATAAAAATAGGATTTTATGAGTATAAAAGTTGTACTACTAATGGTCCAATAAATTTTTATTGGACAATTTTGTATGGAATTGTAGTTTAGTTTCTAGATCCAAACAACGCGTAATTTTAACAAAAACAGGGCTTCATCAGTATAAACCTTTTTTACTAACAATGGTCCAATAAATTTTATAGGGAATTTAAGTACAGCAAAATTGCCATTTAACTGTTTAATTTATCATTAATAGTTTAGTTTCCAGATCTAAAAACCGCGTAATCTTAACCAAAATCTTAAAAATAGGACCTTATGAGTATAAAAGTTGTACTACTAATGGTCCAATAATTTTTATAGGACAATTTTTTAGGGAATTGTAGTTTAGTTTCTAGATCCAATCAACGCGTAATTTTAACCAAAAAAATAATAAAAATAGGACTTTTTAGTATAAAACTTGTTTACTATTAATGGTCCAATAAATTTTATAGCGAATTTAAGTACCTAAAACAAAATTGCAATCTTTTTAATCAATAGTTTAGATTCAAAAACCGCGTATTCTTAACCAAAATCATGGTCCAATAAATTTTATAGCGAATTTAAGTACCTAAAACAAAATTGCAATCTTTTTAATCAATAGTTTAGATTCAAAAACCGCGTATCTTAACCAAAATCATGGTCCAATAAATTTTATAGCGAATTTAAGTAACTAAAACAAAATTGCAATCTTTAGTTTAGTTTCGAGATTCAAAAACCGCGTAATCTTAACCAAAATCATGGTCCAATAAATTGTATAGCGAATTTAAGTACCTAAAACAAAATTGCAATCTTTTTAATCAATAGTTTAGATTCAAAAACCGCGTAATCTTAACCAAAATCATAAAAATAGGATTTTATGAGTATAAAAGTTGTACTACTAATGGTCCAATAAATTTTTATAGGACAATTTTGTAGGGAATTGTAGTTTAGTTTCTAGATCCAAAGAACGCGTAATTTTAACAAAAACAGGGCTTCATCAATATAAACCTTTTTTACTAACAATGGTCCAATAAATTTTATAGGGAATTTAAGTACAGCAAAATTGCCATTTAACTGTTTAATTTATCATCAATAGTTTAGTTTCTAGATCTAAAAACCGCGTAATCTTAACCAAAATCATAAAAATAGGCCTTTATGAGTATAAAAGTTGTACTACTAATAGTCCAATAAATTTTCATTGGACAATTTTATAGGGAATTTTAGTTTAGTTTCTAGATTCAAACACCGCGTAATTTTAACAATAACAGGGTTTCTTCAGTATAAATATTTTTTACTAACAATGGTCCAATAAATTTTATAGGGAATTTAAGTACAGACAAATTGCAATTTAACTTTTTAATCTTTCATCAATAGTTTAGTTTCTAGATCTAAAAACCGCGGAATCTTAACCAAAATCATAAAAATGGGACTTTATGAGTATAAAAGTTGTACTACTAATGGTCCAATAAATTTTAATAGGACAATTTTGTAGGGAATTGTTGTTTAGTTTCTAGATCCAAACAACGCGTAATTTAAAAAAAAACAGGGCTTCAACAGTATAAACATTTTTTACTAACAATGGTCCAATAAATTTTATAGGGAATTTAAGTACAGCAAAATTTCAATTTAACTGTTTAATTTACCATAAATACCGCGTAATCCTAACGAAAATCATAAAAATAGGACTTAATGAGTATAAAAGTTGTACTACTAATGGTCCAATAAATTTTTATTGGACAATTTTGTATGGAATTGTAGTTTAGTTTCTAGATCCAAACAACGCGTAATTTTAACAAAAACAGGGCTTCATCAGTATAAACCTTTTTTACTAACAATGGTCCAATAAATTTTATAGGGAATTTAAGTACAGACAAATTGCAATTTAACTTTTTAATCTTTCATCAATAGTTTAGTTTCTAGATCTAAAAACCGCGGAATCTTAACCAAAATCATAAAAATGGGACTTTATGAGTATACATAAGTTGTACTACTAATAGTCCAATAAATTTTAATAGGACAATTTTGTAGGGAATTGTAGTTTAGTTTCTAGATCCAAACACCGCGTAATTTTACCAAAAACATTGCTTCATCAGTATAAACCTTTTTTACTAACAATGGTCCAATACATTTTATAGGGAATTTAAGTACAACAAAATTGTACCTAATTTAACTTTTTAATGTTTCGTTAATAGTTTAGTTTCTTGACTTTGGAAATTTTCATGTTACATAAAAACATTACACACAAATTACAAATAAAAATTAATTTTAATTGTGTTTTAATTTTTATAAAATTGCCTACAAGGAACATACGTTATTTTTCCCTTAGGTTCGATTTGTTCTTCATTTTGGTCGACGAATGCAACGAAGTTATCGATTACGCTATCGCGAGAAAAATCGTGGACTTGCACAGCAACATCGAGGAAGAGTCGGTGCACAGAATATACACGAAACAGGAGGTTTTGCAGTACATTTCGTTCGCCAGAAAATTCAAGCCGATCATCAACAAAGAGGCAGGCGAACTGCTCGTAAGGTAGTAAAACGGTCGAAAAACAACTCGCCACGTACACTGTTTTTTTTTTAAGTAATTTAAAAATATATATATTTAGGTTCTATTTTATTAAATTCTTTTTAAAATGATATAATATCACAACTAAAATTTTTCTTAAAAAATAACATGGAAACTTCTACAAAATTGTCATTTTTAGCGATATTTCGTTTGTTTTCGTGTTATATACCAAACAAAAGGATTTTTAATTTTCTTTTTAAATGACAGCTAAAATAGTAAACAATCTAAAGAATGTTTTGCTGTATTTTGCAAACTTCATATTTTGTTATGAGATTTTTAAGTATTAAGATCCACATTACAATTGAATCGGTGAGAATAAAAACAGTACAAATTTAATTTTGACAATTTATTTTCTAAAATCAATTTTAAAGTTTAAAATACATTTTTGTTAGAAGATATAAATTATTTTACAGAATATGAATATTATATTTCACAAAATAGTTAAAATATTTTAACAAACATGAATTTAGAACTATAAAACTGATTTTTTGAAATATTTTATCAAAAATTTCATTTTTGGAGTTGTACTATTCTTAACCTTATCGATTTAATTACTGTTAGTTATTAATCAAACGGTTAACATGTTTTTTCTTAAAATATAAAGATAACATCATTTGATTTTGGCATTAGCCAAATCGCTCGACGAGTTTTTTTTTAAATAAAATTAAAAGTGTGGTGAAATTTATACTTGTATATATATGTATGTACCTCAGATATATACAAAAGTAGTAATTATACAATTGTGAGTCTCGTTCCTCGAGATATTTAATTACTATGTAGTAGCGCCTCCTGGTGTCTACTCTTGCCACTATTTTACAGATAAAAGAATTAACTTCTATGCTCTGTCGGTAATACAGTTTACATTCATTACGTTTACCTAGTGTCGAAAGAAAAGCCACGCCATTTCGAAAACGGTTAAAAATAAGCTTTAATAAGATATTAAAATCTTAAAAATGAGTTCCAAAATGAAGAAAAGAGGTCCGGAAGAAGATAAGAATATAAATTTGGAGAAAAGAATGGAGCGATTGGAGAAAATGCTATTAGAACGCTTGCCGGTACAAGAAGAAGATGGCGGCCATCGTGCAAAAAAGCGAAAAAGAGGTAAGCACGAGAGGAATTGCGTGAGGTTTTAAAACCCTCAGGAAGAAACGCAGGAGGTTTTAAAACCCTCCAAAAAGGCAGTCTCAAATATGCGTGAGGTTTTAAAACCCTCAGGAAGAAACGCATGAGGTTTTAAAACCCTCAAAATAGACTCGCCAAAAAATTCCTAGGGTTCAGCCAAATATTAAAATGCGTGAGGTTTTAAAACCCTCAGATAAAACGCAGGAGGTTTTAAAACCCTTCATAAAATGCAGTCTTATGGATGCGTGAGGTTTTAAAACCCTCGGAAAGAACGCATGAGGTTTTAAAACCCTCTTTTAAAGACTTGCTATATGCATAAGGTTTAAAATTCCTTGGTGTTGCATTAGGTCTAAAAACCCTTAGACGAGCATGAGGTTTTAAAATCCTTAAATAAACACTACGTCTATAAATGCTTAAATCTAAATACCAAATTTTTTTCTAGGCAAATATGATTCTGATGAATCATTAGATTCAGCAGATTCTTATGGTACAGATGTTGAGGAGGAGGAAGAGGACATGTTAGTGGACTGTTTAGGGGAAAAACCTGAGAGTGCCAAAAATAAGGGTCTAAATATACATTCCCAAATTCAAACTAGATGGGAATATATTCTTAAGAAGGGTCTGTCTAAGGAGCAAAAAACAGAATTAATAAATAAATACCCAACTCCAGAGAATTGTAACTCTCTTGTAGCTCCCAAAATTAATCCCGAAATTAGTATTACTATGAGCGAAGCCCTTATGAAGACGGATAACTATTATCTTATCCCACCACAAAATTTGCTTGGAACAGGCCTGTGTGCTTTGGGATTGGCTATGACAACCTTAATTAAAAACGGAAATAAAGACCCAGAAGTTTTAAAAGACCTTTCGAATGCAGGTAGACTATTCGGAGAGGTTTTTCATTCAATGTCAATGAGAAGACGAAACTTAATTATGCCAAGCTTAGCAAAGGACGTAAAGGAAGTAATAAAGGAAAACCCCATAACTGAATTGTTATTTGGGGAAAAGATAGATGAACAAATTAAGTCTTCGATGGTATTGAAGAAAACTGGTCGAGACATATTACAACCCAAAAATTCTATGGTTTCAAAAAACTTCAAAACCCCTACTCGTCCAAAAGGGGTGGGGGCGAAAGTAGGGTACAAGACCACTCATTACAGGAGATCTGCTCAGCATCGAGGAACTCCTCAAAAATCGAAGAGCAGATATGTAAGCAGGCATTAGAGGTAGGTTTGGCAGGACGGTTAAAAGATTTTTTAACCACATGGAAAACAATAACTGATAATAAAATAATTTTAAATATTATCAGAGGTATTCAGATACCTTTTGATTCTACCCCTGTTGATGGTAGATCAAGAAAAATTACAAACCCAAATGATGATAAAGCAACAAAATGTGCTATTTTAGAACTTTTACAGATGGGAGCAATTGTCCCATCAGTAAATGAACCAAATCAGTTTGTATCACCTTTTTTCTTGGTTAAGAAACAAAATAAAAAAGATAGGTTTATTTTAAATCTAAAAAATTTAAACAAGTTTGTTAAAGCCCCACATTTTAAATTGGAAGATTTAAGAACTGTTTATAAATTAATAAATAGGGGTGATTATATGGTAACCATTGATTTAAAAAATGCATATTTTTTAGTTTCAATCAAAAAGAATTTTAGAAAATATCTTAAGTTTAATTTTAGAAATAAATTGTACGAATTTACATGCCTTCCTAATGGACTATCTATAGGCCCATACCTTTTTACAAAGCTAATGAAACCTGTATTAGCGAATTTAAGAAATTCTGGTATAACTTGCGTAATATATTTAGATGATTTTTTAATCCTAAGCAGCTCCTTCGAAGAAGCAAATAAGCATACAAATATTGTTTTAAATCTATTAGAATCTCTTGGATTTATAGTCAATTATGAAAAAAGTTCCCTTATACCTTCACAAATGTGTTCTTTTTTGGGATTTATATTAAATAGTAACAGTATGCAAATATCTTTAAGCGTAGAGAAACGTCAAAAAATATTAAAGATGGTAAAATTTTATAAAACATTGCCTGTTTGTAAAATACGAGAATTTGCACAATTTATAGGTTGCTTAATTTCAATTTGTCCAGGTATCAAATATGGTATGCTTTATACACGAAGCTTTGAAAAGGAAAAATTTACTGCTCTAGCCAGAAACAACAATAATTTTAATAGTTCGATAAAAATTAAAAAACGCCTTTTAGAAGATCTAATTTGGTGGGAAAATAATATTTTAACATCTTATAATATAATTAAAAAAGATAGTTATGATTTAGAAATTTATAGTGATGCATGCTTAGAAGGATGGGGCATTTATTGTAAAAACAGTAGTTCTTTTGGCTGGTGGAATGAACAGCAGAGAGCCAGTCATATAAATTTTTTAGAACTTCTTGCAGTTTTTTATGGTCTTAAATGTTATGCAAGTAACTTACAGTTTGTTAATATTCTTTTACATATTGATAATACGACAGCCATTGCATATATAAATAGGATGGGTAGCATACAATACCCTATTTTGCACAATTTAGCTAAAGAAATTTGGCAATGGTGCGAAAAAAGAGATATATGCTTATTTGCAAAATACATTAATACTAAATTAAATAAGGCAGATCAATATTCAAGAAAAGTTTCACTAAACACAGAATGGGAGTTGGATAAAAAATCATTTAATAAATTAACCAGAAAGTTTGGGATACCAGAAGTTGACTTGTTCGCTTCAAGTGCAAATAACAAATGTAAAAGGTATTTTTCCTGGGCTAGGGATCCAGGCTCTGAAGCAATTGATGCTTTTACAGTTTCCTGGTCAGAATTAAAATTTTACGCTTTTCCTCCATTTTCATTAATTTTAAGAACCTTGCGAAAGATTTGTGATGAAAAAGCAGAAGGTATTGTGGTTGTACCCTTATGGACTACCCAACCTTGGTATCCAATATTTAAACAACTTTTATCAAACGAACCCATTATTTTGGGAAAAAACTTACTATCATCTCCTTTCAGGCAGGAACACCCTATGGGAAGGAGCCTTACCCTGGTGGCAGGGTATTTATCAGGCAAGCCCTAAAGAATAAAGGTATACCTGAGATCAGTTTAGATACTTCCCTTGCGTCTATTTCAGAAGGTACTATGAAACAGTATGATATAACATACAAATTGTGGTGGGAATTTTGTAAGAAACAAAAGATTAATGCATATAAAGCCGATAAGGTCGAAGTTATGATTTTCCTACAGGAACAATACAATAATAAAAACAAAAAATTATCATATGGCAGCTTTAACTCTTATAGATCAGCCTTATCTTTAATTTTGGAGGATAATATAGGTGAAGACCCACAAGTAAAGAGATACCTAAAAGGCCTGTCTAAGTTACGCCCCCAACGTCCAAAATATAATTTCACTTGGGAACCAAAACCGGTACTAGAATTTTTAAGTAAATGTTACCCAAATGAAGAATTAAGCTTAGAGCAAATTTCTTATAAAGTAATAACTTTATTAGCCTTAGTATCTGGTCACAGATTACAGACCATGGGTCTAATTAAAATAAATAATATAATCAGAGACGAAAATGGTCTGAAAATATTAATAGATGAGAGAATTAAGACTTCTGGTGTGGGTAAACCTCAACCAAATTTAAATATTCCATTTTTTCAAGAAAAACCGGAAATATGTTTAGCTTCTGCTATATTATCATATATAAATATTACAGAAGGAATTAGATCAGAACAAAATTATTTGTTTATTACCTTAAGAAACCCATATAAGAAGGCAACAACACAAACATTAAGTCAATGGATAAAACGTTGTCTTAACAAAGCAGGAATTA